CACACTAAACCCTTCGTTATATCGGGAAAATTCAATTGGAAACCTATCCAAATCTTATAACTTCATAGTGCATTCAAAGTCAATTCTAAAGTAGATAAATTTATTAATGAAATATTGCCTTTTGTTCGAGATATTCAGCGTCCAGAAATGAAAAAAGTTGATTTTTGTGGGAATCATTTGAGTAGAAAGGAAACGTCGAACGGAAACGTCCTGCTGAATAAAATGATCATCTCATTGAATAGTAGCTACTCAGAAGGTTTCACATGTCTACCATTTAGAATGGACATATTCCAGGTATGAAGTTTTGATTGAGAAATCACAAATTGTGTTCTCCATTTAGACCCCTTTGAAAAATGTTCAATGTCTTTAAATGTAGAACTATGCTAACAGGTACAAGTCGTACAAACCGTGAAGATTTTCTTGCATTCTGATGAAGTGAATGTACAGTCTGGTGCATTCTCAAAAAGTCAACCTCATATGATTTGACCCATATCGCTATGAAAATAAAATCGAAAATTGAATAACTTAATACCAAAATGCTCAGCGCAAAAAAGGCTCTACGAAACGGGAAGGTTTCAAGGAATTTGAATACATTTAGTTAGGTGAAATAATTAAAGTTGACAAGTAAATTCAAGAAAAATTGTCGCTGAAAATAGTTTTGGGGTTTCCGCCATCTCTAAATCGAAGTCACGAAGAAAACGAACTAGTACATGTTGTAGGGCAAGTTTCGCTCTATCAAACTGCTAGTGTCAATATTCTGGTTAATTCTGACTCGCATACAGATTTTTGCAAACACTGTTTCTGACTAGTGTACTGCAAAACGACCCAGCAGTGCGTGAAAATTCTTCAAAATTCTTTCAATCTCTACGGATTCTAAATATGTGATTGGTTTTAAAATCTGAGTGAAAATGATGAAATTTTCATCACTTTTTCATAAAAAATGCTTTTTTCTATTTGACGTGCATCTTAGCGAAAGTAGAATTTATTTCTAAAACGTTTATTGTCAAAGTGATCAGCGACAAATTCTCTACAAACCCTGTAACCTTGAATGAAGCCGAGCTTGATCCCTGGATCGACCTGGTGATTTCTGGCGGAATGACCCTCTAGTGCTCATGGATATAATAAGTAATTGATTTTTATTTTTTAGATTTTCATATTCTTTGAAGTCTATTCAACAATTATGAATCAATAGAATATTTTGCATCAGAAAATAGAATATGTGAAAATCTTTTGAACTCTTTCTTATTCTATGTTATTGATCCATAGCAATTTAGTCAGATGTTATTTTAAGTTTCCACATTTTGTTTTGTTCGTAACTGTGATCAACTGAACCTATAATTGAGTATGCGTGTAGATTTTAGGTTTTTACTTAATTATTGATTATCATTTCCTGCACTTTGACAAAAGCATTGATTTTCCATATGACTACACCACTACATTATTCTGCCGTTTAGAGGAAAATGTTTGTTGCCGAGCAAACAAATCTATTTTGCGTGCTTGCTCGAGTATGTAATACACTACACAATTAGAATAGTGTAAATCTTCAGTGTTGAATCTATTTTTTTCTTTTGGAATATCAAGTCATTAAGATATTTTTGGATTCTTTTACAACTAAATACTGCAATACTTTTGTTTAATATCTAATTGGTTATGTAAAAACATTGATTAATGTAGGTATATGTATATACGTTTAAATATATATTTGAGAATTTTCTTTAATATCTTTCATTTTCTTATTTCCTGATCTTGTAAATGTCGTCTGCTCTAAAGCACGCGCTCACGTTCGCGATTACATATGTAACAGTAGGCAGCAGCTTGTTCGAATACATATAACTGGACGTGTCTGGGTTTTTTTAAAAGTTGTCAAACTACTGTGGCGTGATGTGAATCATTAATATAAAAGGTAAGAAAGCTGATCCTTTGAAATAAGCCGTCATTCCATACCGGAGCGCTTTGTTTGTCTATCGAAGATCTAGGTAAACACATATCATAGGGATGATTCTCCTATTATCTGTTTTCTCTATAAAATAGAGAAAATATTTTGTTTCAACACTACAAAACACAAATATACAAAAGGTAAGAGACTTTTTGTTAAAATAGAATTACGGCTGAACCACTCAAAATAATCTTGTACATTACAGGTAGTCGAGTGTAAAGAATGTTTTATATTTGCACTAAATTTTAATCAATTATCTCATTGTATGAATAAATTTTGTCATTACTCTAATTTGTGTGCATTTGATAATGTACACTCTGATTGTTGTTGTCAATTGTGTTGAAAATAGAATTCTATTAGTTTAATATTTTCATAATTTTATTTTACTCACGAATAGTTTCATTTCAGATTATTAAATATCATATATAATCAACCATTGAAAATGAATTCCCTTGTACCTTTGTTCATCGGTCTTGTCGCATTCTTCATAATTTCTTTTCAATTGGCATCATCAGCTAATTTTCCTAATCCACCTTCATTTCCACCACCGAATGCATCACCAGAACAGTGGAGAGCCTTTTGGATATTACTACATAACTACTATGCTATTATTGCTCGACCAAGGTTATCGAAGTTTTATTTTTTGAATTATTTTATTTTTATTCGTCTCTTTTTATTCTTGTATAGATTTGGTAAACGACACGATTCAGTATTATCTCATTTGGAACATCCATCGCTTGTAACCACGCTGAATTCAAATTTTGCATCTCCCTCATTATATGAAACTGATCTTAACGACATATTTGGTCAAAATAGTCGTAATGGTAAAAAATAAACTTTTCTTTGATGAACAATGCCTTTTCATTTTTTTTTTGTTTTTTATCAAACTATTTTCAGCTAACGCTGATCAAAAGGCCCACTTCGATGAACTATATACATTTGTGCCTACTAATCGAAAACAACGATGACGATAATAAAACTCTTGTTGGTTAACTGACTTTTTTCGAACTAGAATTCATTTTTTTTGTGACCATATTCATCAACTCGACATTTTCCGACTACTGACAACAACAAAAAATCGGAAAATGCAAACACATAAAAAAGAGAAAGCAGAACACTTGTTTCTGTGGTATATAAAAAAAATAAATAAACATGACAATTTGCTGTCATTATTATTTCAAGCACGAGGATAAGCTGCATCATAATGTCCTAATCCATATTGGTTATAAGCTAAATAGATTGTTTTTTGAGATGATGCTGGTGTATTATTTCCATGAGTTGGTTCGACTTCAATTCGAGATAGATTGGAAACGGAAGTAAATATAATAATACTAACATTTAATCTATTTGATACGGTCAATGGTACAATATCGCCTAATGTAGAATCTGAAACACCGTTTTTTGAAAATTTCTTAACCTCTTTTAGAAACGAAACTTGGTGTGTATCAACGAATTGGCTATAAAATTGTTCATTTAATTTCCATTCATTAACACATATTTGTCGTAGAGAATTTGCAAAATCGGTGACACGAAGCTTTGATGATAAACCAAAAGCTTCTAATTGTAAACAAAATCTATTTGGATCCATTTCCATTTCGTAGAGAAGACCTTCGGCAAGCGCATAAAAAAGACAATTACCATCACCTTTAACTGGTACACGTTGCATATTATGATTCGTTAAATTACTATTTAATTCTTGTTCATGAAAAAAGAATTCATCGTCAGAACTATGTACATCATTACTACGAGAACATAAACACAGTCGATTGAATGATTTCATGGATAAGAAAAAGAGATTTATTCGTGAATAATAATTGAAATAATCGAATGCATAGCTATAGAAACTTGTAAGTGATCACGTGTTGATGTACAAAAACGAAAAATAATATCAGCTGATGATTTTGCGTCAGGTAAATGTACATGTTGAGATATGATTCATTTTTTTCTCTCTCTTAAAACAAGCCTACATCAACCACAAACGTCATCGTTTGAATCAATAAATGTGAATAGAAAGCAAAAGATGTTTGTAACATGTGGTTGTTATGCACTACGTAATCAATCTTCATTTCTTTTCGTTTTTTCTTTTATTGATCAAGCCTACGAACAGCAAATAAACAGAAATTTTATCTTTACTCTTTTCTGTTTGTTCCACTGGTAAAATTATATGAACTCATCTGGGTAATGGTGACTCCTCTTATCTACATATATGAGATTGTTGAAAATGAAAATCACAAAGTAACTTTGATTTTTCGTTACTACAATTTCGAACATCTCACTAAAATCTAAAAGGACATTTGAGTAGTCAATAAAGGTTTCTATTACATGTAGCATATTTTGAAAAGTTCGAGTAAACGACTGATCGATTTAGTGTTCAGTCTTTAGAAGGTAATATACGAGTTTATTTTCAAAAGTGTCATCTAAACTTTTGAACGTTGCAAGCACAATAAGAAATAAATATAGACATGTACGTTTTAGCGACATTTTGATAAATTTGGCATTTTTTTTTATTGGATGCTTGTAACACTGGAAAATAAAGCTCTATAAAACTTGGTAGCTTAAAAGTATATGCATCAATTTTGAACTTTGTACAACTGAAGAAACCATGAAAAGTTTACTTCGATGAAATTTTACATCAAGCTAAAAGCATTACAGTATTCACTTGTTCTAATTATCAATGGGAAGATGAATCATGCATTTTGTTTTCAAAAAGCTTTCAACTTACATAGCCTGACATTAACAAATAGAAATCGCAATGAATTCAAGTTAATATTTGCTTTTAGATCAAATAATTGCATTGACGTTGTAGTTATGCGTTGAACTACAAACAAGTACATATGCACTGGGTAACAATGCATGAAAGTTAGTAAAGAGCAGTGAAAAAAGAAATTTTATGCAAGAAGTACATTAATCACGATAATCCTCTGATTTTGCTTAGCAGATAAGATCGATCAACTATTGATCGGAATACTATATATTCTATATTTTGTTGATGGTATCCTTTGATGCACATGATTTTCAATCAATCAATCAATCAATCGATTTTTTGAGAAATAAAGAATAAATGACAAATACTGATGAAGCTAAGATTCGTGTAATCAAGACGAGATACGATGCTATCGTTAGTTATATGATTTTGAACATGTCAGTGAGAGAGAACATTTCAAATATTCATTACCCATATATGTTGATATATTTCAAAAAAATTAATTGAGACCGTCTACTAAAATCATCCTGCTTCCTCTGAAAACGTCAGTTTTTATCAAATTTGTTGAAATCCAGATAAATCCGTGGCAAAATAATAGTACGAAGTTGGAATTTTCATATATATAACTAGTTAAATTCTTTTTATTAGAATAATTCTTACTGATTTTCCTCGCCCGGTGGGTGAAATATGCTCTTTCCAAAAAAGCAGGAAGCATTTTTCATGTTCATGCCCTATTAATTACATTTTGAATACTAATCGAAAGACTATGATTGTTAAAAATTGCTTTTCCTTTGCTTCTATTTAAAAGAATATGTCAAGATGTCCTATTCGATAGAGCTCTTTTCTTGGTTAATCTTTACTAATGTCATACAATCAGAGAGTCACTTTCGGAAAGCTTACCAAGAAGTATTAATTAAAAAGGATTTCTAGCATATTCTGTATTTAGATCAGCTATTTCAAAAAAATAAAGTATACAACATATCTTGGACACTTCATGCTATTCGAATCTATCTAATCTAAAATGGATGCTAGAAAAATGAATAGGAAATCATAAAAAATTGAAGAAAATCCTGAACACATTCGTTACTAATGAAATTTAACATTATTTTTAAATATTCAATGCAAAAAAAGCAGATATACCCATTAATGGTTGATTAGGATGGTATTTGAATACAAGAAATAAGCAGATGTAGTCAAGGAGAAAACAAGTTAAAAGGAACTATCGTAATACAATAAATTGGGAAAACCTATCTATTTTATCTTGTAGATGGTATTTTTAAATCTAGCCTGCGGTCGCATTAATTTTAAAAAGCTAGATCTTGATAATGTTCTTGATTGCCAATTCAGCATTTCTAAAGCTAAAGCTAGCCATTCTTCTACGAATTGTGCTATTAAATATGTTTTTATGAGCATCCCGGTATTTTGAAGAAGAAAGATGACGGATCCTGCATAATCTGTAGAGAAATTTTTACTATTTTGAACAAATATTAACCTACACTACTAGATTCTCCTCTCATTTAGTATTTACCACTGGTAAAGTCACGTATTTTCCTCACATTAGTGATGAGTATCCATCCAAGCAATTTATTAAATTTAACTTAATAGAATTAAATTTAAAATTAAATTAATTTTTCACGAAGTTAAATTTAAATAAAATAAACTGTAAGTTAATACCCCTAGTCAATATTTTTATGTCATGTTTTGTTATTAAACTGACATATATATATATATATACAAAATTATTGAGCATATGTATTCACTTTATTTCGATTTTCAGGCTTTGTGTAAAAGGCCATGTATCCTCTGGGTTCCTAGTTAAATATGTGCTAAATTGCAAGGTTTACAGCACTGATGATCAGTGTCTACTTGTATTATTTTTCTTAATCATTCTTGTAGGTGAAAAGATAAAATATGGAAGAACTAAATCATAGATAAAAATAAAAATCTTCCTGCCTGTTTCTTAAAGCATTTACAATTGAATACAATGTTCAAAATCTTTTATAAAGCCAGTGACCGTTAAAAAAGATGACATTTACATTTAAGGCTAAATTTTTTCAACCTGCACTTTTCTTCATCATCCTAGTAGATTATTGAAAACCTGTAATAATATTCCTAATTAACGCTACCAGCTCGTCTGCTTTGAAATGTACTTCAATCAAAGGGGAAAAATTCCTTCGCAAGAAACTTGAGTATCGAAGTTAGGTAACTAATTTTTTCTATGTAGTATTTCATGATGGACTTAATATCCCGATATAAGATTTTTTGAAAACAGTCTTTATTGACCTTATTATTTTTTTATTTAATTTAATTATGTTTTCCTGTAATATAAAATGTATTGTGTTCACATGCAAAGAAACGAATTTTAATACAATACGACATGCAAAGTTATTTTATGATTCAATTAGAAATGATTTGTGATAGTTGACTAAAGGTGAAATTGACATCGATATGAGTGACATTACAACTAGAAAGTTCAATAATTACAGTCATCATGAAAAGAAATTCGAATTGGTAGTCCATAGAAATGTGTACCATATTCATGCTTGAATGTACTTGATTTCTAGGGCGTGGGTATGAACTTTTCTGTGTAATTTTTTGTGATGATGGATTTTTCGAAAGCGCAACATTCATTTAAAAAAAATTCTAGTACGACGTTTTTGTATTTGATAGTAGTTAATTGGCTAACTCTTTAATATTTTCAAATACTGCGGTTGAAAACGATCATTATTCTCGTTTTGATTGATCATAAATTGCTGCATCATCATTCATCAAATCCTATGATCGAAAAGATGGACCAAGTTATTCAATAAATTTGTTCCAATGACATTTAATTCAAGTGCACATAATATAAATTTATCTTTAACTGGTCGATGAAAGTCCAAGAAAAAATGCTGTAAAAAACATTTCTACTTCAAATATTCAAAAAAATTAGAGCTGCGAATCTTCCGATCCATGGCACTCATCCACGGCCGTTAATTTTACACTCGTATCTGTGATAAAACTTGAAATTACTTTATGAAATGCAATAATATGTTTAGAATTCTATGTATTGTTCTACACCCACACCCGGTTACCGGCTCCCCACAATATAAGTTACTACGGTCAACCGCCAGTTTTGAAGAACAGCGCGGCTTACCGCTAAAATTGATCCGGTATTTACAATATGGGAAGTACTATATTCATGTATCGATATTTTAATTTTCTTTATTCTCGTCATGAAAGGATGTTTAGAAAAGCAAACCATCTGATTTACTTGTGTTTGGTCTAGACTTAATCGACATTAAGACCTCATTGCTTTAGATTGACATCGAATATTTCTCATCTATAAATCAATCAAGAATAACGTCGACTATTTATATATTTAAGTAGTTAGTTAACATAAACAGTAACACGTATTGTATTACATTTTTTCATATGGTATCTGTTCCTATAAAAGTTCTTATAGGTGTGTATTTAAACTTTTATTCATCAGTTGTTGCGTTTATATCACAAAAAGTAAATATATTAAGCAAGGCATACCAAATTCAAATATAAATATCTCATATATAAACACGATCAGTTCTATACTTCATACAAAAAAATTGACCAAAATGAATATACTCATGGGTGAGTTTTTCAGCTGAAAGAACAAAAATTGATGTTGAGAAAGATACTCTTAGTTGTTGAAATAAATTTTGATATTAACTAGTAATGGATGATTGCTGCCCTTGTTTTAGTTAAAACCTTTCCCGGCAACAAAACAGAAACACACTACAAACATGACGATGGTATAATCGCTTCGATCTTTGTTGCCTTGCTCTCCTTTATTTTTACGTGTATTATCAATGGACTTGCTGGAAGGGTATCTAATAGTAATCAGTTAAATTTAATGTATAATAAAAAATAAAATATTTTTATATTATAGAGCTATTTAAAAAGTCAACAGCTCAAATTAGTGATGAAAATCCAAGTGAATTCACATCGGCTAGTCCAACATTTTTCATCTGGGGACTTGTATATACTTGGCAGGTATGATAAAATAGATAGAAAACATCACTGCATATTTCTTTTAATGACTGTTTTTTTTTCTAGTTAGTGTTTCTTGTATATTCCATCGTAAATATATGGCGAAAAACTGATGATGCCTTTCTTTATATTCATCCATATACTTTACATGCGGCTATTTTTATTCTTTTTATTGTTAATATGCTTTTAAATTCTTTTTCGTTAATTCTATGGGATAGATTTCAATTTGGAGTGAGTTATATATTATTATTTGGGGTACTTCCAATTAGAATGTTTCATTCTATTTAGCTTCCAGCTTCCGTTATTTATGTAATGTTAGCTACGATTGTTGGTACTTGCGTACTGGATCATATTTTTCTATGGCAACAACGATGGAATTTTATTCAATTGAATATGTAAGAGATAACTACTTTCAATTATCCTTAATCAATTAATTCTAGATCGGGTGATATTTGGGCAATGTGTTTCGTTGCATTGAATGGTCATGCAGCTTATTCAGCTTGGTTACTTGTTGCTGCATCACTGAATCTCACTATTTGGCTGAAAAGAAAATTGCCGATGAATTTTGAAGGTTGGGCAGCAACGTTCTCTCTGACTTTACTGTCTATTGGATTCTTGAAAATTTTATATTTCCATCTCAAATGGCTTATACTTGGTCTCCATGGTTAATTTGGTTTTTGACTTTTGCAGGTATTTTGAGCAAACATCGAAGATTACTTGTACAAAAATCATTTAATCAAATCTTCGTGCTGACGATCACTTGTGTCTGTTTTGGATTATTTATTATTCGAGTTATTCTGTTTTCTATCAGATATTCAAGAGAAGAAATACCAACTGGCTTACATCCTGCTGGGCTATGATTAATTTGTATTTATATTTTTTCGTATTTCAAAGATTTGTACACATAAATGCTGTATTGTTTCATCGTGACAATATATTACAAAGTATTTTGTAAATAGTCTTCGCAAGTATACTGATCTCTCAATGAAGCTGACATATGAGTATAATTCGATCAATCAAGTGCAATAGATTTTTATCTTTTAACCAGGGTTGCCAACTGTACCCCATTTGAACTTTTTGTACCCCACAAAAATCTGTACCCCATTTGAACTTTTCCCTTTACACTATATATATCAATCATCTTTCGATATAAATCAATGACATTTTTGGCTTTAACTAGCGTTTTTCTTGTGGAGATAAAAGTGTTAATCATATTAGCCGACTGTCCAAGGAGACAAAACTTTGGAAAAACGCGTTTAAACGCTCAAAATAGATCCATGATTGTGAGCCATTAGCGCTCATTAAAAACTGCAAGTAGCACATTTTATGTTCAAAATTTGTACTTTCAGAACGTAAAAAAGACGGGAAAATTCAGTTTTTAGCGTTAAAGCGCGCTTTTATCCTATAATGTAAAAACAATGCATTTTAGCACTCAAAAACTGGAGTTTTCCGTCGGCTTCACGCTCTAAAAATGAAAGTTTTGAATACATAATGCCTTTCTTGCGTGTTTTCAATGAGCGCTAATGGCTCACAATGGCCGTCCCATTTTGAACGTTTAAACGTGCTTTTCCAAATTTTGTCTGCTTCGGTGGTGATTCAGTCATATGAAGCACTCGTGGACATCAAGTCGAAACTCGATGTCAATTGCGACTGAATGAAAAGTTAGATTGAAGTTGAATACTAAGCTGAAATGTGAAGATTATTATTTATTTGTACAGTCGCAACCAGAAATGGTCAAACTTGCCAAAAGCAAATAGCAATACCGCCATGAAAAAAACTATGTGCCAGTTAATGTGAATACAGAGCGTTTTTTCTAATTAAACATTATTTTTTAATCTTTTGAACAGAAATATGTTGAAAACAGCAATAACTGCGAACTCTTTTGTTTGAAAACAAACATTGCAGATCATGTCTTGCACATAGGCAGTTGAATGTGATCTTTCTTTCGCTAAAAATGCTATTGCCAACCGTTTCGTGACGTCAATTTCTTGTCTTGTAAAAAACGCTTTGTACCCCACGAGCGTATCCCATTAGGAAAAGAATTGTACCCCATGTGTACCCCATTGGAGACGTTCTGTACCCCATTCGGGACCTTTACAGCTAGCAACCCTGCTTTTAACGTTCTATCTTTTAAGCTAGAGTAGAAACTATTAAAACTTAGTTTGTGATCTTAAGATTCAAGAAGCTATGCGAAAAATATCTAATGCAGTTTTTAGAATTGAAATTCTACCTTTAATATCATTGAATAACGAATGAGATGATAGAATTAAACAGTAGATGCTACAAGCCACTCTCTGTCTTCCATAAAAGTCAATTCATGGTGAAAATCTATCGATTATTCAAGTTTTTAAGAGTACTGTAACATATGATGACTGGTTGAAAAAAAGGCTTGTATTTAATTGATCGGTATTTTATTACCAATGTTCAGTAAATTTTAATCAGATGTTCAGTAGTTTTTGTTTAGTAAAAAATGACTTTTTGCTCAGTATATAATTCAAGAAGTTCAGTATTTAATTAATTTCTGCTCAGTTTTTAAATCACGTATTTCAGTAAAAAAGTGTAATTATAATTAACAGAAGTTTGTTGAATCGGCAACATGCTTTTTTAAATTTACTGAGGTTGTGGGTGTGGAGTAGAGACAATCGGCTCCATTGGATCCGGGTCTGAAAATTTTACTGATCGGAGGTAGATTGACAGAAAGATTTGATCCATATTATAATATTTTATGAGTTTTTTAATTTTCGTTCGTTTTAAGCAAAAAAATCTTCAGCTTATTTAAAAAAATTGAAGATTCTGTTTGCTCGATTAGAAAAAACTCATTCAAAGTTTGAACAGTACCTTTAAATTTTGGACCACGGAAAAACTCTTCAGTAGGGGTCGATTTCAACAATTCTGATCGATCTGGTTTGGGTGGAATCCAACAAATTTTAATCGCCTGGGTGTGGGTTCAGCAATTCTTGAGCTTGATGGGCTCTAGCGTTTCATGTGAGTGTCATAAAAGAAAGCTTTCACCCAAAACCCACATCTTCTACGGTAACACTTGTATCCACCTCGTCGTCAAAAGTATAAGTTGGCACATCAACAATATCCATCACCGTTGCCGCTTTAAAATCAAATTAGTAACAATAGTTTTGGTACACCAAAATTCATCTTATTTAAAAAAACCGAACTATTTGCATAGGGATAGACAAAAGAGAAAGAAGGAAACGACGCCAAGCATCGTCTTCTCCATTGTGTAATTGAAAACATGTAAATATTGCAATTTATTCATCTCCGTATATAGCCAGGCCTGTGACAATTCTTCAACGAAGAACGAGAACTGGTATCAGTAACCAGTTCATTTGAAAAGAGCTGAATATTTAAATGAGCTTTTTGTAACGAACTGGGTATGCTAATCGGTTCTTTTTCACAGCTAGAATAAAAACTGTGTAAAGTCGCTGAATGGCAACAATGAGCCTAATTGGAAAAACATTTAATTGAGACTAGTTCTTTAAAAACAGAACCAATTATTAGAACTGTGCGGTCGGGGTCTGACACTCCCCCTCCCAATAATTAGAAATTTTTAGATTTTAAAAATCTTTTGAACGTGATCATGCCACAATATTTAACATATGATAAAATTAAAAAAATGGAATGGTCATCAAATAATAGACAAAATTTATCAATTAAAAAGAAGTTTTTACATCCCCTCAACCTTTGAGTAGCCGGACCATCCCTGTAATATAAAACATAAAATGTAGGTAAAGAAAACATGATATCAATGAATAGGACATCACGTGTATACCATTATCGAGGGGAGCTATGTAACATAATATCGTTTGACTGATGACATCATCATCGGTCAATATGGACAAATCTACTTCTATTTACATCAAAATATACATCGAAAAAATAAAAGTGATTACTGGCAAAAACACTATTTTTTACTGAGGAAATGTATTTTTGCCACAGCAAACTGAATTAATTACTGAAACTTTAATCTTAATACTGAGCAAACAATTACTTAACTGAACAAATGTAATAGTTACTGAATATTAAATTTTGCACTGACAGTTTGATTTCTTTACTGAAAATTTGTATATAATACTGAACAATTTTACTGAACACTTGCAATAAAATACTGAACGCTTAATTTGTCGCCAAAAATAAATAAGCAAATACACGTCTAAACATTCTAGACTGCTTCAAAACATGCCGAACAAGGATTCTACGAGGATGCAAGTTTTCATAGAACAAATATTGTGATAATCACTCACAGACGTTTTGTCATGTGCAGCTTTAGGAATTCGAGAGGTGTCACATATCCGAAATATCTGGCATGCTGGAGATGCCAAGGGAGACGCCGACGTACAAAACATTAACTAATACATAATATAAATACTATGCGTATGTAAAATTGTTTAAACGAATGCTGCGTCTCATGCAGAGACGCCGCATCTCTCGGACTTCTCCACAGAAAGATGTTGCTGCTCTGGCATCTCCATCTCGAGTATCTGCCGAATGAAAAATATTGTTTGATTTTTAGTCTAGACGCCTGTGGAAGATGCCGCCTCTAACGCAGAGACGCCGTGTCTTTAGGGAACTGGTGAGGAAAAACATTTTTCTGATTTGAAGGGTATGACCAATACCTATTCTTGGGTCACAATCAAGTGTGGAAACCGTCCATCCAGCAATGCTGTCTAACTCACTGGGAAGGCGATCCCAGAAATTAGTTCATCGTAGGAGGCAGCGAACAGTGCTTGTGAGCGCCGAAACAATTATCGGCTGGCTAAATCGTAGGCATCCATGGATATAACCAGATAAACGAAACGCTAAATTTACAGTGAATGACAGGTAAAAACAGACGCACTGCGAACCACGTGGAAAAGGCAATTCATTCGATATTGGGGCGTCGCTGCGGTAGACAAGCATGAAAACACGTGCACCTACTTAAACGCAAGTTCAATGCATGCACACCATCCCACGCACCCACACCGACATCTTATAGTGACAATTTGAGTAACAGAGATGCGTCCGTATCTGTTCACCGCCGTTTTCCAGCTTTCATGAGACCCACATTAGGTATGCTGTATACGTGTGAAACGAGCTATTCCGCCTTTCGTGGCGCCCACATTAGAGATGAGGTATGGAAGTGTGTGAATCCGTAATGTGTTTTCGTGTTTCTCTACCGTGGTCGCACATCAACCTTGAGTGATATGCCTTTTTGACGTGGTTAGCTGTCTGCCTATTTTACCTTTTTGTGTCTGATTCAGTGTATATCTAGTGTTTTACCTATGTGACTCTGTCCACGAAAGACTACGATTTAGTGTGCCTACCTGTATTTCGACGCTCACCCTCTCGCTTCGCTCCATCATGTGATGAACTTCCTTTCGGGTTCCGTCCTCGCGGTGAGCTGTACGGCAATACCATATGCACAGTTTCCACATTCGATTGTGATGCACGGACGGGAATTGGTCATAGCTTTCAAATTAGGAGAGTAATTTTCTTCAGTAGTTGCCGGAAGATGTAGCGTCTGTGCGTGAGACGCGGAATCTCGCTATGGAGACGCATCTCCAGGAGGCTAAAAAGCAAAAAATATTTTTTCATCGGGAGATACGGCGTCTCTGCGGCAGATACAGATTGCGCCTGATGGATTCCTTATAGCTATGATATTTATATTTGCTGGGAGTATTGCTGTTGTGTATCCCGCATCTCCTGCGGCATCTCTGGCATGCCCGATTTGTTCGATATGTGACACTGCTGGAGAGATATTTCAAAGGCTTCGTATGACCTTATTTATCTAGTGGTATAGAAATAATACGTTCTAATATTTTTCACATCACTATTATATTCATTAATTTTAGTAAATATAATTAACGATTGAAGTACTCTATTTAATAGTATTTTAATATAGGAAGCATTTTCAGTTTACTTAAATTCATCTGTCTATTCTTTTTTTTGTTATTCATGTTGAAGATTTATCAAATTATAATTCAAATGCACCACTTATTCTAGAAGGAAATTAGATTTTCAGTGAAGATTAATTTGACGAGCTTCATTTTCCAGTACTTTTCTATATATTTTGTTTTGTTTAGAAAAGCTCAATTAACTCAACAAGTCATCGAAGGATCATCAAAACCGTTTTGATAGGATAGAAATCTATTTCGTCTTGTTTTTATTGTCTCCTGAAGATTGGTATTATTTGATAAACTGAATTTATCTAGATTTCTTAATATCAAGAATAATTTTATTGATTTCCACATGTTGAAATGTCAATAACGAAAAAAAGACTATTAACGTAAAGAAATGTATATAAAATATATCCTAGTCACGACGTACTGAAGTCAATGTCGAATATATATGAATGTATTATTTTAGTTTTCTATTGATAGAAAGTCATCGTATTAAGTTTTTCCTTTGAATCGTATTTTCGGAATTCATTCATATATACAATACAATAAGGGACCGCGCAGTGTTTGATAGGTGTCGTTAGCTATTGACGACTGATTGTTTTTTTCTTGCGTTTCGATAGACGAATATTTTTAAGTTTGCAGTGGAGGTTCTTTCTATCCATTGATTACATTCTTGTTACTTATTGATGGACTAGTTGGATCTTTTTTAGTTAGATTTTCATTTCTATTATCAATATTTATTGTATCGTTTTTATTTAAGATTAATATAATTCTCGCGTCAGTACCACTAATACAATGACAAATCCAAAAGGTTATCGTCGTGGTACGCGTCATTTATTTGCACGCGATTTCAAAAAGAATGGTCGCATTCCTTTGGCTACCTATATGAAAATCTATAAACGTGGTGATATCGTCGATATTAAAGTTAGTTTTCGAGCTTGTCTCCAAAATATTCATAAAGTCGCTATATTGTTTTCGATTAGGGTAATGGTGCTGTACAAAAAGGTATGCCACATAGATTCTATCATGGTAAAACTGGTCGCGTTTTTAATGTAACTCGACATGCTGTTGGTATCATTGTTAACAAACGTGTTCGGTGTGTAGCTCGAATTTTGTTTTGCAATAAGAAAACATAATGTTTTCCATTTTAGTTACCGCATTATTGCTAAACGAATTAATGTCCGCATTGAACATAGTAAGTTATTTTATTTAGTGCAACTTTTATTTTATTTTCTTGAGTTTAGTTAAACACTCACAATGTCGTGCTGATTTTCTCAACCGTGTTAAACTTAATGAACAATTGAAACGAGGTGCCAAAGAAACTGGAAAGAGTGTACCACTCGCTAGTATTAAACGACAGGTGATATTCAAAAAAAAATATCAACTAAATATTTTTATTATTTGATTTTTCTTTTTTTAATAGCCACAAGGTCCACGACAACAACATTTGGTTCAAACAGGTGGCAATAAACCACAAATCGTTGAACCAATTCCATATCAATTCGTAGCATAAAAAGAAATTTTTTTTTCATTGCTACTTTCGTTGTTTTTAAAATCACGTTTATCTGGCATCGTGAAGAAGAAAAAAAAATGAAAAAAGAACGATCGGAAATAAAATAAAAAAAGCAAAGATGAAAATCATGTTTTATTCTTCAGTTGATTGATAATATGAATTGTAGAAAAGAAAATAGTTTTCATTCAAGTAAATTGATAAACAACCGTCTACAAGCTATATTTCAGCGTTTGTCGAGAATGTAAAAGTTAGATTAATTATTACTACATCTGAGATTATGATTAAATACTAAACTTACTGCTTAATCATAGTATTTTATATTTATGAGATTTGTGTGACGAATATAGAATCTATCCTGTTACATGCGAGTAGATAAGCTGATAGGTGAGCGCTCTAATGTATATGTTTCTCGTCATTCCAATCCTTGACATTTTAGTTCTGGATACCTCAGTCACTTGTACCGGGGTTTTATCGCATAAATATACTATTGAGATCAATCTATTTCAAAAAGTGCTTTTCAAACTTCTATAAAAATTTTTGAACACATACTTTAGATATGTCGAGTTAATCTTTGATTGAAAACTAAAAATTATCAGTTACTGAAAAACAAACCCTAATTATAAGTGAATTAATGTTTTTACCTTTTCATGGTAATCTTAAGTAAAAACATTCATAAACTAAATTAATACTATCAAGAAAAGATAGTACTGTCAACGCTGATTCCTCCTATAATTGTTAGTTTTTCTTTCATCAATTTTCATGATGACATTAAAACAACATTGAATGATCGGTACATGCAGGAGTTAATTTTCAAAAAAAAGAAATAGAAAGAGCCGTAAATAGATTAACGCATATTAATATATTTTTGTAATCTTTAAAAGCTTATTTATACATAATTGCTGTCGAGATTATCTCAGCATACAACTGGAATTCATCTTTTTGAGAAGTAGCTATGTGAAGGTTAAGCATCATAATATTTGAAAGGCTCAAAAAGTCGGCAGAGCTCCAGTGTGCGTCGAATGCTCTGTTTTCAAGAAACTGATCTATTCTGTTGTCTGACAGTTGAAACTTTTTGTATAATCATGTGCACTAGCTGTATTCATATTTCTGTTCAATCGAATGGAAACAAATCAGAAGCTATTCCTTCAACACGAATGATTTTGTCTGAATTAGTAGATACTATTTTTGTTTTTGTACGAATAAGTGATGATAACAATACAATCGGAACTATTTTTATCTTTCAGATCGATATGGCTTGTCGATCATTCATAAAAAATGGTTAGTGTGTTTGTTGTTGAAAGATCTTAAAATACATATCCTGGTTTCTTTCAAGGTTCACATCTTTTGCGACCTATCCTATTTAGCCGAACTATAGTAAATGGTACGCAAGACAAACCACCATTTCCAAAAGTACTTCGTATGTTTCAGTGTAATACAATGTTATCATGCATAATATATTTCTTGTTCGAAATAATCTAGCTTTTGGATTACCATTACAAAATGAATTACCCGAAGTAAAAAGTGTTCCTGATACACCACCAAATCACCAAGTTTATCCGAATATATCTCGACGATTACTTGAATGTCGCGGAATAGAAATTATTCATAATAAACTTATACATAAACAATATGGTATTATGGTATGCTATTAAACAGCAAATAGTTGTACTTCTTTTTTTTAAATGTTACATTTTTCGTCATAATTATTTAGGCTCTTGCTCCTGGTTTAATGAAAGAAAATCACTTCAATACAATTCGCGATATGACCAATAAACGAATTGATATGGAACGATGTTTTTCTATATGGCGTGTTGATCCACCTTGGCATCCATGGTATTTTAAAGGTTTAAATAAGAAACGAGGTGCTGGTAAAGGCAGTCTAGAATATTTTGTTACACCAATCAAAGCAAATCGAATTATCATTGAAATTGGTGGTTCATTGTCATTCGATTATCTTTATCGTACATTATTAACAATTGCAGAATCATTACCATTTCCGGCTATACCCGTATCTCAAGAGTTATTGGACAAATGGGAAGCTGAGAGAAATGAAATTCAAGAGAAAAATATTAATCCACTTCGATGGGAATATTTAATTCGAAACAATATTATGAATTGTCATCGATTCACAGATTTTTATGATATTGAATTTGCACGATATGGACCAAAAGTTCGATAGAATTTATAAATATACATGTGTGTGTATGCCAGTTTTTTTTTTGTTAGTTTTGTTTATAAAAGAAAAAAATGAATTTTCATTTGCAATTGGAACATTCTTTAACTTGAATAATCACTGCTATATGATAATATAGTATAAACTTAAGTCAGACAAAACAAGAACATGTCAGACATTTCATAAAAGACCATGTTGTGACAAATTAACATTTGACAGAAGGAAATATTTACATAGAATTGTAATAAGTATCTTTATTTCTTTTTGGAAACAAATGTCCTTGTTCGAAACTCATGACACTCACAAATGTAGGCAGATTTCTTAGTATTAAAAAAAAAAAGCAGATGTTTATCTAGTGATATTACTCAGACAATGCATATTTACGTATTAATTATCGTTACAACTGATTCTATTTTTATAATTGAATCTATGTTGTTGACAGTCTGCGTGTATTCAAATTGATAAAACTTTGATATGCAACAGACATTCTGACTAAGTATGTCATCAAGCGTTCATTAAAGAGAAAAAGTGAATTTATTCAACATGAAATGAGTCGAAGGTTTAACTAGTCTTTTTTACTAAGAATAATTAGTATTCTTCTGAGAACAATATTAATTAGATAACATGATAAAAATAGTGGATTGAAATTGTTTAGACAAGAAACTCTTTGTCTGATAATGAACGTTGATTAACTTGAATAAATCAACATCTTTCTCGCTGAATTATTTATCCTTGTCAAATTAAGTTGAACACATAGTAAATAACAATAGTCACATAGGGTGACGATGCATGTTACTCATAAAAATTGATTTATTCCTAGATAAAAAAAAGCACAAGAAGTTATCACATCGAACGATTAACTGATTTCTGTTTTTCTATATAAACATGCTATTATTATTTGTGTTCTATCTAGCATCAAGGTCAAAAGCGAGCGGCGCCTTCCAGGATATTGAATTCATTCTGCTTTGAATCTTTATGTTAAATGAACCCAATGCCAAAAAAAGACTAGAAAACGGTGCATGTTTATTTTCTTTTGTTTACTAGAGAAATTTAAATATAATACATACACGGAATTTTCAGTTTGTTAAATAGAAAAATCTTTTGTTGGTAAGATCTATTAATTTTGATTTCCGGATTATAACCCTTTTTTTGCCATACTGAAATTGCAACTATTAACATATATCGAATCTTTCAATTATGATCCTAATTCACTGATAATGTTTAAATATGTTACTCGGTTTCTGATAAAATTTCTGTTTTTTGTTGTTGTTGCTGTATGTTATAGAATTTCAAGTGGAATATGTTTAAAGGAAAAGCTTAATGGAAAATATCGACAATGCATCCTTTCTTATAATTATTTCCTATTGTTCGCTTATAATAAATCTTAAGCAGTCAGAATATTCTCCTGCTGTGATTAGAATGAAGTTCTGCATCTGGAGACTTAATAATAAACATCTCATGAATATCTGTGCTTGTTACGAACACAAAGATCCAAACGTAGTGGCACGCCCTCGTTCTATCATACTTCCTCTTAGCGAAAAAACAGATACTACCGCCTTGACAAGATAATTCTATGATCGAGCTGAAATTAAAAATCTTGTGTGTAATGAATAAAGTTTTTTGCATGCTAATAAATGTTTACCAATAATTTAAGATCACAATCAAACTATTCAATTAATATTAAAAGTTTTCAGTTTTTCTTCGACAATTAGAACTATTTCGAAAACAAAACTGATCGATTTTTAGACTAAAAAACAACGTTTTCTATGAAACGAATACAAAATCCTATCAGTAAACGATGTTTTCATTTGTGAAAACAAAAGAAATAAAAGCGATCGGTTGTTTATGGGTCGTGTTGTATTTGCTTGTCCTCCCCTCCTCAGCGTAGGCCCTTTCTCTCAGAAAGTCTCAAATTACTTCTCCGAAAGAACAACAAACTTACACAAAACACTAGTTATTAAGAGAGCTTTGTAAAATTGAAATTAGAACAATAATTAGTTAAGACTTATTAGGTTCTGTTTTTGTCATTTTTTATATTGCATAAAATCTCTATGTCATCAAAGGTGCCAAAAAAACGAAAAAGTAACTATAATTCTATTTTAAGCACTTATTAAGGATAGTTCATTAGTTCTAGTTTATAGTTTATTTATATCAATCTTGTCAAATTTTAATTGCCAATCTAATAATATACATCATCTATAATATATATTTACTGAAGATACTGATTGACGTTTATATAGACACTTGCATATAATCTTTTTAGCTGATTTTATCTAAAACTGACTATTATTAATATCTTCTGGCGTTTTTATTTCATTTTACGCGTATGCACAACAGGACCGATCTTGTGTCGGTCGACTGAATCTTGTTCTTCTATGAATAGCTGTCTCTTGTTGTTTTGATTTATCCTCGAAATATAGAATGCTAATAAGAATAGAAAAGATAGAATTAGTGCGAACAAATCCCAAATGGCAATGCAACAAATGTGAAAGCCATTATTCTTGTTTTTACTATTCTATAGTAGCATGTACTCAATAGTTTTTCTATAGTACAAGTAAATACTATCCTGATCATTTCAATAGCGAATGCTACGACAGGCTATTGTTATTCAATACAACGGTTAGGTCTAATTAAAATAAAACCGAGTCTAATCACGGATACATTTTTTCTTTTTTGTGTTATTGTATGCATACACATACAATGGAACATCAGAAGAAATGAGATTTTTTTATTTCTTGTGAATTTCTCCGTTCGACGACGCGTGACTGATATTTGTATCCGAGTATGTTTCTTCCAAGTGTTACTTTCGCAAAAGCAGCATTCTGTATTATCATGTTCTACTCACTATTTTCTTTTTTTCTTTTTTTCCTCTAGTCATCTGTCTCACCCCTCCTTCCCTCATTATTATTGCGTGTCAGTTACATTCAGTGTTCATCATGTGCGAGAGTGAGAAGAGAAAATGAAAATGATGAGTAGTAATATGATAGCAGAAAAGAGCAGATATAAATAAAAATTAATTAAAAAAGACATGTACTTCTAAGAGGGTAAACTAAATTGAAACAATTTTCTTTTCCTTTCCTTTTTTCTTTCTGTTATTTCTTAAGTTACTGTCTGTTATGGGTAAGTATATCATTTATTGAAATTTGGTTTTATGTCTAGTAAACATGAAAATCATGTAGAAATAAAATTTTCTATATTGATCGGGAAAATTTTTATAATTTAAGTGAATAGCCATTGATCAACAACAAATATTCTTAGTTTTCCCAAGGACAATACACTTATAAAGATATATATATTTATATATTGATATAGATTAAGTTGAAAAGTTCGATCATAAGTGGAAAATACACGTCAACACTTGCACAAACACTTGATGTTTTGGGAATGCATGACGTAGAGGAAGTGCATTATCAGAAAAGGCTACGTCTATCGAACAAATATTAAGCGATAGCGACGGAAAAATCATAAATATATGACGTAGGCGAATATAAGTTATTGGCTTCATATATAGAATTCAATAAGTATCTTTCTAATTTTATAAAAAAAAGAAAAACAAGAAGAAAAGTAAGTGGTTATGAATATTTTTACAAAGAATTTCGCAAGGCTCATAACAGTAAAAATTTTTGTTATTTCTAGTTGAAGCAATATTTTATAGATAGTTTCTTTTTTCTGCTCGAAGCCAACTATTGTTTGAAAAGTCACGGATTGTTTTCTAAAGCAAAGCAAACGACGTAAAATGACCTGTATATGTCACACTCATTTATTTTGCTTCAATAAAAAATATTTGTGATTTTTTTCTTCTTGACTGCTAACATATAGACGACATGCATCTCAAAGAGATATCTATGTGACTGTGTTCGACGTTATAACATGCTCATTTCACTTTGTATGAACTGTCAGCATGAAGTCGGCACTGTTTGGGTGTTTTATTGGTTCATGCTAGATCATAGCGTATTTCTAGACATTTGTATGTATATTTATATCTATCTAAAAAAAGAATATCAATGATTACATGCAAAATTTTCTTTGATAGTTTCAAAGTTATTTGATTTCAGCATTGTACATCTTTCTCTCTTGATTTGACACTGTTTTAGAATCTCAATCAATATAACCAGGATTAAGTCAAATATTCTGTTCTGAAATATTTAAAAAAAACAACAGATTACTCTTTTACATGCATCTGTCGCCTCTAAATATGAATCTCGCTTATGTTCTAATCTATAATTAAGTTAAAAATATTTAAAAATATAAATTTGAAGTTAATTAAGTGTAACATAATTCGAAATGTACATCAATTGAAGACTAGAAATATTCTATGGCGTTTTTCTTTTTCCTATGGAAAGAATTATATATCTGTTAAGTACATTTTTCTTCGTTTGTAAACGCATCAAGATTTTTAAAAAATCAAGCAGAACACCTCAGAGAATTAGTCTTATTCTATTGAAAAGCTCTATTATGGCTTATCCAAACGTAATGCTGTGACATTTGACAAATTGTTTTGCAATTATCCCGAAAGGCATAAGAGCTAACAAGGTCGTTCAAATATCATTCGACACAGCTCATCATAATCTATTTATTTTGCAAAAATGACCTAGTTTCACTGAACTCTGGTGTAGGTTTTATCTTGAGGGTTTGTGGGTGTGGGGATGGGTGTGAGTATTTTGTTGCTATGTATTGTTCTACACACACACACACACCCTTTTTTGTCGACCGAATTTGAAGCACTTAACTTGCTTAAAAAATTTTAATGTTTACATATATTGATCACTGCCGTACATATATCCTTCTTTAGAAAAGTCAAGTTGCTACATTGAAATAGGCGCTCAATAACTTTACAGTAAGTTAGAAACTGTGCAAAAGCTTAGAAGTTGTTCTGAGGAATGAGAGTAAAAAATAAATAGGTCATTTTGTAGAGAATCAAATTCTGCATCGAATGGTATATTAATCTGCATTTTTGTTTTAAATTTCTTGGTTAGAGAATTGAAAATACGATTTTTGAAAACTTTAAAACGCGGTTTCGATGTCAAAACTCAATTTTTAAAAAAAAAGTCCAAATTCATAATCAGCGTAAAACACTGTACCAAAAAATGCGCTTAGATCTGTCCACATCGAAAAGCAAATTTTTTAAAACTTGATCTGCGCAGTAGCGTGTTACGTGGAGAAGTCGATTATTAATGATTTCTATATAAAATTCTTCAGCTAACTTGACTTTCTGCTGCTAGCTATTTTTGAATATTGATCGTTATTGACGCGATTTGTCGTAATAGAATTAGACTGCTAGATTATATAAAAATCTCATACGATGTCAATTAATTTTTTCCGTTTGTAACAATCGAAAATCAGTCAAAAGCATAAACAATATGCTCAATACTTGAATGAGACTTAAATCAGACATATAGGATCATTGTTGTCTATAGATCTGTACCACGGAAGATGCTATTGCCTAAAGCTAAGTTGAAGCGTGGCAAATGCCGGCTGTATTCTCCTCTATTTTTTTCCTTTCTATTCTATGTCGACATGAGCAAAATATAATGTTGATGATGATATTTTTGCCTCGTCTAGAAAATGTATTAGGCGACCAGCAGTGTTCCCCAGAAATTTGTTTTGTTCATCCATCTGTTATATACAGAAAGAATGAAATAAATTTTCTACCTGAGAATAATTAAATACAGCAGACGTTTTAAGATCTTGAGAGGAAAACAAAAAAGAAATCATATATTAGTTTATCGGAGAAATAGATATATCATACTTTTTACTTAAAATATTAAAAAAAACACCATATATTTTTATGAGTATTATTCAATATAAATTACTTGAATAACAACAAAATGTAAGTCTGCCTCATTTTCTTTTTCTTTATTAACCAAGTTTTCTTTTTTTTAAAGAGTTTCTAATAGAATTTCTTGTCATATTAGATAGCTTTTAAATTTTCCTATATGTCTGTAAACGCCTTCAAACAGTTAATTGAGTTGTAACAATGAGAAAATTTCGCCCCCCTCCCCTCACATTCTGTGGTAGGCTAAGTATAGAAATATTATTCTTCTATCACTACCTTTTTTGTACGCGTCGTGTTCATTCTATGAATAGTAAATTTAGCCAAGTGGAAAAAAAGAAGACTGAAATAGTCGTCTTCGAAATTTTATAACATGATATTTCTATAGAAACAAAAATCATACGCTGTATTCTCTCTCTCTTTATGTATATATATAGATATGCTATTTTGTAGATGAAAAATACGTAATCTCTGTAGATTCAAATAATGAATACAACAATTGATACCGACGATAGTATCAATGGAAGTCTTGTAGACGATTGGGAAAGTTATAAAGCTTATACACGATTTTATTATTTAACAGATGAAGCTTTTCTATATGCTAACCCAATTTTAATACTAATAGGTATTTAAATCGATTATATTCTATTAATTTTTGTATAAATTTTAACAATTTAAGGTATTCCAACTCATGCTTTATCTATGATAATATTTCTTCGTAAACGTATGTGTCGTTATCCAGTGTCTGTCTTTATGGCAATGTTATCCTTAGCAAACATTCTTATTCTGGCTGGCCCAGTAACCATGCAATGGCTCAATCATAAAGTTTTCATTGGTTTTGTTGTAACCGGTTCTCCGTTTTTATGTGCATTTCATGTTTATATTGATTTAGTTGGCTCATCAATCAATTCTTGGCTTATTTTAATGATTGCTGTCGAACGTTATTTATCTGTAACAAAACCATTCTTAATTCGAACAAGTTTTAATCGTCGACAAGCGTGGATTATTGTTCTTAGTGTATTTTTAATTGCACTTATAGCACCGCTTGGCCTGGCTATAGTTGCATCTAATGTTAATGATTGTCTTTTATTTTTTTCAAAAACTTATCAAATAATTGGTTCCATACAAATCTTTTTTATTTATGTTTTACCATCGATATTTATATTAACATTAAGTATAATAACAGTACATAAATTAAGGAATCGTATACGTTCAAGTGGTTCCAGACGTATACATATTAGTGTAATGTTAATTACTGTTTCATTTTCATTTATAACATTTACAATGCCATATCAAGTCTGTTGGTATTGGTTATTTTCAACAGCAATTGGCAGCGTTAAGTTAAATCTTAAAGTTAATATACTTAATATTGGCTTTCGATATTTATCATTAACAATAAGAAATTTAAATTACACATTAAATTTCTTTTTATATTCTTTAACATCAACGGTTTTTCTTAAAGAAGTCTTTACAATTGCACATTGTAATTATTTCCTTAATGAAACATTCCTTGGACGTAATTCAATATTTCGTTGCTTATGTGGATGTTTTACTGTGCCCGATGAACAGCGTGAACAGCAGCCAATAAATAAATCTGTCAATCAGGAGAAAATAAATGATGACAATAATTCTACTAATCAAAACTATCAAAGTTTTTCCAATTATCTACATTCGAATAAAGATTCTTCAAAAAATGATAATAATCAATTAGAAAATGAATTTCTAAATGGACATTTAAATTTAGATACAACTACAACAAATGTATCAATTAATTTAAAACCATTAAAAACAAAACCTAAACCAAAAAAATTAAAATGGAATTTAAAACCAGCCAATAAAAGTTTATCATCAAGTCATTTAAATGACGATGATGATGATCAAGAACAGCAACAACAACAACAACAACAATTACAAGCGCAACAGCAACAGCAACAGTCATCATTCAATTTTACTTCAACATCAAATATTCATGAAATAAATAAATAAATAAATAAATAATAAAACGCACGAATAAATCAATGTCTCTTTTATTGTTGTCTATGTATGTATGTGTGTATGCATATTGATTTCGTTTTACTTTTGTTTATCGTTCGCGTGTTTCACCTTGATTCTAGAAAAAACCATAAGTTATTTGTTCTCGTTCTTGTTCTACAAAGCGAAAATTAATCATATAATGTCATAAATATTGTTATATTTCGTATTCTTCCTCTTATTAATAATTACATGAACAATATAATCAAATGTGTTCTATTGAAAAATATCCATACAAGCAAAACAAAACGATTAGAACTGCACCACTAACATCATTCATTTGATGTTAACACTGGTTTAACAGGATCTTAATTCAGCATATTCATAGTTCATAATTTCAAAGCATAGAACAAAAATTAGTTATTTCTTAGACAAACTAATGAACGAAGAAGAGTATAAGTCTAATTGATAAAAAGAACAACATTGAAACGAATAAATTTCAAATGAACTATTCTTATCGCTGCGTGTGGCGTCAATAATGGAATTATTAGTATTGTTAGTATCTTACAATGGTGCATTTTAATTTAATCTTCATGAATGAATTTAAAGAAATGTTGAAGCTACTTAATGTGAATACATTAATTCTAGATGATAATGAGAAGAACCAACACCAACTATTTTTATCCACAGATTCAACCAAGAAAATTATATCAATTTGATAAACTTCGGAAGGAAAAAACATAATCAACGCATCATTGCCCACACCGTGTATTTAACAATTGGCTTGAGCTTTTATCGTAACTTATTATCAAACGAATGCACTCTTCTACTTTACTGAGAAACCACTGCTAGCATGTTCCTATCCGCAAAGCTTGTTTTTATTTTTCGTAATTTCTATTTATTTCAATCGAGAAAAATACATTTTGTAATAGTATTTTTCTTAGGAGCCTCTCTATTACTTTAAATATTGAATGAATAAGGTCAGAATGACAATATTAATAATGAAATAGAAGAATCTTTTTGTAATAACGTATGCAATTCATAGATCCGATGCTCTTGTAATTTAATAAATAGCTTTAATTGAGTGCACAATTGCGTTCTTTCCCCAAGTTGAAAGATAAAACAATGACCTTTTCTCATTGCTGATAGAGACAAAGTTCAGAAATGAAATTGTTTTTGGCTGCTCTCTAAACAATACGACATGGAGAAGATCGGAGAAAATATTTGATTAGATAAAACAATTTCCTGTCAGGCGAAGTGCTTTTTCATTGTTATTAACACGTTTTAACGTAAGATCTCAAGAAAACCCAAGACTAACATAATCAGCTTTCTAAATTCTATTTGAAACTCAATGTAAATAAGTTCATTCGTTAAAGAAAATATTATTGAGGACAAAGAAAATGTCTTCGGTTCTAACACAAGCTATTATAAACGAACGCAATTTCCTGTTAATCAACCCTAAAAATCTATTTTTAGTTATTTTTAATGGAAATTTATGAGTTTACTGCGCTTTGAACTTAAGGGCTTTCCAATAATGAACAAAATCTGCAGACAATACCCTACAGGCACTTCTGGAACGTTGTGTTTTGTCTAAGATGAACTGCTTTACACAAAATATTCATAACGAAATCCAGAGCAGTGCTTGTTTTACTCATGACTTTTTTCTTCTACGTATCTATTATGAACAACGAATCATACGGAGTTTAGACAAGCACTGCTTCACATAGAATACTGTTAAAAATAATAAAATGCTTTTACTAATTTGTTGTAACAGTTACGGTTGATTATACAAGTTGTAAATGCACTTATTTCTAAACTGTTTGTCTGTGTTTCATTTAGAATATTTGTGTTTTATACATTGACGTTATATGGTTGCAATGAATCTCATTATGAGAATATAATATAGCTTTTAATAATTAGTAGGCTTTGAACAGCTTTCTTGCTGTAGGATGAACACCGTAATCGCAATCAAATAAGCATATGAGTAATTTCAGTTCCAGACAGCATTACTAATTGATTAGTATTGACACGTGACAAATGTTCACCATTCAATTGTATGATCATAATAATATACATTAATTGTCGTAAGAATCGTGGCAATACTATTGCGAAATCTCGAATAGGTAGACTTTCTGCAAAATATTTCACGTTATCGACTTGGTCAACAACAGTATCGTGATTAGATTAAAGATCGAAGAAATCTATCAGATAAATTTTTATGACTTCTAATATCAACAAAGAATGCCAAGTTTTTCCTAAAAATAGTACTTATTCAACTGTTTTAACTTACAAATTGATCGATCAATCCGAATATTTTTGTATGTGTAGTATGCCTGTCAAAACTAAGTTATGTAGATTTTTTGAATTTTTATTTCTTGTTCTGTAGTTGTTATGAAACTTAAAACAAGAAGCAAATTTCTCTTGAAAATAATACTTTTCAATGGATTAAAATAATTAAATCTTATGGTATTTGTTTAACATTGGACTATTCTAAGTTTAATAGAAACCATTAGTTTAAAGTTTATTTTTAAAGCATACCATCCTACGTTTTTTAATAATATCAATTTATTCTTCGTCCATCTATATCATATGTGGCGTAACATTCGTTGACATTATGTGAGTCTCGGCCACATCGAGCGCAATCTAACTGTCGACCATCTATATCGAAAGTAGCATAACAATTATCTTCCAAATGTGAATCTCTACCACATCGGTCACATCTCATTGTCTTACGATTAAAGTTACAGTTATTGGCATAATGACCATAATTTCCACATGAAAAGCATCGTACTGTTGGTGAAATACGATTGGACTGATTTCGAACATTACAATTGCTCGAGAAATGTCCAGCTTCTCCACAAGTATAACATCGATCTGTATTCATTGCTTGCCTTATAGTGTCTCGTTGTATCGATGTTAAATTTATATTTGACCATTGTGCACCTCTCACATTATCTATACCGAAGTTTTTCATATACTCTAATGTTTTTTTCATTTCATCAAAATCACTGGTGACATTTTCATGTTCAATCATTTCATAAGGTCTATAAAGTTTTGTCCATTCACTGCCGTATTCCCCATTTAAATGCTCACTAAATCGTCGAGCAATATTTGATGTTTTTCCAACATAATATTTATTGTTTTTACATTTTAAAACATAGATTTGTTCCATTGCCTGAAATCACACGTCATTAATTAGATAAAAGAAGAATATACACTTCACTGTTTATCACATGAATTATTTTAAATCAAGATAAAGGAAATAAGCTTGGCTTTGCGTAATTATCTCAAGTTTGTTAAACAGAGATGCTTCTATGAGTGAATTATACACAAAACATTTTTGATATGACGCAATTATGTGATTGTCAAATCATTCAGTAAAAAGGTTAAAGTCAATAAAAAAAAAAAAAAAAAAAAAAAAAAAAAATTTTAAAAAAAAANTACCTGACATAAAATTAATGAAAATATAACTGAAAAATAAATAAAACAACAGTTTTATCAATGAGAAAACAAAAAATTCATACATACTGTCCTTCACGTTATCTTTGTATAATATTCGCTGGAGAAACTCAAATAGCTCACAAGTGAATAAGAAACTTACTAATTGAAAATAACTTCTTTTTTACTTTTAAATAAAATATGACCTTCTCTAAGATTACTATCAACAATGTACATTTCAAAACTTAATATAATGGCTTAATCGAAAACGAATGAACTTTTCTAATTTAAAGTAATCCATCAAATAGAAAATTATGAATGTTGCCCATGTAATTACTACAAACTGTATATGCAAAACAGTTCGCGTAGAGGTCGCTAATGCATAGAGTATTATGCGGCCGATATGGAACATTGTTGTAACCAGTAAAAATCCTGTTCATAGTTTATTTATTATTATTGATCCACATTTTTCCCGAGATTTTGTTTTGTTTTTTGAACCATATTTCTCTTTTCACTAGCATTCATCATGCCTAATTATCAATTATTATGCATTTTCAAAAATCTCCCCAAGGTAGATAAAATTTTTGATAGATTTCAAGCTTTATATAATTATCTTTATTTTAGTCTGAGCTGATGATGGGAATTAAAGCAGCGGCAACATGCATTTTAGATCATAATGGTGTTATTAAATCATTTGAAAATCTCGGTTTACGTCGTCTTCCAATTCGCCTTATGGGTAATGATGCACAAATATATCGTGAAGGACAGTATGTATGAATTTTTTGTTTTCTCATTGATAAAACTGTTGTTTTATTTATTTTTCAGTTATATTTTCATTAATTTTATGTCAGGTACAACGAAAATTTATGAAGTAATGGCTGCACTCAAACGTGAAAGTGATATATTACGACGAGTTATCTCGAACGATGATAAAGTTAGTGAAAAACCTGAATGTCATTGTGATAAATACGGGTACTTTGTTACGGATATTGTTGATTATACAAAACCATTGACTGTATGGAACAAAAAGATAATTGATCCTTTGTATAAAACACGTTTATAAAAACTTTTTTGGTTGCGTTATTGAAAGTAGAAAAATAAAAAAGTAAAAATTTCGTTTCTTGTCATTTCTGCATTACTACTCATTTTATTGCACAACTATGAGTAATCAAATACTGAAATGTTTTTATACCTTGAAAAAGGAAAAAGTTACACACACATTTTTCCACATATAGCAATGACAGCTACTGTAAGTATCGAGCAGCACAATATATCATTACCAAATAGCCACGATAATGGAAAATTAGCGTTTTTCCTATTGAATGTATTTACACCAGAAGAATGTCAACAATGGATCGAATTAACAGAAAAACGTGGTTACAGCCCAGCATTGGTAAATATTGGTAACCTACAAGTTTTGATGACTGGTGTTCGAAATAATGATCGATGTATAATTGATGATGTTGCTATGGCACAAATTATATTCGAACGCATTGAATCCTATCTACCGAAAAAATGGAAAGAACATCAATTAGTTGGACTTAATGAACGCCTTCGTTTTCTGCGTTATGATCCTGGTCAAAAATTTAAACCACATTTGGGTAAAGTGAGCTTGCTTTTAAGTTCATTGTTTTTAAATATTTTTTTGGTTTACAGATGGAGAATACGCTCGAAACGATGAGTCATTAGAACGCAGTTTTATTGTAAAATTTTCATTTTCATTTTCATTTTCATTAGTTTATTTTTTTCCAGACAGTTCAACTCTATTTAAATGAAAACTTTCAAGGTGGTGAAACAACTTTCATTCATAACACGGATTCCAGTAAAAATGTTGCATGCATTCCGCGTACAGGAATGGTACTTATATTTCAACATGATATACTTCATGAAGGATCACAATTGATAAAAGATCGAAAATATACAGTTCGAACTGATGTTATGTATAGACCATTGAAGAAGATAAAATCTTCTAAAAAATAACGATGCAAACTTCGAATTGTTTATTTTAATCTAAAATGTATTCTGATAATTTAATCTCAATTAATTAATCCTTTATAATAAAAAAATAAATGAAGAAATATCGGATTCGCATCCGATTGTTATGTGTGCTGCAAAAACTGAGTCGATTTCTATATGTTTGGAATAATTCTGAGAAAAAATTTTTTTTTAAAAAACCCCCCCCCCCCCCCCCCCCCCCCCCCCCCCCTCAGGGATGGTTTGATCGGTAATGACAATTTTTTCGATAACTCAGCCATTTCTTGACGGATCCTTCTCATCTTCGAACTCGGCTGAGATATTGATGAGATCATTCTGTGCACAAAATTTCATGACAATTGGATTAGACTTTCAAAGGTTATCGTGTTAACGGCCGGACGGACACACTGACCGAATCTCGAGTGTACTCACTTTTTTTGAGTACACAACAAGAAGTCAATAATGAGTCACATGTGATATATATATATAAAGAATTGACAAAGACTGAAATGTTTTCCTAACGATTTATGTGCATGTCAAAACACATGAAAAATAAAACTAGCCTATCATACACTTCTTATATGATAAACGCATTTGAAGGAGAACTTTTTGCTTATTCTCTAATTATTTATATGAATGATTATATAGCGACTTGATTAAAATCTGGTATATTTCCTCAACAGTAAAGAATACATATCGCATTCGAATACATCAACTAAAACTCTAAACTTCACTATTTACAATCGGTCACTGTGAGCAGTTACTGTGCCATTCTAAAGATGAATTTTCTTAGAGTTTGATTACATGTGCTGTTTATTATGATTAAACTAGAATATGCATTTTCTAAAAGTGATTATAATTAATATTAAATCTCTTAGATCGTTCGAGTATTAAGACCCATATATTGATAGTTTTTAAAACTTTGAATTGCTTGTTTTGAATCTTTAATAACATGTTGGCAATAATTTTCATACTTATATATGTTCGACATCGATATAAATATAGTCAAAGAAAATTAAAATTATACTTAATTCTATTAATCTACTTATTAATTCAATCAAACTCAAAGATAACTTTCAAAGTCATTTGCACTTACAATCGATACTACCATTGGTCACTAGGTATTATCTAATGCTTGTTATTGCAGTCTTTGTGAATCCTAAAATTAAAATCTTTTCTTTTGTGTCCTACTTTCTTCATAATGAGAAACAAAAATCGAACCGAGTTCTCTTTCACAGTGACGTCTCTCTGTCGTCTATTTTGGTTCAGTTCCATCTAGTTAACTGCGTTTCTGCTAGACGAACGACTACGCTTTGACTCATAGGACCCCCATCCATGAATGAGTACTCCACATAGGCCAACACATATGAATAGAACTGATAAAAGTGGCGAAATAAATCTATTGTTAACTTCAAGTAAATGTGTAACGCGAAATAAGTCGAGTTCAACTATGAAGAAAACAAAAATTAAATTTAAGCATGAAATAGATGCAAAATTGATTCAATTGAGAAGAAAAAGAGGAGCTAGCAGGTATCAGTTTACGTACTGATGAATGGATGAGATTTATCTCAAACTGTTTACAGACTTATTGAAAAATTCTCTTGGTAGCTGTTCGCAAAAAGAACTTTGTTTTACTTATTCTAATCTGGCCAATTATTGATTTATGCAGTTGTGAATTTTGTGAATTGCATTTCTAGACTTTCAACGCATCCCCAAATGTTGCATTGTGTTGTTAAAAGAAAAATGTTTGCTTCGTCGTTCATGATACGAACTTGAACTTCTTATCACAAGCAATGAGACTCACTAGAATGTTAAACCTCGTGATTGATATTGATAAATGTAAAACAAGTTCATTTTAGCTCCATAAAAAGGAATACATTTATGGATGTGACAATACCAAATGGTATTGGTATTGGCATTGTTATATCCCTAGTACAAACTATACTTTGGCACACAGAAATCGATGTTTTAGAATACCAATGAGAGACAACTACTATTGCCAGAGAAGAAGAAAAACATCGATTGAGCGTTAAGTTACGATAATATACTTCTTGAATTTGATCTAAACCAAATTATACCTTTTTATTAGTTTCCTCGTCAATAGTCAGTAGAGAGTGTTTATATATGATCTATGTGAAAAGAGCAAAAAGCATGTCGAATAGGAAAATTTTGATTGTGTAAAACAACTGTGATATAAATATTAATATGCAATTAATTGTATTCGCATATTGCTAACAACAGAGCATGTTGCTTTGAATATTTTCATTTGTCAATTTTATTACTACTGCTACAATGGAATGAAATAAACCATTATTATTAATATTAAATAGGTCTATTTGAGTAGTTTACTTCAATAATTCAAATTAGATATTGTGCTCACAGTTCTACTACGCATCCGAAACCAATAAAGTGAAATTTATTGTTCGTTGCAATCGTAATTGACATGAAAAATTATTTATATCCTAGAAAAAAAATCTATGATAATTGCTAATTTATCTGTTTTGCAAAAATCTTATACAGTTAGAAACAAGCTGTTTCTAAACATAACTGATGGAATGTTATTATTTGAAAAGGCAAATCTTAATGTATTCAGGCAGAGTTGGATCAATAAAGATTTTTCGATAAAATGTCTTCGGAAATCCAAGCGATTTGTATCTAATGAATAAGTTATTGAGACGATAGTTAGTTGGTTGAAGTCAGTTCCTTCTCTCTCTTCGATCCCTAACTACGAAGTGGATGAAATCCTTCTCCTCGAGGATTTTCCTGAATCTTTCCTATTTTAAAGCATATCTTCTTTCTTTCTTATGTTTTTCTTTTCTTTGTCTGTTATTTCTACTCTTGTTTCTTTTCTATTCTATTGTTATCTTAATTTACTCTTTTTTGTCTCTCTCTCTCTGAAGCTGTCCTGTGATGCGTTGCGTTGTGATTATTGTTATTCATTTTATTCGTATTATTTTTCCTTTCCTTTCCTTTGCTTTGCTTATTTTTATGTACTGTTAGGATCTTTTAAGGATCACAGTTATTGCATAATAAAAAAAAAAAGCTGTTTCTAAACAACATTCACTTTATTTCTCCATAATTTCTATTATTCCGTAGTGTACATGATCCTCCGTATGATTAAAAAAGTGTTTTCTAGTACTTTCTCTTAGATACGTGATCAATAGTAGTATTCTACGACTAATTGTTATTTCGTTTTACTGCAAGGGGGAAACGGCGGACTTTTGGACTTGAAGTTACTTTGAGCTACTTTATGCTACTTCAAGTTACTTTCAGCTACCTGAAGTAGCTTACTTTGAAGCACTTTTCAACTTTAAATTTACCTGAAGTTACTTCAAGCTACTTCTTCCTACTTTGGGCTACTTGGTGGTACTTTGAGCTACTTCAAGTAGTCTACTTTGACGTACTTTGTCGTACTTTTCTACTTCAAGTCCGCCGTTTCCCCCTTGTTTTACTGACTAAAATAGACGCACATCAATCTTATATATAATAATAGAAGTTGAGCAAGTGCAGCTTAAATTTGAGTCATTACATATAACTACGAGGAGAGTGGCATTATGATTCATCGAATGCGATTACATGACGTGCTCCGGTTTCTTTGCAATTATTGCTAATATATCATTTTTTGAAAAGTTATTGCCAACACATAAAAAACAACAATTGAACAGAAAAATATAAACCAATGAAAATACTTTCAGAGTTCCCCTTTCAATCGAAATATGCTTTGATTTTCTTTGAATGTGCGTGTACAACTGCTGTAAAATAGGTTTTATTTGAATTGAAATTTTCAAAAGCTTCCATGGATTCCATTGAAATATAGGTAGACCTTTCATTATCGTAGCTAATACAAAGAAAAAGGTAGCTTTCATATTCAACTTGTGAGCTCGATAGTAAACACGTGCTATATATCTTATATGTTTACATATTGATAACATGACAGAGAATCCGATAAGATTTAGCTACTCTTCGAACAGAATTTTTTATTGATATAGGTTGTAAAATTATTCCTAAATAGTAATTATTGATTCATCTCATTTTATTATTAAACACAATCGATTTAGTTTATTATTTTCAAATCAAGTCGAATCTACAAAGAATTACTATATGTGTTAAATAGAATAGTTCTGTTGAATTACAACGACATCTATTGCATTCATATATCGAGAGGGCTACCAAAACTACTTACTTTTATCTATGGCTTAAAAACTGTTCACAATATTTATTTTTCTATGCACTTTCAAGTCTTTTTCTTTTCTTTTTTTATTACGTATATATAATATTATTCGTAGTTTTAATTTTATTAATTTGTTTCAAGTGAATCATAACACCGCATAGATTTGCTGCGAAAGGTCATCATCAGGTGGTACTTTTGATTCGTTCTCTTATTTTTTTCTATCGACGAATACTTGTACGTACAACAATCGGTCGCCCGCCCGTCATATGACTTTGCTTTCTCTTTTTTTTCTTCTATGCACATGTCCCGTCTTCCATAAAGCACTTCATCCTTTCGTCTTGATCCGACGACGACGCATTTTTATTTCGTGCTTGTCAGTAGGTAGATGTAGATAGGTGAGCGTGTGCACGAATGAATATATTGCACAATATAAAAGTAAGCAGACAAATTACTAGAAGAACGTCCACTTTAGTGTTTTTTTTTTCTAGTCATATGACACTATGATTCATCATTTACTTTTCTAGATTACACTTTAGTTTTGCTTCGCATTTAAACAGTCTGTTAGTATTTGTTCAGTATTCATTATTCAACAATGAAATTTCGATTTAAGGAAGAAACTCCAATTGGTAAGTTTTATTCAATTTAATTTTTGTTAATATATCCTGTTTATCGTATTCTATAGAACAACGCAAACAGGAAGCAGAGAAAATTCGCGTTAAATATCCTGAGCGTATTCCGGTACGTGAATTTTTATTGTTATAATTTTTCTATTTATGCTTTTTCTTCTTTGATGTTTAGGTTGTGGTTGAGCGTGTGCCTAAATCGCAAATACCGGATATTGATAAACGTAAATTTTTGGTACCAAATGATATAACAATTGCACAATTTATGTGGATTATCCGTAAACGAATACAATTAGCTCCGGAGAAGGCTATCTTTCTTTTCGTTAATCAAAAAATTCCTCCATCAAGGTATTGGGCCTTGTTTTCGTTTATATCATGAAATTTTAGATTTTGAATCTTTGTTTTAGCTATACAATGAGTCAAATTTATGCTGAAAGTAAAGACGAGGATAGTTTCTTGTATATTGCTTATGGAGGTGAAAATACATTTGGTTAATTATGTTGAAAAACTAATTAAAACATTATATATTCGCCAAATCGAGAAATTTGACTTTGTACACTTATCTTTTTTCTTCTTTTTTCCTTTGTGTGTGTGTAAGCTTGTTTAAACTATTATTTAAAAGTGAGAAACTCTCCTAACTATTTATGTAAAATGTATTTATTCATGTAAAAAAAGCGATATGTTGTCGGTGGTTTTGAGATCATTTAATAAATATAGCACCTTTTGATTGACTTCTATCGAAAATAAAACGGAGCTGCCTCTTCATTAACATACTGACTCATATGTATAGTGACGAAACAATTTCTAAAATATTTGCATGGAAGGTACTCGACGAATTGATGACGACATTAGTCGGAAGAGCATTCTTTTATTTTTGATATGCTAAAACTAGAACGATATATTATGAAATGCTTGAATGATAAACATCAAGCGTAAATTCAGAAAAAGTTCTCTTCATTGATGATGTATAATGTATGAGAATGAATCATCATCATTTATTCAGAGTACAAACCAATAATGTTCTGTGAATTTCGGAGCGATCATAGAGTTCTTCTTAGGATTAACCATCTAATCAAAGTAAGACTACTACTACTAATTTACGTTCTCAATGAACTTTATTTAGAAATATATTGGCATAAATGAATGCTCTCATTAAATACGTTCGAAATCTTACGCTGTTGTTTCTTCATGTTGAATAATTATTCTATAGAAGTTGTCGGTTCTCATTGGTAGTTAACGTGTGGAAAAGAGTTTTTCTCGAACAAGATGGCAATTTAATACTATTTTTGATTGTCAAAGTGCCTTTCAAACATAACGGAAATCCAAAGGCAATTACATCGTCTATAGACGACTTGAGAGTTCCTATTCTAGAAGCACCATTACTCCTATCGAAAGTGATAAATAAGCACAATGACTTTTTATGTGATATCTAAACATGTGTCAACACAAAATCCAAAAATCAACGATTCTTAACTTACCGTTTTCAAGAAGCTCAGAGAACAATGAATGACAAATTGTACTGGAACGATGCTTGCTTGCTAGCGAAAAAGATAGGTGTCTCGCATTATTGTAAGACTTTCGGTTTTTAAATTAAATGAAACTTTTTAGATAGATAACAAATGAAATGTTTAATTATTTATTTTTACTAATCAAAGCAACAGATCGAATATTTACAAATGGCTTAATTCGTTGTTGAAGAATAAAATAGCATAGTTTTTCATAGAACCAAATAAGAATTTTGACCAGAAGAACAAGGCAATAGAAAATCAATAGAAATTTAAATATCAAAAATATGATAGAAAGATGAACATTAATTTTGTATATTTGACAATTTTGTTGTTGTTTTGTAGTTATTGAAGAATTAACGAAGAAGACGGATATTCTTTCATATTGTTCAGATAGAAATGTTCGAATGTTCTTAATAGATGAAAATGATTGTTCATTATCATTACTACATTTTCGAATTATTAAAAATAAAATAGATTCTTCAAAATATTTCCATAAAAATTCAAAATAATCAATTGTAAATATTAATATACTGAGAAATATTTTTATCATATTCGTACACAAATTCAATTTATGTTGCTATAGCTTTCAATTCTCTTTTAGTAAGCTAATTTTGAAATCAGAATTTTTGTCTTTCAAACTATCATATTTGCTCTCTAATGATAGAAAAAAGAAAAATGACACATAATATTACGATTAAAACTAAGATGTTTTCATGAATACTCTTTGATGTTCGTGATGGACCTTTTTTAAGATGATCTGATCAGAAAGGTTAATGAATAAAACAGACCAAAGTAATAAAATTTACAATATTAAGTAACATTAGTTTTATAAAGCACAGCTAATTAGATCATATACATTAGTAAAATATTTTCCAGAAAAATTGATTAGCTGTAATTTTCTGATACGAATGCGGTTTCGCATTATCTAATATGACGTGTAGATGATTAGATTACATTAATTTTGACTATCGCTGCCGAAAATAATGCTGTATTATAATTTTATTTGATACTCTGTATTTTATTATGGTCTCTTGTGACCGAATAACTATAAGCATCTTTTATACCGTCTACCAATAATAATGATGAAATGATCTTTTTTAAACTTATCAAAAACGAGTTATGACTGTTTAAAGCCGATATAATTTCAAAATCTGTGAAGACTTACGTAATCAGAAAAACAAATATTCAAAATCTGTTTTTCTAAACCTGTGAGCAAAATCGTATTATACGATTTAAGTATGTAGACAATACTCTTCGTGAGACAAATCAGAATCCTGTGGCGTCCAAACAATTTTGTTTATTGGACAGTTTTTCAATCGAAACGAAATTTGCATAAAAAGAACATTTTCGTTTGATAAACCAAATTTTCAGTAGAAAAATCTTCGATTTGACTAGAACAATGCATCAGTTAAAAAAGGATTTAAAGGTGATGCTTTTTACACTCGAAAACAAATGTTCTCTACCAGTTGAGAAAATGTAAAATACTTGGTATAGGGTGAATAGCAAAATCAACTCTTTATAATTTATTTGATTGGCTAGCATTTAATCGGTGAATGCAATTAAAATAAACATGCAACTATAAGAAATCACTAGGCAAGCGGCCAATTAATGCGCAAATAGATGTTTCTCTCTCTCTAAAACTACAAAGCATCAATGCGTTGCAGTAATTCATAAGCATGATCTTGTTTTAAACCAATATATAGTTCGACTGCATTTGTTTCAGTTGGTAAAACCAAAATCAAACCATCCCATCGAGCAGGTGGTAATGCAACTCGTCGAGGTGGGCCATGACCAAAATCTACTTGATAGAGCGGAAAACGAGACCAATTTGTAAAAGCTAAATCTTTGCCTAAGAATGCTTGGAAGCTAGGATGAACCGGTTGTGAAGCTTGCTTGAGCCAAGCCAAAGCTGACGTCATGTAATCTTTTGTCATTCGTTGTTTTTTGTCATTATTAACTTGTTCCGCCAATTCATTGACAGATTTATTGAGTAAATCAACCATTTGAAATTGAAGAGCAAAATAAAAATTACAATTACCAAAATAATCTAAACCAATTCCTAACTCAGATCGACCATCATTTGCCATACCAACTTTAATCGTTTCATTTGATGGTATCTGACGTATTTGACTTATTGCTTGAGTTAACCAAGCAACAAGAACATCATTAAATGAAACATGTGTTGCTGTTATTTTTAATTTATCAAATAATTCTTGTTTAGTAAATATTTTAACAATGACTTCCATCGTTGGTAGTTCCGTAAAAGGATATTTACGTGCTTGTGTAGTATATTCCGTATGTTCATAAAGAACATCGGTCGCTGGTTTTAATAGAGATCGATCAAAATTAAATGGAGTTATTTTCATATCATCCTTATAACGAATCCAATTCGAAAATCGTTCAAGTAATGTAAAAAATCCACGACCATCAGAAAGTTGATGATGCATTCCCACGGCTAATAAAGTTCCATCACGAACATTTATTTGATGAAGAAAAAACAATGGTGTACTGTCAGTTGGTATAGCTGAATAAGGATGAACATCAAGTTCTTGAAAACTACAGTTAATATAATTAGATATTGGAATGTCAGGTTGGTCAGTTCGACTAAATATTTGACTTGAATCATATGTGGATTCTACTAATTGACCATAATTTGGTTTATTTTCATCATAGACAATTTTTCCAAATACACTTGGGCAGAATTTTTTTAAAAATTCAAACAATAGTTTTTCTAAATCATCGATTTTATAATCAAACACGAATGAAATTCGTGTATAGCATTTTGGCATTACTACATCATTTAATGAAAGATCTTCCGACATTGTTCTAGCGAAAGTTACATACACACAAATGTCGAAATACTATTCATGTTATCGTAGTGTGATATGACAAAACACACACACACAATATTAGCTTTTGTCATAGTTGTTAGAAGTATGACGAATAGAAAGAATAATGATAGGACAATAAACTAGATGGCAATAGTCATCATATATAACTTAGAGTCTAGATGCATCATCTTTGAATGTAAAATGTTTTTATATTTTGATGTAGATGAAAACTGAAAATGTTATCTCATCAATAAAAAAAAATTCTGAATTCAGTATGAATCATATTTACCCAATGATAAATATCATATTCAACGAGGCTGAAAACAAAAAGTACTAAAAATTCTTTCTAGAATTCGAATTTCTTTTCGATATGCAATACAATAAAAGAATATAAAATACTGCAGATTTCAGACTAATTACAACACTACAAATTATCATGGGTACCGTATGTTCTGGTGATAAAAGCATTGGACTACGATTGAGGGATCTTCGAGTAAAAGATGCAATTCTACGAGCTGGCCAATCAACGCGAAATCAATCAGATCATTTTTCTAAAATTATTACAAATGAATTCAGTCCACAAGGACTTCTCGATGATGATTTTGAAACTGAAATTGTTCAAGCCATTACCGATTGTATGGTCTCGGTAGATGTAACTTCACGTGTGAGTCTATTCAACTATGTCTATAGCTATCAATTTTTAAAACTTTCATAGGTTGAACAGCATGGAATTGCTCATGAGATTCATTGTTCAACATCTGAATCCTTTCATCATGTTATATTCTCGAATACGTTAGATAAAGATGAAACTAAGACGAATAAGAAAGTCTACAAAGAGGTGACATACAAAGATGTAAAGCAACAACTTTGTGATCGAGTCAATGAACGTATTAAACCATCATTTGAATTGCAAACTGCTGATTTGGAGCCTACATCTCGAGAAATGGCGCGTTCATTTATTCAAGTATTTATTGAAAATCTTGTCGATGAAAGAATTAATCATTGAGAATGGTTGAATAGCATTTGTAGGACTTTTTTTTTCATTGTAAAATCGTTACATATTTGTTTTTCAAAACGTTTAGTTTTAAGACAAATTTATGAAAGTTCATTCTTATCATTTTTATTATAATGCATGAGTCACTCAAATGACTCTGACGCATATGATGTTTCATAATTTATTGAACTCTCAATAGAACGATGCTAAATAGTAAAAATAAATAATGGTATGTCTCATAGCAACACCAAAAAGATTTCTTATACTGAATTTATCGATGTATCACACACATTTTTATCGTTATCATCATATAAAACTTTGTCAATAAGGCAATCAAATTCACGTAGAATACATACAATAAAAAAAAACAAGCGTATTCAATATGCCATATAGAATAAATCATATATATTAAATTACGTAAAAACTCAAGATTAATTTCATCTATTCAATTAGATCATGTATTAAATTCACATAATGCCTCTATTTTCGTTTTCCTTCTTTGTGCTACTCTATAAAATTTGAACTTGCCAATTTGAGAAAAAACAAATTTAAGTTTTCAAAAAAAAAAAACATACAATTTTAGTTCATTATTCAATAATAATATGTTTTCGCGTATATGAAAAACAAATTATTATAGGAACTGAAAATATGTTTATTAGAAATCCTCATAGAATGTAATTCCTAGACAAGCCGTCATGTATGTCAAATCAGTGTAGTGTACTCATGGCGAATATTTTTTTCAATATTTATTTATGTGTTTACCTATCCTAGTTGATTGCTTGCAATCTAAATGGCTTCGGTAGAGAAGAAAAAAATGCGCAATTTTATTTTTCACTAAGAGATCTTGCTTTTGACTGAGATGATTTTTCTTCGGAAAATAAAAAATAATTATCAATCACTGAGGAGTTTTAAATAATTTTGCGAGGAAATATTTTAGAATTTTCTGAAAATACTAATTTAATGTTCTCGAGAAAATTTTACAAATTCAGTGTTGTACTCTTGCAATTAATGCCATACAAATAAAATTAGTTTACAAGAAAAAGGAAAGATAAAATAAAACTTTTCTTTTGTATTCTCAGCATCCAGAAACTCTAGAAAATATGAAGTTAATTTTTTTGCAACATGAAGATTTCGACGGCGGTGAAGCTATGAGCTGTGAACAGAGAGCGAGAGAACATAATATATTGAACAAAATGTAGGAACCTCCAGTTTCTCGTGACATAGTTGACTTGACCTAAAACTAATTTACAGACAACTGATAAAACTTTTTTGTTCTTTCCGGTAAAAAAATATGTCGTGCTGTTTTTCCATGCATTTATTGTTACTCAGATAAAAACTTTTATAGAGGTGCGACCACAACTCATTTTACTAAAAGAAAAAGGTTACTTAATTCAATATGACATGACGAAAAAAAAAATAGCTATCAAACTCTGAATACTAAAATCTACAATGATGCAAGTTCTCGAGAAATTTGACATTTGGAAATTACCCAGCAATATAATTTCTTTACTTTTTCTATTGAATTGACTAATTAAATTCCTTATAGAACCTATTGTAGCGGTAATAATTCGACTTTACATTTGTTTGAATAATTTTGATGACCATGGCATATTACATTTGAAAATAGTCCGTGACAGATCGAATGTGAAAAATGTAGATTTTTATAAAAAAAAAGAAAAGAAAAGAAAATACTTGCATGTAAATTAGTTCAATTAGCAGACCAAAAGAAAAAGAAGGATAACTTTCTATGTTCTCGTTTTATTTTTATTTTTAAATTCCAAATTAACCTAATATCCAGAGAACGAGAGTTGCTATCAAGTTAAATATGATGTTCGCATGAATTTAAATTGGTGATTTGATTTTGAATTTTTAAACTTTTAGGGCAGAATTGCTCACCTGTATTATTTTTTAGCCTATAAAAATACACAGAATCTTTCAGTTATTTTAAGAAGAAATGTATACAAAAACAAAACGCAAAAATGGACAGATCTGAGCTTTGTTCACTCATACAGACAATAATTACAATAGAATACAACGACAAAAGCATTTATCATGCGAATCTCTATCTAATGCAACTTTAGCTGCATATTCAAAAACTTCTCTTACGCCTTCACGTGTCTTAGCTGAACATTCAAGATAATTTTTTGCACCAATTCTTTTTGCACATAATAATGCATCTTCAGTCGTGATAGTGTTTTGATTTAGACTTTTAATGCGTTCATGTACAGCTGGATCATCGCGTAAATCACGTTTGTTAGCAATTAAAAGTATTGGAACATTATGACAATAATGTTTTACTTCGGGTGCCCATTTTTCGAATACACACGTAAGACTATCTGGTGCATCGAAAGCAAAACAAATTAATACGACTTGAGTATTTGGATAGCCAAGAACGCGAAGTCTAAAATTGAAATAGAAATAAAAATAAAATTGAAATTGAAGTATTATAATTGAAGAGAAACTCTACTTAGCATATTCTTCTTGTCCAGCTGTGTCAATTAATAATAATTCAATACGTTTGTTATCAATATCGATAACATGAGTATTTCCTTCAAATAATGTTGGAACATAATCTTGACAAAATCGATTATCTTTAAATGCATAAAGCAATGATGTTTTACCAACGTTACCATTGCCAACAACAACTAATTTTTTACGAACTAAGTCAATATCACTAGTCATGTTTTGTTTGAACTCATTCGAGTATTTTGCATTAACATTAATCTTTAATATAAAACAGAAAAACGAAACAAAGAACATTAGTCAAACTTATAAATAAAAGAAAATTGTATTTTAAAAATTAGGAGGTAGTTGCAATGGTATATAACTTCTTACGATAATCAGTAACGAGAAGAAAAAAATCGATAAAAATATTGACATAAATTTCCAATGTCAGGAGGTAAACGAAAGAACAAGTACGATGTACTATAAAAAGAAAAAAAGAAGAAAAAGAAAAAAAAGGAAAAATGAGAAGAAAAAAGAAAGCGGAGGCAGCAATACGATTCATAGTTTTGATTTGATATCGATTATTGTTATTCGATAGTCTCATTTACACTAGGCAGTTATTCTCATCGATTTGTTTTTGTAATATTATTGGTATACACCTTAAAAAAAATATTTGGCTCGGACTTTATTGATGTCGAACCTGAAATTACGTAGAATGTCGACAATTGTCTGTGTAAATATGATAACAGTTAGATGTTTAATCTTAATAAATTCAACTGAACAATAAAAACGAGTATTTCGTCTTTCTGTTTAATTAACTTTTTTTGTTCTGTTTTTTTTGTCATTGTTCTTTTACTCGTCAATGCTCTTGATAAATAAAAAAATAAAAAAAAAGAATAGAGATTGATACGGATCGTTAATAGACCGAGAGATGTGAGTAATGCCAGAAACGGAAAAATGGCAGTATAACGCTCTCCGCATGAGTGTTCTGTTATTATTATTGTTACTAGTGATGGTGTTTAATTGCACAGGATAAAAGAAAAAGAAGAGAAAAAAATAGTAACTAAGATGAATCATCTCAGAGACTGTTTTTGTTATTAAATTTTATTATCGGCAGAAAAATTCCAATTTATATATTTTTTTATCATGATATTTCTTGCAAATCATCATTTACTTGAAGATTAGCATGTTTTCTCGTGTCTTTTGATAAGAGTGAGTCGTCTTGGCAATCGGTGCAGTTTTTCATCATTATAAGCCGATTGATAATACTTCATTCTGTAATATTTATGTTTTTTTTTCTGCTTTACCTTACATAAAGTACTATGACTAGATGATAATAATTATAATAAGAATAGATAAAAAGCGAAAAGAAATTGATTCATATTCTAGATCAACATTCTGTCCGAGATGTCATTTGTTTTTTTCGGGGAAAATCTATAATACACGTCCTATGGAAGACAAAATCATCTTTTTTTATATCCCATTTCCGTGTTCGAAAAACAGCTGCAGCGTTTGATCCACTCCCCCATTCATGAACGTGCAGGCCAAATAAAACTTATCATCTAAAGTAATGTCTTTGTTCAAGCCCACTATGTTTTCTTTTCAATTGTAATAGTTCATTAACTTAATCTATCTAAAGAAAAAAGAATTAAACACGTAGACAAGTCAAATTCATCCTGATTAGATCTTGTCAGAATTCAAGGAATTCAACTGATTCCTTCGGAAATTCGTATACTAATAGCCAATCAGCGCTTTCTGACGATCGAAAACTAATAAAATGAAAGCCGTCCATTTGTTTTGATGCATACTGAATCGATCTTTTTTTTCGAATGGAATCTGTTGAGATTCTACAATTGAATTCTTCGTATGTAAGTAGGCTTTACAAACAAACTAAATAAATATTTCATGAATAATAAGTAAAAATAGAGACTATGTCAAGGTTGATGACTTTCTTTTTTTGAAAATGAACAATAGTTTAATCAGCAAATTTTCGAAAAAAAAGTGTATAGTCAAAATCAGTCTCTTGAGAATATACAGAAGCATGCATATCAATATGAAACAATCAAGCAAAAACGCATCTGCATAAATGAGAATAATCAATGATTGATGACAACAAGGTACTAACGGAAAAAAAAAATTAGACATAGTAGAAACACAATTAATCAAAACAAAAATGATTTATTCGACGACTAAGCGTAGAGCATTTCAAACCATAGCACACTTGCGAATGCTTCTGATCTGCAAAAATTTGTTTTTGTTTTTGTTGTCATATGGACAGCTAATTTATTTTTCATACATACCATATGTTTGCATATTATTTTCTATGAAACTATGAAGAGTTGGCCTCTAAGAAACGATTTTTCCGCTACGACTATAGCTTGAAAATGTCGTTGAAAGTTCTTAAGAATAGAAACAAAAATGTCATTAGAAGTATGTGAATACTTCGATGCGTATAATCCTCCTTCATATCTGGTTTATGCTATCGTCTATTCTATTTTCCGAAGCCTCTTTTAGAACTAAATAGCTGTCTTGTTCTTTTTTTGAAAAATTTTCTTTGTTATTCTTTTGAGTTATTTTCATGTTCATTGGCCTACCATTATAATTATTTCCGAACGTTCATCTAATTTTATATCTTTTTACAAATAAGTATCTAGTTTTATTTATTCATTCGTTTATGTGAAACGTTGACATGCTCTCGATCTGGTTTTTATTTGTACTCATTGAGTTTCTTTGTTTCATATTATTAGTATTAAATTAAAAATAATGGTATCGTTTGCACCATATCACTAGATGACATAAATATAGATGGTTACTTCCTTTGATTGCTCCATTCAGAATGAATTCTATTGATACAGGTTGGAAAAAACTCGACAAATACGAAACAGTACAAATATCAGAAAAGTAGAATTATTTTGAGAGCTGACAAGAAATAAAGTTATATCTTAATTTCACATTATGTAATAGATAATATCAATGAGGGAAATAGAAGATTCTATTTTAACCTTTAAAATGCTTTTTTTTATCTTTGTTTCAAAAACAAATGGAATCAACATATGTATATATATATATATATATAAGAAAAGAAAAAAACTAAATAAAGACACATACTGATTTGAACATAATAAGTAAAATAAGGAAAAAGAAAACAGTGATCAGAATCTGTGTAGATATAAGTTTCACGTTAAAAAAACCGAAGTTTCGTCTTGTTTATATCTATTAAAACAGTTCTACTGTTTTTTATTTTAAGGTTTATCTAACTGCACCATAAGTAATCGAAAACTAATTGACGATGATGATAGAATTCTATTGCATTCTTGTGAACTAATTGGCAATTTAAGATATTCAGTTTCAGTATTATTTTGATTAAATTCAAAATGATAAATAATTGGTTGAATTTGTAATGTTGATGGATCGCCATGTGGTCCTTTCAGAATAAAAAATTTCAAATCTATCGATTGAGTAATTTTTGATTTAAGGATCAATTGATAACTTAATGATCGTGTAATTGTTGTATGTGGATGAGGAGTATTATCATTTATACGAGCACGCACTTGCCATTGATATTGCAAGGCTGTAAAACGTGACGTTTCAAAATAAAGTTTGGCAGCAAAATCGTCGGTTCGCAATGGTTTTAATATGAGATCTGTAAAGAGATAATTGTTTTTTTTTCATTTGTTTGATGCATTTACAAAAGAATTTCTCTTGTAATAACTTACCACTAACACCGATCTGATTAAGTGACAGTAGATCAACTACTGTTTCAAGACTTTTTTTTTCATCATCATATGTTCGTTTTTGTACACGAATAGTATTGATTAAGTGTGCACCCGTCTTAGTTGGGCATTCACATACAAGTAAATGCGATGGTAAATTTTGATAGGATCCATTCCAATTACATCCAAGTAATGAATAATCACAAATTGTTGGTCTAAAATATTCGCTTATATATTTAATCAAAGCTAAAACAAAAAATCATTCAATACCGTTCGGGACAATTTTGTGATTGATGTATTTTTATTTCTGAACGTATAAATATCTTTGAACAATAATCACATTGAATTGGTAATTCTGATATTATTTTTTCAACAGCTAAATTTCTTGTACAGTTCGATTTCGAAATTTCGCAACGACAATTCGGACTAAGAAGGAAAAAACCAAAGAAGTGAATTCATTTTTTCGTTTATCGTATTCTAACGTACCATGTTGTTTGTTCATCTTTCATCTTACAATCAGCTAATAAGTGATTGAAACATGAAGCGCACATAAGATGCCCATTGATACACTGAAACGGATTCAATTGTAGTCTTTTTCTCTAAGAATTTTGTAGAATTCCTACTTGAAACATTGCTAGTGTTGAAAGATCCAAACAAATACAGCACGATAAAATAGATCCTATTCGATCTTCAAGCAATCGGGTTTTATCATTCAATAAAACTTTGGACTTTTTTGCTGGAGGCTCTCCAGCATCATTTGAATCTAATTTGACATGATCTGTTGAGACTAACATTGATGTTTCACTAATATTTGAAATTGAAACTGTATCCAATGAGAAATTTCTTTGTAAATCATTGGGTATTGTGACTTCAGCCATTAGAAAGATATGATGATAATGAAAGAATCAAAACAGAACGCAAAACGAAACTCCACGTGACGATGTTCAATCAGCTGGCGTCATCCTAGAACTTTTGATTGGTTCATTTTAACCAGTTCATAATAAATATTAATTTCTTGCCCAGATGTATTTAATAAATAAGAAAAAAGAAAAAGAAAAGAAAATATGACTTAATAAGTTTGATCGGAAATTTTTTCCACGAATCAAACCAAAGTGCCATTGGTCAGTTTGTTTGACCGATGAAATATCTTCTCTTCTCTTCTATTTATTTATTATATCTATTGAAAAATTTCACGACAACATTCTGAAAGACAAAACAAACTTTGTTCTAAGCACTATTTATGATTCACGATGTGGTAGATCGAGCGCATTCATAACGTTATGATTTTTATTTAGAATTTTACTTTGTATCAGATAGGAATGTTACCAGTATTCTATGAAGAACGTCATGCGTGAAATTCGAATACCGATATTTCGTACATAGATTAGAATGGTTGGTCATAAATATAGAAATGACTTTGTTCTATGCAAACCTTTATTTCATTATACACTATAAATCCAATATTTTATTAGTTTTTTATATTAAATTTTTTTCGACTATCAAAACATCGTTAAAATTAGATATTCTTCTTTATTCGAGTATTTAAAAATGCTGCCTTTCTTCAGTATAACAATAGCAACATGAAATTATTCTTATGATTCTTGGTATTACTAATCAACAAAATTAATACAATTAAATATTCTATTTCTTTTAGTCTATTCGTTTTATTTTTCTTGATGCTTAATTTTCGTCGTTTTTTTTCAAGAATACGAATGAATAAAAAACATTTAACCCTCGTCGTTGCTTTGGATGACTGTAATGGTATTGGACGTAATAACACAATTCCATGGCATATTAAAAATGACTTGAAATTTTTTCGCCATGTAACATCAAAAGTAAATGATTCCAATAAGCAAAATGCTGTTATTATTGGCCGAAAAACATATGAAACATTCCCAAAACCATTGCCAAATCGTTTAAATATTGTTGTTAGTAGTAATCGAGCATTACCTAATACAAATTATTCGAATGTTCTTTGTGTTGAAACGTTCAATGATGCAATAAAATCTGCGAATGAAAATGCAAATATTGAAAATATTTTTATTGCTGGTGGTGTCTTGATTTATGAAGAAGCTATCAAAACGGATCTTGCCAAACGTATATTTTTAACACGTGTTAAAGGTGATTTTCAATGTACAGCTGTTTGGTCATCATTTGATATCTCAAATTTTAAACTTATTAAACCAATACCTGATGAATATCAACAATTTTTTGCAGATCCCAATGAAAATCAAGAAGAAAATTCGAATACACCATCATATCATTTAGAAATCTATGAACGAGATATTTAATTTTTATTGTTATTTTTCTATGTTTATTTCTGCTATTGATTGTTATTTTTCACGGTTATTCCTGCTATTTATTTATTTTGTTGCAGATGGGATCTAATGAACCAACGACATCAACATCTAGTAGCGCTAAAGTAACATTTAAAATAACATTAACTTCTGATCCAAAATTACCATTTAAAGTGTAAAATATTTGCTTTCTTAAAATTTTATTTTATTATTTACATTTTTAGATTAAGCGTACCTGAAAATACACCATTTACAGCGGTACTAAAATTTGCTGCTGAAGAGGTTTTATTTTATTGTTTAATATAATTTCGAAATTTCACCTTTTCTTTTTCTTCTTCTGCTAACAGTTTAAAGTACAAGCAGCTACAAGTGCAATTATTACTAATGATGGAATTGGTATAAATCCTTCGCAAACAGCTGGTAAGAAAAACTTTCTTTTTTGTTGCATTGATGTTTATGATAGATCATTCTTTTAGGTAATGTTTTTCTTAAACATGGTGCCGAACTTCGGATTATACCTCGTGATCGTGTAGGCAATGGAAATTAATAAATAATGAAACGTATTGTTATTTTTTGTTTGTTTTAAATATAATAAATGGAAATATTTATCGAAATTAATATAAATATGTTTTTTTGGTGAAAGGAAAATTTTTTTGTTTTTATTCACTAGATGTCATCATCTGCTCCTCCATTAACAATACCAACATCCGAGTCCGATGCTTCTCAACTTGAAGAAGAACATGTTCATAAGGTTTATGATAAAATAGCAATTAATTTCAGTGATACTCGTTATAAGCCATGGCCACGTGTTGTCGATTTTCTACGTTCATTTCCTTGCGGTTCATTGATTCTTGATGTTGGTTGTGGAAATGGAAAATATATGAATATAAGCAATGATTTAATGATGGTAAAGCAAATAATTTATTTCATTTCTAAACTTATCTTGTTTATTAAAATAGTAGATTGGTTGTGATCGAAGTGAAGGTCTTTTAAAAATCTGTCGTGATCGTTATTTTCAAGTTTTTCTTTGCGATTGTATGAATATACCCGTACCAACCAATATGTTTGATGGTGCCATTTGTATTGCTGTTCTTCATCATATTAGTACTGAAGTAAATAATAACGCAAAAATTGAATTTTATTTTTGTATCTTTTAATTATTTCTCATTCGTTAAGGAACGAAGATTATCCGCTTTAAAAGAAATCGTTCGTCTATTGAAACCAGGTGGACAAGCGCTTATTACTGTGTGGGCTAAAGAACAAGAATTAGATAATAAAAAAAGTACCTATATTACAAAAAATGCAAAAGCTTGTCCAGTACATGGAAAAACTGAAACAAAAAATGAATTAATTATTCATACGCCACGAACAGAATTTCAACAATCCGATTGTCTTGTTCCGTGGAATAAGCCAACAGAAAAACTTCTAAGATATTATCATGTTTTCATAAAAGATGAACTTGAGCATATATTAAGTCATATATCTCAAGTTAAAATTGTTAATTCGTATAATGATGATGGGAATTGGTGCATTGTATTCATGAAGATTGTTTAAACAAATTTTTTTGTGTTCTTTTGCTTTTCAGATAAATTATGTCGGATCTTACAATACCATTTCTATTTCAAAAATCGATTGCACTTAGTTCATATCGTGATCGGCGGTTTATAGTAAGATCATATTCACTTTTTTAAATCCATCGCATTAAAAGAATTCTTTTTACTTTATAATAAAAAAAGGGAAGTGAAGGAGATCAAGATCAAAAACTATTAGCAAGTACAACACTTTATATAGGTAATTTATCATTTTTTACAACTGAAGAACAAATCCATGAATTATTTTCACGTGCTGGTGATGTCAAACGAATTATTATGGGTTTGGATAAAATAGCAAAAACACCATGTAAAGTTTATTTCGGCAAAGTTGTTTTTATTTTTTTTCAAAAGCGTGTTTGTTCGTTTAGGTGGATTTTGTTTTGTCGAATATTATACAAGACTAGATGCTGAACAAGCTATGAGATATATAAATCAAACACGTCTTGATGATAGAATTATACGAACAGATTGGGATGCTGGTTTTGTTGATGGACGCCAATTTGGTCGAGGACGAAATGGTGGACAAGTCAGTATTTTATTTTCATAGATCTACAGCAATAGATTTTTTATTTTTTCTCAGGTACGTGATGAATACCGTAAAGATTATGATCCAGGCCGTGGTGGATTCAGTAAACGAATTAATCCAGCGTTGGAAATGGAAAAAGTCGTTTAGTTTAAACTGATGTATTTAAAAATATTGTTTCAACAAAAGAAAAGGAATTGCTTTTTTCTTGCGTTTATTTGTTGTTTATTCTAGAATAAAAACTGATTTGATCTGTAAAAAGCTATAGATATGATACTTATAAAGAATTTCTTTAGTTAAAAATTAACCAGCGAACAATTTCGTCTGCTTTTAAATTATGTTTTACAAGGAGATCTTAACAGTTTTACTAGAAGGATAGTACGATTCAGGTTTACTTTATTGACATTTCAATTCAAAAGAAATTTTCTCGTCATACTTTATTGAATTCTTCAGCAAATTTGATACATGTTAATAACGCTTGAAAAGAACTTTCTTGTTTAGTTGAAATTTTAAAGAAGTTCTATTTGACATGGCGATTTGTTAATGGATCTCAGATCATCATTTGATTTTTTTTTCTATTTTTGATTATCCTCTATAGACTAAATTTTCTTTAAAATGGAAATTAATCTGTAGCAGGACCATTTGATTTCTCTTATCTTTCTGGTATTTAAATAACTCATTAGTGCCTATCATGGGCACAGAGAAAAAATTCATATGCAGCATTTCAGTGGGGAAAGTTTCTGCGTCGAACATGTCGTGCTGCATCCCAATTACATTGACCTTTAACTAATTTTATTCGATATTACCAGTATGATTTGACAGCCTAAAATGTTTCGGAATGCTTGAATAGATCTCATTAATCTTTATAGTTTCTTTCATATTGATGATATTATACTCAATGAATGAATCATATCAATTTATATTATATTGATTATTACTGTACTTGTCTCATACGTGATGTTGGAAATATTCATGAAAACTAAATAGACGATGAAAAAAAGAATTATTTCGTTCTTGTGTAGAATGGTTCGTATTTTGTTTTCAATGAAAAACATGTCAGATGATCATTCAATCAAGAAAATATAGTTTCCGAAATCAGTTCGGGACAATGTCGAAAAAGTTCTCAACATATCACTGAAAATGCTAGTCAGTTGTAACCCCTAAAGCCTTAGGAATATCTTTAAATTAATTAGATCTTATCTATGTCTAACAGGCGAAAAGAGTTATCTCGTTTCACAGGATTCTTTATATTTAGAATTATTATTAACATATCGGAATAGATTAAACATGTTTTTGATGCCATCACTTAATATTTATGATGATATATCTATTTCCGCTTAGCATCGTCATAAAGCAAATTTTATTACTGTTATTTGATTTTAACAGAAAAATGTGGGTACTATTCATTTTAAGGCCAACGATGATGCAGGAGAACAAGCTCAAATTCGATGACATTTAGTATCGGTTTTGAGCAATAAGTTATAAGCTTTGTGAAAAGAAAACTAATTCCAATAGATACGCTCTTATGTTAAGAGTAAAGAGAATTTACTTGGGAAATTATTATCTACTTTTCATTCATGCGTTTACTCGTCAGTTTTTGTTTTACTTTGTAGAATTATTTATTTATGGATTATAAATGGAACCTGTATTTCCTTGTAGATTCTATTTGTAGAAAAAAATCTTATCTATAATAATAAATACGGTTAACTTTTATTTTTCGTTTTATTTGCTACAATAAAATGACGATTATATTCAATAACTCTACTCACAATAAATAAATATCATAAATTAATCATTAGTAGAACATAACGTCATTTATATTCGTCAAACAATCTATTGGATAAATCTGAAAACTTCAAAAATTCTAATCCATCCACAAACTATTGAATTGTACTGTATCCATGACTTTAAATCTAATAATTCTAGGAATAAAATCAGTCTAATTCAAATAAAAAAATTACTTGATTTAATTCACAAAAGCAATTAGTTTTATGAAATTGAATTGTAATAGAAATCACTCATGTATAGATATCTGATAGTTTTGCAATTAATTCAAACTGCTATTCTAATGAGTAAATGTATATAATTTGAGTGGTAGATAATTGAAGCATTTGATTCTAAACAGTACTTATGTACTTTGAAGATGAAAAAAGAAGAAATTTTAACAAATTAGATACTTTCGATGTTAGTATGTCTACAATTATCCATGAGAAAATTGAAGTATGTGGGCTCATTTAAACTAAACTGAATTTTCTTCCTGTAAGGAAATATCTGCTTGCAATAGAAGAGGTCATCATAATAGGGAACAGCATCCTGAAAAAATTCATGCATCGGTTTTAGTAGAGGCTTCCTTACATTAATAAATTGCTCGTTACATTAGCGCTCGAAAAGATACGTTCACGTTAGTTTAATAGATTTGCAAAAGAATGAGGTCAACATTGTTTTTTTCGGCTTTTGTAAACAGTTTAAAAAAATGTTCTTGTGAAACTAGTCAATCGGCTTAGTCGTTTGAGAAGAAAAAAAAATCTTTTTATACAAATCATTTATGCCCCATTTTGCACGATTAAACTTTATCGAGTGACGGAAATCTTCTATTTCTGGCTGGACTTATCGTAATGCTAGCATTTCAACCGTGTGCATGAGATTACCTAGCTTAAAAAATGTTTTTCATTATTGACATATCGGAAATTTAATCAGCTTAATTTCGGCAATCAGCTTAGAATTTATTTTCAAGTTATTTACGCAGTTAGAAAAACGAAGGGTTAGACAAGAGCTGAGTCTCACGAGCTATATCAATAGAGAAAATTGAGGGTCTCTGTTTATGTTTCTAGAAGGGATTTGAAGATTTCTCAAGAGAAATAAACCCCCGCTAGATCATTCTTGATTGCATTACTACGAGAAATACTAGAAAGTCAAATATATTTGCCATTATATATATAAATAGAATAGATACTTCAACGAATATAACTCACAGTCGATTTATTGTTAGATGCGTTTTAATACTTTAACAAAATTTGGAAAAAAAAAGTATAAACGTTGAAATCTTGATCAATTTCTATAGATTTTTAAAATTATTTCATAATTATATATGTTCATCCATGCCTACTAGTAGGATTCTTTTATTGAAAAAGAAATGATCAAGGCACTCATTACAAATAACTTTACAAAAAGAAGAAGAAGAAGAAAAAGGTAGATGCATGGAGTAGACATACACATCCGAAAATTCAGAATCGAAGGAGCACTGTTCATTCATTCATCAAACGGAATGTTGAGAGAGAAAAGAACAATACATATATAAATATATTCAGATCTCTATATGATCATCACTGGTTCTGTTTTTTCTTTCTGTTTATAAAAATCTGTGCGAATAATTCAACTATTGAGATCTGCATCATGAACATATGTAAAGCCAGGAAATGATGAGCCTTTGTGTGTAACACTGCCAATATATTGATCATTTACACCTGGAGATACTCCAGCATCAATAAATTCTTTTGGAATTTGATTTAGATCAGTTGAACTTGTGACAGGCGGTTTCCATGGCGGTGCAATTTTTTTTGCTTCTAATTTTTCCCAATCGATTTGCTCAAAGAATGGTTGACGTTTTATGTCAGCTACATCTTCAGATCCACTACCTAAACGTTCATTTGGACTTTTTTTTAATAACTAAATAAAAAATAGATAAATCAATGCAATAAAATTTCTTTTTTAAATTCAACCTGTTCAATGAGAAGTTTAGCACGATCAGATACATTTCCAACAAAACGAAGAGAACGATTTAATATATTATCATACATTTCATTTACATCACGTGAGTAAAATGGTGGCTACGAATGATTCTAGATAGTTTGAAATGGAAAATAAATCATATCGGTACATACTCGAGCACATAGCATTTCATAAATAACCGAGCCCAAACACCACCAATCAACAGCTTTTGTGTAAGGTTCACGTCTTAAAACTTCAGGTGCAAGATATTCTGGTGTTCCACAAAATGTTGCTGTTCGTCCTTCGCGACCTTCGGTTGATAGCATTACTTTACATAAACCAAAATCAGTTAAACGAATGTGCCCCTAAAAGAAAGATTTATTTAGATAAAAAACAAAACAGAAAATATTTCTTTTCAACGATAAATACTTCTCGATCTAATAAAATATTTTCCGGCTTTAAGTCTCTATAGATAATATCAAGTTTATGAAGATAACCAATAGCTGATGCTATTTCAGCAGAATAGAATCTTGAGCGTGTTTCACTAAATGCTCGTTCTTGTTGTAGATGATAAAATAACTAAAATAAATATTTTTAGATGAATCGAAGTAGAACTCATTAAAAAATAGAGTCAAATACATACTTCACCGCCATTAACAAAATCCATAACAAAATATAGTTTGTCGGGCGTTTGAAATGAAAATTGAAGGGAAACAAGAAATGGGTGACGAGTATTTTTCACAAGTACATCACGTTCAGCCATTATATGACGTTCTTCCCGTTTTCGTTTGATTAGTGCTTTACTTACAACTTTGACTGCGTAAATTGAATCTTCATTTTTGTGTCGTGCTAAGTAAACTTTCCCGAATGAACCTTTTCCAATGCATGCACGAAATTCGAAATCGCTAGGTTTAACTCTTTAATTAGACAAAAAGAAAACAAATTCAATAGATTTGAAAAAAAGTTAATATCTTAAAAATACGTACGAAGTTTTTTCTGTTCTGCCAAGATTAACACGATTCGTATCAGACTAGACCAAAGTAATGAATAATTACAAACAGAAAAAGTGAAAGTACAAAAATTTTCTTTCGGAATTACCAATGCAGATGGATCTTCAGTATTATCATTCATTGTAGCAGCATTATCATCACTATTCATTGCTGTAGGAACATCTGCTGTTATTGTTGATGATCCGTTTGATGATGTTACACAGAGTCCAAAAAATTCGATAAATTCAGGTCTAAAATGAAATTACATTTAGTTGACTTATTTAATCCGATGTCAAATAGATAGACACTAACAACATGTCAGTTAGAATATGTAGCTACTAAATCAAAATATAAGAAAAACAGAAAAAAAAAATAATTGGCAGCATCTTTGTTTTGTGTTTTGCATTTATTTAGTACATACATATGAATAGAACGCCCTCTCAATGGTAAAATTGTGTTATACTTACAAATTAACAAGTTGAGAAATTTTACAAAGTCGTTGAACATATTCATTAAGACCACGTAACCGTTTTAATACAAAATCAGGCTCAAAAGAGTCTCCCATTAGACGACGGCCAGGTAATTTCAGGTCAGAACGAGCACGACGAAGCTAAATATAAACATGAAATTTAATCGATTATAAAAAAACGAACCGAAAGAAAAGAAAAGCAATTATTTCCAACCTTTTCATTCAATGTATTAAATTCTTTATAGCGTCTCCAGATTTCCCATTCTCGTCCAGTATAATTAACAGAGACTTTGTATTTGGTAAATTTACGTCCATTTTCTGCACTTGTTTGGGCATCAACAACATGAAGTATTAATGAATCATTGACATTTAGGGTTGGACTGCTCGCTGATGAGCCGCTCATTGTTTCTATAAAGAATAAGAAAAAGTTGAAAACAAAAAACATAAAATTACACTAATATTATCCATATCAATTGTGATCACTATGTGAAGGCAGAATTTAGAAGAAGGAAAAAGTAAATATTGACTGCTGTTTAAAAGGATTAGTAAAAAGTAAGAGAAAGAACTCGTTAATATGAACGTTTCATAGTAAAGAGAATTTTATAAAACTACGTAGAAACGATTGCATGACAGTTTTTGATACCTAAACAGGACATAATTGTGCTATAACAACAGTAATCGTGCGAAACCGTTAGCTCACTTTGTCGATAAGACTGCCTTCTGTTTTCCTTCTTTTTACGTCTTCTTTTTTTTCAACGCAAAACCCATACGCACAAACGCGCGTATAGAATGCAAAAGGACAATGACACGTGCGTTTTCATCCTTTTCTCTTTGTCAATCAGCTAGCAAGCAACCAGTAACGCATACTCATAACATTCTCTCTCTCTTCTCCGTTCTGTGCATTTGTTTTTTTTATTCTTCTTCCTCCTATGTGTTTCGCATCCTTTTGCGTTTGTAGCAACCACCAATATAATCAAATAGGGGGTACTGTTCTACGTTTATTCTTTCCCTGAATTTATGGTTTTGATAGTTTATTTTCGAACTTGGACTTCAAAGAGAAAGCCGAAAAAAAGTAACTGAAAGAAATTTTCAATTAGCTATGAAATATGAAGACTTTTTTTCTAAAAAAAAACATCCGTTTTGTTATTCTCTCACCTGATGATTTGAACGATTGTCCCCATCTTTTCTGTAGTTTAAACATAAGTTACCCTGTATCAATATAATAAAACAATAGAAAAAATGACGGAGCTTGCTGTCAGTTTCGCTAAAAGTTGTAGCGTTTTAAATAACACATCTTATCTTTGTAACATCTGCTTGTTTTTCTCTATCCATCTCTTTTTCTATCATTATTTTTTCGGTCTGGCTATTTCTAGCGTCCAATCTATATGTTATTCTCGTTCTTTTGTATATATATATATATATATATATATATTTGAATAGTAACAAGCAAAATGCTTCAGTGAATAACAACACAACACAACACATAATTATTGCATCAATTGTAAATATAACAACGAAAAGACGAAGAAATGCACATAAGAGGAATTACTAGATGGCTATTTTGGAAGTAAGCCTGCAATGTGAGAAATACAAAACAAGAAAAAGTCTTTCTGTTATCATCATTTGGAATATTAAGAAGGTCATAGGCATAGGAAAACAAATTTAATAAGTCGTAACGACCTAATATTAATAATAATGATCTGGATAAGAGTCAATAAAATAATCACATTGATGCATTGGTGATCAATATCTCCTAATAAATCTTTGATGTTTGTTTGTCACATTAGTATCAACATATGGTTCTCTCTTAAACGAATGCGAATGTGAACACATGCCGTCTATCAGATACGTCATCGGATTTCTTCGTTTTCCGATTGATAGTAATAACACTAGTGACACAGAAAAATAAGAAATAAAGACAAAATAAGCAGACGAGGACGATGAGGATGGCCAAGTAGAAAAAGAAGAAGAAACACGATATAGGCACAATAATAACTTGATTTAAAGAAGAACGTAATAGAAGGTGTAATAATATTTATCGTATATGTCTCTCTACGATGACGCCATTCATATTACTAGTATACCATCACTGTTTTCTTCTTTATTTCTGATAGATGATAACCAGAAGTCATCAGTATCTATAGATTTCTTTGGCGAGATAGATTTGATAATTATCAACGAATAATAGAAAAATAATTCAATTTGTTTTTCTTATACACACATCCTTTTTACATGCTAAGAAACACAATTGATTTAATATTTTCATACGATTATAAGTTCTCTGCTGCGTCAATACTATCAATTAAAAATCAATGTGTATGCTGATCCATATCTATAATCGGTTTTGGCATTATTTTCCTCAACGGACCCATGATTTGTAATCATGTTCTTCCTTTTTTCTGCGGATGTTTTTATTGAATTCGCATATTCGACTATCGTTTCCGGTGGCGCCGAAAGCCCATCTCGTGTTTTTTCATGTTAATGCTGAACATGCATTTTGAAACTGGAAGACTGCTGAGTTTTATCATATTTATGCATGCTGTTATTTCGATAGGAAAGTTCTTTGACGTCACTAATTACTTAAAGATTTGCTTAGTCTATATAGGTCACCATATTTATTTTTGAATTTCACCAATGATAGAAAACTAGATAAACAGCACGATAGTTTGTTTTAATATTGAATGTAAGTTGAAAGAAGCAATACATGAATAAGAATAAGATTTACACGCGATCTTATTTTATGTCGTGTCATTTTTTAGAATATAACTAATGTCGCATTTTTATGAATATCATCATTATCATCTATTAGAAAGTCGTCCTTCGTGTCATTCTTTTACAAGCTACTATCAACGATCAACATACAAATAGACTTACACTACATGCTTATTGTTTTATATTTGCATTACAAAGAAAAACAAACCGGGAAAAAACATCTAGCTCGAGTGTAGATTATACGTGAAGCTAGATTTATGCTAAAAAATGATTTATAAAAGATATTGAAAGAAAAGAAAGAGAGAAATGCTAGTTATGTGCGAAGTTTTAACAAGACATGGGGGATATAAAAAAACAAGTAATCCTTAGCTCGGCTTCTTTTATGCATTGCACTTGAACAGATATCAAGTACGTAGCAGTAGTAGTCAACGTTTTCATTTTCTACTGTTATATATTCAAATGTATTGTAAACAGAAAATCTGAAGTAGCATGCATAGAAAGAATTTGTTTTGTCGGATGTTGATCGAAAGCATAAAAATCATATTACTACAGAGAAAAGAAATGCTACGCCTAAAAAATAATTTTATAACTTACTATTGGTAGAAAAACACATCTTGTTAATACTGTAGGTACAATATTTGTGCAGAACAAGCTTAATTTTTTTCAGACAACACCGATGAGATTCCGATGATAATTTGTGTTTAAACTTCTTCTTAACGTTTCCTTGTTTTGAAGTGAGTGCCTCCAACTACCTATGAATTCCTCATTTTTCTTTCTTTTCCCTCTCTCCCTTTTGTTTTCTCGAAGTCGTATAGAATGTTTCTAATTTACTAACAAGAAAATTCATATATTGGAAAAGACAAAAACGCGAAGCTGCATTGTTCAACATGCTCTTGTTCGATAACAAGTATAATCTAGTGTTTCGCCTAGAACAAATAGACTAGAAATATATGTTTTTGCCATCTTATGCTTTTGAAAGTTACAGAATAGGAAAAAAGAACCTAGTTTTAGAACTACTCACTTTATTGATTAGCGACTATAAGATATTTCTACTTGTAAGTAGAAACGTGCAAACGATATATAATAATCAATACTTTCGGTTGATTTATTTCTATACTATGTTGCGAAGAAAATTAGTAAATGTATTTTTATTTCTGTTGTTGTTTGTTTTTTGTCGTTCGTTCTCAACATACTGACAAAAACAATAGCAGCAGCATCAAGAACCAAACAGTTTTCTTACATGCGCTGTCGCTTTTTTTTAATGTTATCTCAGTCTTTTCTCTCATGTTTTATTATTATTATTATTATTATTATTGCGACGTCTACAGTGATTTGTGCTGAAGCAATAGTAATATTTATTGAAAACTATATGAATATATATTAAAAGAGTCATTGATGACCTGTGCCGTTTCATTCTGAGACGTTTTCGAGTTGTGTCATCTCAAAATATTAATTTGATCAGTGATACTTATTATTGCCATAGAATATATAATTTTTTGATGCTTCATACAATACACAATTTTGTTTTGTATTAATTTCGATTAGATACTATATGCATATATTCAGGATGCTAGCAACTCAAGCATGTTATTCAGTTTTTTCTTCTTAGCTTTATATGGTTCACTATAGAATTCAATGATCATTATGAAACTCAAATTTAATAGACATTTTGAAATTATTTTCATTGAAATAAAATTTTTCAAAACAAATTCTAAACATATTCACAGACAAAACACTTGATTTTCCAATAAACTTACCTTTTCTCACGCTTTTTATCTCTATTACTTAAAAATAAATGTACTTCTTAGATACACAGTGAAACAAACACGACTGACATGACACATTAAGTTATAGTATGAGTTGAAGCTCTTTGAACTTCTATCATAGAAATGCATTTTTCAACTCTTTAACGAACGAGAAACAGTGAAAGAGCAGGCACGTGTATTGAAAGATTACGTGATTTCTTTTTTTTTTCGCAACAAAATGCTCGTATTCTGTTATAGTTTTTAGATAATCTTGTTCTCGCTTTTCCTTAGAACAATAGTTTTATAGAACTTCATCAACTCTACTGAATCAGACAAAAATATATACAAGAGAAAATATTATATTTTCTTGACAAATGATTCTTCTTGTAGTTTTCAATTGAAAATTTAATAATAAGCTTGATTGAATTGAATTATCTATGATTTATAATCTATTGATAGAAATAATATTTTACATGGCTTTTGTACTCACTAATTATAGAATTATTCGTAGTATATTAACGAAAGGTTTTTTTCGGTTATATACCCATGTCGCACAAACCGATCGAAAAACGTCGGTTAACCGCGGTCAATTTTTATAAAAATTGGTTAACCGCGGTTATTTAAGCCATTTTAGCGACTTTACAGCGTAAAAACCAACGGTTAACCGCGGTTAACCTCCCAGTTAACCGGACAAGTCATCGGTTATATCGCTAGCTGGCGGTTATTTTTCCGATTAACCGTTGATTTTTACGCTGTAAAGTCACTGAAATGGCTTAAATAACCGCGGTTAACCGATTTTTATAAAAATTGACCGCGGTTAACCGACGGTTTTCGATCGGTTTGTGCGACATGGGTAAATAAGTCTTCTTTTTATTGAACCTCAGTAAAAATAAAAATGGTCAGTATAAAAAAAGAAGATTGGAAAATACCGAAAACTAGTTTTCTTTGCTTCTACTCTGATGCAAGAACAAGAAAATAGCAATATTCAGTACAAAAGCAAGTGAGACTGAGCCTCATCTACTGAAAACTAGGTGAGGCTCAAGCCTCACCTGTCTCAGTGGCTCCGCCGCCACTGTTTTATCATGATATAGAACAATATTTATCATATCGAATACCTGAAATTAAAAATCGTTTAGATACAAACAAATTAGCTCCATCATTTTATTGTGATCTATCTGAACATTGTTTAAAAAGAATTCAACGTCCAATAGCTTATCCAATTGAATCTTGCATTCATTTATTAAAGGATAGTCTTCAAGAAGAAGGCCTGTTTCGTTTTGCACCAGCGCAAATTAAACAAAAAAAATTAATGACTGAACTTGATTTACAATTAATTGATAAAAATTCTAGATTAGAAGATTTTGGTTATGATGCACATGTGCCAGCAAGTACACTTAAACAGTATTTAAGAGGACTTCCTGATTGTTTACTTACTAATGCATTGATACCAGATTGGAATAAAATTCCTTTACTTAGGTTATTCTTTCTTTTAAATATTATAATTAATAAAATATAAATTTTAGTACTGAAGCAGATCGTGTTCAACGAATTGGTCAATTAATAAATCAATTACCAAAAGTGAATTATGATAATCTTCGGTTAGTTTTTTAGTTTCTATTTTTAGTTTTTAACTGACAAGTTTAGCAAATATATTTGTTTGTTCTTTTATTTTAGTTATTTAATTCGATTTTTAAGTGATGTTGCTAGACATTCATCGGTGAATAAAATGACAGCAAGTAATTTAAGTATATGTATCGGAAGTAATCTTTATCCAAAAGAACAATCATCAAATTTCTCAACGCCAAACTTATATGCCAATAGTTCAATTATTGTTGAACTTATGATTATACATTATGAAACATTATTTTCATCAAATAATCAAATAGATATTGAACAAGAAAATCTATCATCATATAAGTTTCAGCCTGTAAATTGATTAAATTTCAATTTTTATTTCTATGAAATAATTTATTAATTTTGTTGTCTGTATAGAAAACTCTTACAACTTCGAATGAAACTTTATTTGATAATCAATCAAATACGGGATTGATACAATCGTCAGTTAATTTATTTTAAATTTTGATTAAAACAGTTCTTTCCTATTTAAGATCACCGAGAGTAAATAAAAAAAACCGGCACCTTCTGTACCATTGAATCGACAACTGTCAATTCAAAGTGACTTGATCGATACTCAACAAAGAACTACCGAAGATTCATTAATAGATAAAATTCATTCTAAACAACGAACAGGTTATTTTTATTCAAATTGTAGATGAACCCAAAAACTATCATCCTTGATAGATTATTTTCATTTTTTTCTACTAATTAAAGAATTCGTTCGAATCATTTTTCGTGTCTGAGAAAATTTTCTTTCACCTGCTTTCATTCATAGATTTATGATCGTGTAAAAAAATAATGAATTAAATTTTTGCTTTTTAATGACTCCGAAAAAAATGAATTGAACAAAAATAATTTTTTTGTTAATTAAATTCTTGAATTCTAATTTAGTATCGAGCTCATCAAGTTCAAATTCAAATGAAAAAACTCATCGTCGAAATGAAAATGTTGCCATAGTACTCGATTGTTCAAATAGCGCATCACTTGTTCCACAGCAACGTCAAAGACATCTAAATAATATTAAAGAACCCGATATTTCTCAATCAAAAGAAGAAAACAAAATAACATCACATGATAATATTCATTCTACAGAAATCAATTCAGACACAAATTCAAGTCAAACAAGCAGCAGTGGTGTTTCTTCGCACCATGATAATACAAAAACTTCTTCACAAGAAATAACTCAATTCTAGTCTTTATTTTATTCGGTGCTTGAAAATATTTCTATCAGTAACTTTTTTCGTTCTTTCTTCTTTTTTTATTTGTATGAAATTAATCCTACCTTTTTTAAATTATCTATTTATCTAATTGATTATTTTCTTTTCTTTGTTCTTTTTTGTTATAAATATATATATTTTTATTGGTAATCATAAAAAATTTAATTTCATATTCCAGATTAAATGGATATATCTTTTATAAATAATTTTCGAAAAATAAATGATGAAGATGATCGACTTGTTACAGTAACACTTCTGATTGATATTATTTCAAATTTACTGAATGATCGAAATAATGCTCGAAATCATACGTTGCCTGCAAATTATATTCAAGAAACATTCCAGAAATATTCAGCAGCTATGGATTGTCTCTTGACAGTTGGATTTAAACAGGTTAGATATGACCAATTTCCAAATCGAAATAATTAACAATAAATAAAAATTTTGAGATAGAGATGAAAAATTTGTTTCTATTTTAATCGTTACATCAGTTTATTATTCACGAAATTTCTAAAAACAAATTTTAATCAAAAAAAATAACTGAAAAAAAGAGAAAATCAATCGATTTATCATCACATAGATTCATTTGAATGATTCAGATTGAAACTGTCAGAAGGAAATTCTTATAGAATTAGAATAATAAAAGCAAAATTTTCAACAAATTTCATTATTCCGAAAGAGAAAGTCGTCTCTTCTTTTTCTCATTATTTTCTTTTATGAACGTCCTGAGCAATTCAAAAATAAAAACCAGTTCGATTTGTGTGCGACTCCATTGAAGGATTTCTAATAAGTCGAATAACATTATGTTTCGTTCATTTTTATAGTTCGAAGTATTTTGTTTTTCTAATTTCGAGTGAGATAGAATTTATTCCATTCTAGTTCTTTCTATTATGAAAATATAAAATCTCAAGATACATGTTGCTACGGCAGAGAAAATGGGCAAATATGTTTTTACATTTCCCTCGTTGACATATAAGCCAGTCTTAGTTAAAAAATCGATAGTTCATATAAATTTTACTATGATGAAATAAAATTAGGTCAGTGATGATTATGTATTCGATCAAACAATATCAAATGAACAGCTGCAAGAACTAGTTAAATTACTGGAAAATGAACTTGATTCAACATCTATCGATCATTCTAAACAAGTAGATATTCATTATAAACATTATTATATTTAACACTTAAGACATAAATATTCATTTCAGATAAATTCTACAAATATAGATCTTGGAATCATTGATGATGAAAAAACAAAACATCAATTAATCTCATTTAATAATCTTCATATTTCGTCTCAATTTAATAATTTAATACCATTTGTAGCAAAATTAGAACGTGTTCGATCCTATGAAGATATTAATCTTCGTCGTTATATTCGTTCATCAATAATTCCATTAGAAGATTTTAATAGAAAAATTTCAAATCGAAAATCTCAAATAGATATTGATAAACGTGATTTATTATTACTTGAATTATTAAGATGGTTTAAAGAAGAATTTTTCACTTGGTTTGATCGTCCGAAGTGTGATCGATGCAACATTTTAATGGACTTTTTTCAATATATTCAACCAACAAGAGAAGAAAGAGAACAAGGTGACGCACAAAAAGTTGAACTTTACAAGTAAAATATTTTCTTTTTATTCAAATTAAAAATTAACTGTTTTTATTTAAAAGATGTTCAACTTGTTTATCTCAATATCGTTTTCCTCGTTTTAATGCTCCATTGAAATTATTAGAAACTCGTCAAGGTCGTTGTGGTGAAGCTGCTAATCTGTTCACTTGTCTCAGTCGTTCATTATCATTTGAGAGTCGTTATATTTATGATACAACTGATCATGTTTGGACTGAAGTTTATTCAGAAAACCAACATCGTTGGCTTCATTGTGATGCATGTGAAAATCTTTGCGATTCTCCACTTATTTATGAAAAAGGATGGAGAAAAAATTTATTATTTTGTATTGCTTTTGCTAAAGATCATATTGAAGATGTTACTTGGAAATATGTTACAAATTTTAAACAAACAATACAAAGAAGAAATATTAATGAAAAAATATTTGCTAAAACTATTTCACGAGTGAATGAAAAACTTCAGTCACAACTTAATCAACAAGAAAAAAATAAAATTATTTCTAAGTATTTTTCTTTATTTTTCTTTATAAAATTATTTTATTTCATTTGAATAGTCGAATAGAAGATATTGTTAGCATGTTAAATGAAGAAAAGTTGACAAAAGAAAGTGAATTACATGGAAGACAAAGTGGTTCACTTGGCTGGAAATTAGCACGAGGAGAAACAGATCAGCAAGTTGTTTATGGGATTTAAGTTTCGTTTTGTCTCTAACATTTGTATTTTAGGATGATATAACAAATGGATTTATTTATTTCATAAATAATGAAGAATGTGACAAAGGTTTTATCTCTATTGAATATAATTCAGTTTTAGATAAATATTATCGTAATGAAATTGAAGAAAATAAAAAAGATGGATTGATCGACAAAGTTTATTCATGTTCAAATATTCAAAGAAAAATCGAAAATGATTGGAAAATGGTTTATTTATCAAGAAAACAATTAAATAAGAGTGGAATTATTTCATGGGCTATTCAATTTAATTCTGAATAAGAACAATTTCATCGATTTCACAACATTAATATTCAATGTCCATCAACAAGTTTTGATCAGTATGCTCAAATTAGTTGCCAATTACAATTAGGAGATGAACAACTTATTGATATACCACAAAGTATTTAAAATAATTTTATTAATATTTCTTATTTGTTTTATTTTTAAATTTAGATTCAAATTCATCGTTTGAATATATTGTAGATCAAACAAAACATTCTTTGTCAAATCTTCGAATTCAATTTAAAGCAATATTAACAAGTTCAAATGATAATAATGATGATAATGCTTGGCAAAAAGCTCAATTATTTCGACAATCAATAGAGCAAATATCCAATAATGATCATTCACATTTTCTTAGAATAATTGCTACTATTATTAAAAGAACATTTTAAGCATTTTGACAATTGTTTATTTAACAAGTTTCAAATAAATATGAGAACTCCATCATTTTAGTTGATGCCATAGTCAATCTATTATGATATTCGTCATATAAATTAACTTTGTTGTGTTCGAACTTCGACAACAATCAAAAACTCTATGTTAAGTTAACATTCTAGCCTCGAATTATAGTTTGATGACTAATAGAAAAATGATTCACTACTTGTCAAGATTATCACTTGTAGGAAAACGATGAGTCTTGTTCAATACAGCTTGGGGAGTGAACTCTAAATCAGCAAGGAGGTCGAAACAGACGATATTTATGTGTCCCTCTTCAATGGCTTAGTAACTTAAAATCTAATATCTCTTCGAATGATCACATAGAAATTAATTTTGTGAAATTGAAAGAATCAAGACAAACAAAAACCACAGTTTCATCATTAGAGATTAATGATATGTGTTTAAATTTATACAATCTATAATCGATCTTTAATATTAACTAACTAGAATGTAGCGAATAGTCAACATATCTACATAAAAAGTTGTTTGTGTTCGTATCATTTATGCATAGAAGAAATATTGATTTCAAAAAATTGTATTCCCAAAACATTTCATTGTTTTATGTGACAATTAAATGCAACTATTTCCCAGTACCGTTTCTTATCACTTTTCGTCAAAGTTTCTTTCATCTCTAAAACTGATGACAATATTTTTGCTGCTCATTCTTAACGTAATCAAATATGAGATTGCTTGAGATATCATTTTAATTTCGATTCAAGTCAAATGCGATTTCTAGACGTTTTCAACTGAAATAATCATTTGTTTTCTCCAATCAGTCGAACAACAAAAAATATTCATTGATTAAAATAAAGAGAAACTCGAATAAATTACCGATGATTTATTAGACATTCATTTATTTTTATATTCAAATCATTCGAGAAAAATGTTGAGAAAATCTTTCAAAAAAAAATATGACTGTTNATTTTTATATTCAAATCATTCGAGAAAAATGTTGAGAAAATCTTTAAAAAAAAAATATGACTGTTAATTATTGCTTAGAAAGAAAAATATATATTTTTTCGGTATTTAATTGAGAACATTAAATGAATCAATACGATTAGGACGAATTTCTCCAACGTATAATGAACGACCATTGACGCTTAAAGCCAAATCGTGTGGATCACCAAATTTCTAAAAAGAAACGAAAAATATGAACTAGTCGTAAAGAGAATTAGAAGACAACAAACATCATTTGGTTCCCATGTAGTGATTGATTGGCCAAATGATTCAGGATGAACACTAAATGTAAAACCCATGGCGTGACTTTGTCCAAGTCTGCCACTAACTGCATAAAGACGGTCTATTTAGAGAAAAATATTTATTAAAATAATATAAATAATTTAGAATCAATACATATAATTGGATCATAATGAATAGCATATACAGTTCTCATTAATGGATGATCAATAATAGCTTTAACTTGACTTTGATTATTTTCGTTTGTTTCATCATCACCATCATCATCATTAATTTCATCATCGGAATAAACAATTCTATTTTAATTAAATTAACTTTAATAAATAAACAAATCGAAAAAATCTTTTACCGTCCATTTACTCTGTCAGCAACACAAACGAGATCAAGTGCTTCGATAAGAACAATACTATCTTGAGGGCGCGGGGTGTGGGTGTGGTTGGTGGAATATGTGCTTGTGTGTTTGTGTAAGATGATCTGCAGCCACACCCACCCACACCCACACCCACATCCTGCAACAATATCGGCACAGTGACGATCAGTGAAACTAGTAAACATCTGAGAAATCTATGGTGTTGATCCTTTTTTTCTATCATTCAGTCGAAATTCTACAGTGTCCGAAAGTCATTTAACAAAAAGAAAATTGTATATCTCGGCCAATTCTTATCCAAATTGGACAATTGGTTTTTATTTGAAAGGGAAATGTTCCAAGTTTAATTTAGTTAAAATATGTAATACATGCACTGCTCGAAAGTGACACCAGTCACATCAATACAAAGTTTTAATATTTTCACAATACTATTGAAACCGTTACCTAATGTTTCTCTTTTTATAGCTTTGATTTCTCTTTCAATTCTGTCGTTTAAATCATCAATATCATTTACTCTTGTTTTGTATACATTTGTTTTGATATAACCCTATAAATAAAAATCAAGTGGAGTTACATCTAGGGATCGCGGTGCCCAAAAGATTGGACCGCCTCTACCGATCAACTTGTCATGAAATTCTTCGTTTAACTATGCATGAACTTGTTTTGAAAACTCTAGGGCGCATCATCTTGCTAGAAAATACTCTTGTTATTAAGTCTTTTTCTTTTTATAGTTGGATAAAAATAATTTTTCAACATATCAAGATAATTATGCCGATTGACCGTTTCGTCTTCAAAAAAAGTATCGACTGATTATTTGCTTGTTGGAAATTGCACACCATGCGTTAACCTTAGCAAAATTCACAGCTGCTTCAATAGTAGTGTAAGGATTGCTTGCGTCCAAAATACTACAATCAAGCTTGTTCACCACCGCGGAATTACGTAGTATTGTGAAAAGATTAAAACTTTTTATTAATGCGAATGGTGACACTTTCGAACAATACATGTAGTACATATTTTAACCAAATAAAACTTGGAACATTTCCCTTTCAAATTAAAAACAAATTATCCAATTCGGATAAGAACTGACAGTGATATACAATGTTCTTTGAGTGCATGACAATTCTTAGTGGTAATATCATTGGAATTTTCAAAAACAAAAAGTGTCACCTAACCCCATGTAGATAGGTACTTGCATACATCGAGAGTTATAAACATCCAATAATCAATGCATCAATCTGCAGGTCTATGAACGGATGCATGGATATACAAATAAATGGATAGATAGATAGGTAGGTAGATAAATAGATAAATAGATAAATGGGTAGATAGATAGATAGATAGATAGGTAGGTAGGTAAATAGATAAATAGATAAATGGGTAGATAGATAGATAGATAGATAGGTAATCAGATCAGCATGTTCAAAGAGAGACATGGCATATCGGCGCTCGTTGAGTGGCCCTGCGGGTCACCACGCGCTGGGGCATAGATGAAGGTGTGCGTGGAACCTTTGATCATGTAACGCGCACATCAGATCAGTATGTTTAAAGAGAGAGAGATAGCAGTATGGTAGGACAGGCAAAAAGGCAAAGAAGCGGAAAAATTTATTTATCCGATTGCCCATTTATCTATATCTATTTACCTGCCTATTAGGGACCTATTCGGCCTGGATCCTTCGTCATGTTCACGGTCACGTAGGTTTTTCAAAACTAGTGATGGCTAGATATCACCGTGATCATGACCGTGACCACTTTGCAGATCTCTCCTATCTACCGATTTTTCTATTTATCTATTTACCTACCTACCTACCTACCTACCTACCTATCTATCTATCTATCGATCCATTTATTTGTGTATCCATGCACCCTTCCATAGACCTGCAGATTGATGCACTGATTATTGGATGTTTATAACTCTCGATGTATGTAAGTACCTATCTATATGCGGATAGGTGGCACATTTTTATTTGTAAAATTCCAATGATATTATCACTAAGATACGACATGTATTGTTTTCTTTTTGTAAAATTCTGATTATCCTTACTGGGAGAAGAAGAAAATCATCATATTGAATGAACTTCAACAGCGATAAAGCGTGACAGACGCAGAATCCAAAATTGAAAACATTTAATTGATTTCAATAACCTACGTATAAGAAAAAAGGGAAACCAGCTATTATTAACAAGTTTATACAGCCTGAAATCATCATCACACAACCGAATATCTACTTCGAATATCACTCTAAGAAAAACAATTCACGAGTTTTCCTATGACCCTCACTACAGGGTAGAAAGCAAATGTTGATTTTTTCCTAAAATCGTTCTTCTTACTCTAGAACAATTTCAAACACAAAAGTTCGAAAAACATATAAAGAATTGGGATTCCTGGACCCCAAAAACTCTTTGATGAAACTTTACCTCGTATACTATACATAGTTATATCGGCTACTCTTTTGAACGAATATACGAACTAAAGAAGATAGTTCACTCAGCGTATGAACCTCCTTTCGGTAGAAGGAACATTTTTTCTTTAATTTTTATATGTAGATTTCGCTTTTTATTGTTTTTTTTATGATTTTCAAACATTTATATATTTTTTTCTTTAATTTTTATATATCAAATTTGTTATGTGTAATCATACTCATTTCCTTTTTCTTTCGTTTTTTGTAACGAGTCAATAAACATTTGATCGTTGTAGCTGCTCAGTCCATTATCATCCGTTCAGTAGAAGGAAATAGAAAATGGTTTATTAAATTTTAAAGCTATTTAATAATATTTATAAAGATTTTTTCTTTAATATTTTAATTGAATATTTCAAATTCTTTTTTGAAATTTCAATGTTTTGGCCAACAGTAGTTTTATTTTTTTCAGCTGTGTGTTTCAAAACTGCACTCGTTATTAGTTAACAGAATCAATAACTGGTTTAACATATAACACTAACCAAATGTCGTGGGTGTTGATTGTCCAATTCAATAAATGTCAAACTTTTTTCAATAGTCAAACTTTCCTGCAGATTTCACTGACTTTCCTTTTTCAATAAAATTTTTACATAATCAATAATACCTCTATTAAAAGCAAAATACATTAGAATTTCTGTATTTTTATCAGCGTAGCACATTTACATTTATGTATATATTTTAGTTTTTTAAATAGCTGCATATTTAGTACTAGGATTATCTGAAGTATTGTATTAATATTTGATTCAACAACTATACGTATTTCCTGAAGATTATTTCAAAAACCAAAGTTAATGAAATAAATAAATATTGTTTTTTAATTACTAAACTTTTTATAGGTAACCAAGTGACAGCATATCGAAATCTTTTTATAAATATATTTAATCACACAGAGAAAAATCCTTTTTTATACAAATATGAGATAATGAAGAGAAGAAGTACGTTTTAAAAAAAATGAAGATAACATAACTTATATGAAAAATAAACAAAACTTAATGGCAAAACCAGGAATCTTCGATATGCTACATCTTAACTTCAGGTCATGGGTTCCAGATGAAACTTATAGAAAGTGATATTGAACCTGAATGACGTCTTTTTATGGAAATCATTTTGCAGTTGAAGTTTGCAAAAAAGAACGATTTTTTTCGAAAACGTCAATTACAAAGATTTTTCATAAACACTGGTCATTCAGATTCAATATCATCCTCGATAAATTCCATGTGGATCCCATGCTCTGAACTTGAGATACATAAGCAAGAATCTTGACTATGCCACTAATAAAAATCATATTTTTAACGATATTCATCTTGTATTAAATAAAAATGAAATACCTTTTCTAAAACTTTCATTTCTGCGTCTTTATATTTCTGCAAACCAGCTAATTGAAGGTAGTTCATAAGACCTGTAAAATCTGATTGTATACCCGATCTCTTGCATTGTTGCACATAACCTTCTAGCATTTCGTGTTGCTCGATATTACGTTGGTTGCGACACATAAGCATTTTTAGCATATTTTTGTAACAAATGCCAATCGTATCACTAATATCTTTATAGATATTAAATACAATATGAAATTTTTTTTCAGACATGTGTAGAACATTAAAATCATGATTATTTTCAAGTAATACGAGGAGTAAAGTTTCATCTAATGGATCCATTCGTATAGTTTCATTTCTAAATTTTCTTGTTAACACTTTTTTGAGTGGCGTTGAAATCGCATAGGACAACTTTTTATATTCCGTTTCATATACGATTTGTTTCATTTTGTAAATCTTTGAATTTCATACGTACATCGTCTATTCTTTTTGCTTGAACATAATGTTCAATAATCAATGTTTCAATTAAGCGTCTTAAATCCATCATGAGCAATTCAAATTTTTCATATTTACTACGATCAATCAATGCACCATTATATTCATCTGTTCCCAGGTCGAACATTCCGGCCACCGGATCCCGTAGGATACTCCAGGGAATATGCGGGAAAGTCACCATATCCTACAGGAAAACACGGGAAATCGCTGGAGCATGGAAGCAGTATTCCGGTCAAAAATACGGCCGGGCTTTTCCGGCGAATTCCTGCCAAGTTCCGGTGCTTTCCGGCACGAATTGATCGGAAATCACCGGAAAATTTTCCAACCGGAATACTGCTTCCACAAAATCAACGGAACTACTCGGAACCGGCCGTTTCCAGGCCGGACTGTTCGACCTGGGTTACTAATAAATTGAGTAAATCATTATGGACTTTGTCGAATTCTTTTACAGAAGTTAAATTGACTTTGTGGAATTTTTCACACTCTGCTATAATTGATAGAAATTTTTTGAACCATTCTTCTACAGGAGTAGATAGAAGATCTTCTAAATCGCATGTAAGTTTTTGATTATCCGAAATAGTAAAATAGTTTATAAAAATCTAAAAAAGAACGAGAAAAAGATCGAAAATAGTTAATTTCAGGAAAAGTCAATCTCATAAAATCAGACAATATAAACGCTTTGGATGTTGTATGTAATAGTGTTAGTCATTCAAATGACCACACAATAGAAAGATGAAAGATACGAAATCGAACATGATGCGATTGTTTCACAATGGCAAGGATATCTTCTTCAAAAATAAATAAATGGACAATTTCTACATTTGGAATGGATACTTTTTCACCGTTGAACCTATTCATTACATATAGATGTACTTCACATCTCGATTGTTGTGAGTCTTTAATCTAAGAAATACTGATGCATTCATGAGCTGCCTAATTCGAATTATAATATAAATGAGCCTCGCAGTGCTGAAGACGAGTTCAAAAATAAATGAAATTGTTTTAAAAATTATGCCAGTAATTGTGTCTAGCAGAAAGAAATCATATGAATACCCAGAAGAGACTTTGAGGAATCCCTCGAAGTGTGGATGCCAAAAAAAGGGAACTATTCGGTTACAAACAACGCAACAAGCTGTCGGTGGGTGCCTACCCAGGTCGAACAGTACGGTCCGTATACGGACATTGGCGGTTACTTTACGACTATTTTACGGGCAAAAGTTTGCCGTAATATCTGGCGCAGTAATACGGACCGTATTATCATGAGAGTACGGAGCACAAGCAGTCGTAAACCATGAAAATTCAGTCCCGTTTGCGATGCCGTATTACTGCGCCAGGTATTACGAGCAAATACGGCCTATTTATTTCCGTAAATATACCGTTTTGACATCGTTTACCATCGATAAACAGACTGTAAACGAGTCCGTTTTGATTAACCTGGACAGAGGGACCCTGTGAGATCTCCTCGAGTGTGAGTACACGGAAGAAGTCAATTGTACACACACAACTTGCAGCTTTCCAAGTGATGCATGTAACATTCTTAGTGATGCTTGCAGCCTTCCTGATGACGCGTGTATAATCTCAGTCTATGTTTGCAGTATTCCACGAAAAAGCCTTAGTGTTTATAAATTTTTGAGTGAGAAAACTTAATCGAATTCTATTTCTACTTTTCAACAGGGTGTGCCTTCGAATTCATAAATATGTCACAGGTAATACATCTTGTGGTTGACTTTATTACTGAAATGAGGTTATGACAGCGTAGAAATTTTTTCTTTGTCTATGGTATTGTGAAAACGTAAGATTGTTTTTTTTGAAATTTTTGATTTATATTTGAAGTGGAATCCAATAGCTACTCATTTCATAACTTGCGTATTGGTTTGATCTGAACATGAGTAACATACAATTTAGAAGCAATCATGTATCTAACGTTGATTGACAGCTAATAGTTAAATTGTTTATTTTAACATTTGAATATTCAGAGGTGCGAAGAATGAAAAAAAAGATACTATAACTTTTCAATTTACTTTACATAACGTGTACAATGTTTTTCTTATCTAATATGTAAATATATGGCTTTTGTTTTATTGAAAGACAAACTTTAAATATTAGTTGCAATGATGATGTTATTCGGATTCGGGGTGCATCAGCTCAAGCTCGAAAGTTCAGCTGAGCTGAGCGAAAAAGCTGTTCGAACGTTCATTTCGGTAGGAGCTGATCGATTTGAACAGCTCGTTCTAAAAGAGCTGATCAGATCGAACAGCTCTCGTTCCTGAACTGAACGTTTTGAACAGCTCGTTCTAAAAGAGCTGATCTGATCAAACAGCTCGCTCTCTCTCAAGAACTGATTGGCATGATGCCAAAAACACTATCTTTGGGATAATTCCAATCAGTTCTTGAGAGAGAGAGAGCTGTTCGAACGGATCAGCTCTTTTGAAAGGAGCTGTTGAAAAAGTTCAGTTCAGGAACGAGAGCTGTTCGATCAGATCAGCTCTTTTAAAAGGAGCTGTTCAAAACAATCAGCTCCTACCGAAATGAACTTTCGAACAGTTCCTTCGCTGAGAACTAGAGCTGAACTATTGCACCCCTAATTCGGATCGTTATCTATTCACTGTTTAACTTACTCAAAGCAACTTCGACAAGCATACTAGCTTCGATATTATACATATATATATATATACAGTGGCTCCCAAAATTATCCACCAAGGTTTATTTTCAATTTTTTTCCGCTACCTGAATCATTAGACAGATTCCAAATAGTGATTCGGAGCCACTGTATATACGTACTTAATTTTATTCAACATCTAATATATAGTCAATTACTAGAAATACCATTGGACTTCCACTCAAATAGATCAATCATCAACTAAATATTCACGTTAAAAATGGTAATGGAAAGAAGAAAAAGAGAGTTTTAAAAGTCTTTATTCATGTGCTTCATTGATATTGCAATGACTAACGACTCAATCAATTGTGAACTCTTAAGAAAAGCATGTCTTAGTAATGGTATTTCTGAAAAATTGATTAATCTATTAAAAATGCTTTATAGAGACTCAATCGCGAAATTCGAATATATACGATGAAATGTTGAATAGTTTCAGATCGAAACTGAGATATCTCGTCGCCAATTCTATTCAATATCCTGTTCAACTTCATTGTAATAAGATAAGTCATCGATGAAGCTGCTCTCTCAGAAGTAAAATTTTCTTGTGACAGTCACGACTCATCACTCCTTGTATGGAAGAAGCGAGAACCATGATGATTTTCATATTTTAGCACTATTAAATGCAAACAATCTGGTTGTAATGTGTGAAACTACTGTTTATCTAGAGAAATTTATTAGGTCATTTGAGTAAAGATGAATTCTAATTCGATTAAAATCTGTCTATAATTACTTGATATTATTTAGCTGAAACGAATTCATGTTTCATTTTGATAAAGAGAATTCTATCTACGCCATATTGACTATCTATGCTGTTTTTATGACTCTCAAAAAGAATCAATCTATAAATGATTCAAGTTCAAATTAATTCGTCTATTTTTTACATCTTTGCAATTGAATCATCTCATGCAACTCTTTTATGAGAAGATTTGAAATGATTTTGTTTTCTTTTATGTGCCAAATATAAACAGATATTCAAGGATTAAAATAAAGAGAAACTCGAATAAATTACCGATGATTTATTAGACATTCATTTATTTTTATATTCAAATCATTCGAGAAAAATGTTGAGAAAATCTTTCAAAAAAAAATATGACTGTTGATTATTGCTTAGAAAGAAAAATATATTTTTTTTCGGTATTTAATTGAGAACATTAAATGAATCGATACGATTAGGACGAATTTCTCCAACGTATAATGAACGGCCATTGACGCTTAAAGCCAAATCATGTGGATCACCGAATTTCTAAAAAAAAACGAAAAATATGAACTAGTTTTAAAGAAAATTAGAAGAAAACAAACATCATTTGGTTCCCAAGTAGTGATTAGTTGACCAAATGATTCAGGATGAACACTAAATGTAAAACCCATGGCGTAACTTTGTCTAAGTCTGCCACTAACTGCATAAAGGCGGTCTATTTAGAGAAAAATATTTATTAAAATAATATTAATAATTTCATAATAAATACGTTTAATTGGATCGTAATACATAGCATAAACAGTTCTCATTAATGGATGATCAATAATAGCTTTAACTTGACTTTGATTATTTTCGTTTGTTTCATCATCACCATCATCATCATCATTAATTTCATCATCGGAATAAACAATTCTATTTTAATTAAATTAACTTTAATAAATAAACAAATCGAAAAAATCTTTTACCATCCATTTCCTCTGTCAGCAACACAAACGAGATCAAGTGCTTCGATAAGAACAATACTATGTGGAATGAGAAGTGGTTGCTCATCTTCAGGCATTGCATATTCTTTTAAAAATTTTCCTTTTGAATCAAATTTAAAAATATGAGCATTACAATATCCATCAGCAACATAAATCTTTGATCCATCATTTGATACAACAACATCAGTTAGTTTACAAAAATGTGATTCATCGTTGCCGGGTACAAATGATTCACCTAATGTTAATACGCGTTCACCATTTGAATATTTAAACACCTTTTGTTTTTCGTAGTAAAATGAAAATAATTGATTGCGAAATAAAAAGATTTTCTTTTCATTACCTGATGCATTCCAACATCTGTAAGCCAAAGATTTTCTTCGCTATCAACGGCGAGACCATGAGGCATATAAAATCTTCAAATAGAATATCACATAGATTTTATTTATTGAGATAAAAAAAAGAACTTACGTATTATTTCCCCATTGTTCTATTATTTGTCCAGTACGAGTATTGACAGTGAGAACTGTATTCTCTGGTATGACACCAAATTTTGGGTTATCAAAATGTCTACCATCAGGAAATGATCTTTAAACGAATACAAAAGGAACATTTTTATGACAAACTAGAGAGAAAAAGAAACGAGACTGCTCAAGATGTATATATATATTCGTTTCTGTTTCCTGTTCAAGTCATTTTTTATATATTTGAATATTTGACAACAATGTCTTATTATCAGGATTTGTCGTATTGTTATTCATCAAATGATGAATCATTTTCGTATGTTTCACATCCATGTTATTGCCCTGTTCATAATTCTTCTCCAGTTAGTATGTGTACACTTCATCAACCCTCTCCTTATAATAATAATAATAATGGAAATATTAATACTCAACCAGAAGTAAGTAATAGTATAAATACAAATTTATCTTCATTACAGGTTTGTCGAGAAAAGACTCGTCGATTTTCTTCTGAACAAATTCGAATTTTAGAAGAACATTTTTATAAGATTGATAAATATCTATCGAAACTAACAATTGATGAACTTTCAACTCGAACTCAGTTAAAAGCGGCTCAAATTCATGTTTGTTTCAATAACAAACGTACAAGAGAACGTCAGGAATAAATATTCTTTGTTTTGCATTTTTTCCTTTGTTAAATTGAACGTTAAAAAAATAAATGATTAAAACTTACTCTTGATTCCATTCTCGTGATGCTCGATGAAAATCAAATAATGACTTGTATTCAACTCCACCTCCATATCAACCAAAATAATTTTTATACCATCAAGCTATTAGGAGTAATCATTTTTTTTGTAAGTTTGGTTTAAAATATTTTCGTTGCATTGATCAGAGAAATGATTTGAAAGAAAAAAAGCAATTAATGAGAAAAATTTTCAAGATGCGTTTTCTTGCTTCCTCTTTCATTTCTGTAACTTATATGTCTGGACGAGATGGGCTGTTTCTACATGTATTTATTTCAATGGTTGAAGTTTGACCGAGAGATAAACAACGAAAACAGCTAGTTGAATGAAGTCATGTATACAATGTTGCATATGCACTGCCGCATCTTTTTATATGAGTTTCTCTTCAGTGGAGAAAACAGATAATGCGTATAACATTTTTTCTTTCAAGTTGATCGAGATTGACCCCTCATCCTGTATGCAAACGTATACACCAGAGCATCAACCAGGCCGTATTTTTGTAGGTCTGGCCGGTCCGTGACAGGCCTTTGCATTTCAAGCCTGCCTGTGCCTGTCAACTAATTTGATCGGCCTGGCCTGCCTGCCTGTCATTCTCTACGGCCTGCCTGGCCTGCCTGACAAGGCCTGTCAATTTTTTTTAATGCTAATATCATTACGAGGATAGAATAGAAACATGTAATTAATGTTGAGAATGAAGAAAACCAGTTTAATTAATTTAATATGACTAGATGAAGCATTTACTTATCGAAGTTTTCANCTTCTGAACAAATTCGAATTTTAGAAGAACATTTTTATAAGATTGATAAATATCTATCGAAACTAACAATTGATGAACTTTCAACTCGAACTCAGTTAAAACCGGCTCAAATTCATGTTTGTTTCAATAACAAACGTACAAGAGAACGTCAAGAATAAATACTCTTTGTTTTGTATTTTTTTCTTTTTAAAATTCAATGTAAATACATAAATGATTAAAACATACTCTTGATTCCATTCTCGTGATGCTCGATGAAAAACAAATAATCGATTAGGATTTTTAACAGATGCTCCAAGACCACCGACTTGACCAAGTTTATATTCATGTTGAGAATCATCATCAGCCGATACAATACTTAATGGTTTATTTGATAAAACTTGATAGGTTACAACATTCTAAATGAGTATTTTTTATATAATAATTTTATTTGCTAAAACTTTAAATTATCATATTTACCTCATCAGATTCAACACCAGCTGAAATAGTATTTTCAAAAGCTCTTGCATTTACATTTACAACAATGGAAACCAAAACAAGAAGGAGAGTAAGGCGATCCATTAGAAAATAACTCGCCTTCGTCAAGTGACAATCTAGAAATAGAAAACAATGTGAATAGAGAAAAATAGCATTTTCTTGCTTTTTTTCTTGTTTCCTCAGAGTTCCGTCTGGTTCAACTCATCGTCTACACAACGGAGAAAAACGTTACGATCATTTTTTCCGACTATTCTTGTTTGTGAGGTCGATCGTTCTGTGCTTCATGAAAAAACTAATGGGAGGAATAAGCAGATGTTGTTTTTTTTCTCAAAATAAAATGCTTTTGCGAATGTCACGCCAATTATTATCTGATTATCAAAAGTTTTTTTTCTTCTTACGGAAGTATTTTCAATGCATGAGTATTTTTTTTAGTGATATTTATACAAAATAAAAAAAAGAATTTCCTAAATAAAATTGAATATCTTAGTAATCATTATATATTAGCTGTTTTTTTCTTCTATCAATAACATTATCTCGAACAGAACATCATTTATTAATGGAATTTGCAATAATTGGTAAATAAATGTTTTTTAATTTTGGGTGTTATCATCGACGATCTTTTTTTGTCTAAATGAATAAACCACGAAATATAATTATAAGTCGATGAAAATCATTGCAATTTCTAATATTTAATGTAAAAAACGCATATTTCATTTCAAAAAATAAAACTTTAGAATATCTTGACAACAATGAGCTGATGTTTCATCAAAATATCCTTTTTTCGAAATTTAATAAAAACTTTTCACGTGAATTGTCAAGTTAGAAAAAGAAAAATACAAAAATAAATACACCTGATTAGCATTTGGCTTTAACTCTTCACAGAATAGTTTTAAGCATAACGTTATAAATAATCAATTTCAGCTCCACGTTTTTCATCATGACTAATCAAAAACACGGTTTAAATGTATTATATTTGGTGAACGTGCAATTATCATTTGTTGTGCTGTTTTCACATTCAATTGGATTTGATGGACAATTATTAAATTTCGAAGAAAACTAAACGATATGAAAGATGATAAACGTGATAATTCATTTATCGATTCAAAACTAAATGAATATTTTTTTAATTCATTGAATGTTTTTTTTGTTTTGTTTTTCAAATCGATGGACACTTGGTTTATTTTTAAGTGATGGAAATTGAATTTGTTAGTAAAAAGGAAAAAAAATATACCGATTAATAATAAAATAAGCAGTTGCGACGTCTACTTAAATGTTTGTAAAGCGATCAAACTAAGCATTAAAAAAAATCATCATTCTAAGCTAAAACTCGTTTCGTTTTCCTTTAGATTGAAAAAAAGAACATCGATTTAACTGATCCATATCCATATGCATTTTATAGTGCATAAGCGTTTGGTCGCTACTACATTATCAAAATGCATAAGTGACATGACGCGGCTCTTTTTTTGGGCGACATACGAGTGAATTTTGTGCATGCAACAGTGTTTGTGAATGAACAATTGAAGACAGACATTACATTCATTGACTGAGGCTTTGTTTTTGGTTTATAAATATATCGGTCATATGGAAACATTATGATGTAATACAAATGTGTCAGTCTAAGGTAAACTGAATTTAGAAAAACGTTTTTTTTTAGATTAGCATAGAAGTTTCGTCACACCACACGTGAGAATTCATCATTATATCATATTAAAAAAAATGAATTAAACTGCAAACAAACCGCTTAAGCCTAGAAAGGAGGTAAATACCTTCTTTTACATCACTTAAACTTTCATTGAATATTATTTTTTTTTATTTGAAGAATAAGTCGCCTCCAGGCGAATCACCGACGCAACGGATTCAAAGATTAGAAGTACTCGTATTATCACAAATATCGAAACTTGATGCCATGGAAAAAGAAAACGTCGAATTGAAGCGTATAAACAACGATTTATTGGAGAAAGTTGGAGAAATGGAGAAAAAAATCCAACACTTGGAAAATGATGCACGTGAAAGAGAAGCAAAATTTGGAGACAGTGATTCGAACTCTCCTCCACTTATCAAGAAACACCAAAATGTTTTTTTGGAAAAGGCCCCAGGTCGAACATACACGGTCGTATACGACGGTAAATCGCCGTATTACATGGCTCCGTATTACGATCGTAAATCTCCGTGCCGTATACGGCGCTTTACGGTCGTTTTTGATCGTATTTCACCGTATTACGACACGGAGATTTACGATCGTAATACGGCCAAATACGGCGATTTACCGTCGTATACGGCAGAATACGGCCCGTATTTCACCGTATACGGACGTCGTAAAGCTCGTCCTGGGGGACAATCAAATCTCTTCACTTGTGTTTTTTTTGTTGTCGATTAAAGCTACTTGTGTTCGACGTTCTTAATGTTCATTTTTGTATTGATGTAAAACAAAAGATAAAAACAATAAATAGAAATGATTCTCTTATTGATATACAAACGAATAGTGTTTCATTATGGTCTGATTATGTGGAAGTGGTTGACAAAACACCGGCATCTCGCTAAGTACAAAGAAATAAATAGACAAGCAAAATATTTCACTTATCTATTGATTTCATGATTTTATTTAGAAACTGTGAAAGGACGATTTTTTGAGAAATTTCGTTTGGTTGGTGAGCATTTTACAACCAATTTCTTTTATCAGACTTATTCAAAAAGCTTTCAAAACGAATCCAAGATTGTTAGAGATCTGTTTCTAAAACAATCGCATCTTATAAAAACAACATTTGGTAAACTTTCGTTTCTCTGCAAATAATTGGTCGTGTTTTCCATGAAGGTATTATTAATGTCAATGATGAAATATTTGATTTTCTATTAGTGGCAACTTTTTTCTCGAAAAACTTGTTTTCAAAAAGCAAACATCGTATAACTGCTTTAGGTTACCTATGTTGATAATTTCGATGCTTTATTCAATAATTTCCTGATGATAAACGTGTCAAAAAATTGTCAAGTATTTGAAGTAATAGTCTTACAAAGGATTAGATACGAAAAATTCTAGACAAAATATCGGCAGATATCATTCTTCTACTTCTAACATTTACGCTTTAAAGTCAACTTGACTGTCGCTTCCAGATCTTGTCAATTAAATTAATCATATATTATCAACAAAACGATTTTTATTTGATTACTGTCTTTGTCTTATGAAATAAAATAGTAATATTGTATAATTACAACCGTAGTTTCACCATAAAATATATGAAAGGTACTTTAGTGAGGTTTTATTAATTTTAATATAAAAATCATTCGAAGAAAGTATTGTTAAAACCTTTTGAGAAGAAAAGATTGACTGTTGATTATTGCTTAGAAAGAAAAATATATATTTTTTCGGTATTTAATTGAGAACATTAAATGAATCGATACGATTAGGACGAATTTCTCCAACGTATAACGAACGACCATTGACACTTAAAGCCAAATCGTGTGGATCACCAAATTTCTAAAAAGAAACGAAAAATATGAACTAGTCGTAAAGAGAATTAGAAGACAACAAACATCATTTGGTTCCCATGTAGTGATTAATTGGCCAAATGATTCAGGATGAACACTAAATGTAAAGCCCATGGCTCGACTTTGTCTAAGTCTACCACTAACTGCATAAAGACGATCTATTTAGAGAAAAATATTCATTAAAATAATATTAATAATTTCATAATAATTTTCAACACCACATTACTTTAAATGAATAAAAATAAAGTACCCTCATTTAATGTAAAAAAATGCTTATTTCAAGAAATAAAACTTTAGAAGATCTTGACAACATTGAGTTTATGTTTCATCAAAATATCCTTTTCTTCGAATCTTAATAAAAACATTTCACGTGAATTGTCAAGTTAGAAAAAGAAAAATACAAAAATAAATAAACCTGATTAACATTTGGTTTTAACTCTTCACAAAATAATCTTGCGCATAACGTTATAAATAATTAATTTCAGCATCATGTTTTTCATCACGACCAATCAAAGACACGATTTAAATGTATTAAATTTGTTAAACGGGAAATTATGTTTTGTTGTGCTGTTTTCACATTCAATTGGATTTGATGGACAAATATTTATTTAATTCATTGAATGTTGTTTTTTGTTGTTTGTTCCAAATCGATAGATAGTTTATTTATATTTAAGCGATGGAAATTGTATTTGTTAGTAAAAAGTAAAAAAAAAATACACTGATTAATAATAAAATAAGCAGTTACGACGTCTACTGAAATGTTTGTAAAGCGATCCAACTAGGCAATAAAAAAATCATCATTCTAAGTTAAAACTCGTTTGATTTTCCTTTTTTCCCGTTAGGTTGAAAAAAAAGAACATCGGGTTAACTGATTCGTATTTATATGCATTTTACAATGCATACGCGGCACGGCATGCGGTTCTTTTTGTGCGGCGATACAAGCAAGGCTATCAACTGTATCCCATTTAAGTTGTTAATTCTGCTATACAATTAACTAATGTTCCAATGAAAATAACCTATGTTTTTCACAATAGTTTCTCCTTTTTATAAAGTCATCTATAATCCAATGTCCTCAAAATCGCGATAAAAATAGTTGTATGTTTTTTTTCTGTAGAGAATTGAATAGAGAATCTTTCGACAGAAAGAGTAGTCTGGTTAATGGAAGAGAACAGATTTTGATAATACTAATAGCGTAACTCATCCTAGGTGACGTGTTTTGTCTATCTCATTGTGTTACTTCTATGAGGATATATTTGCTGTTTGATGCTTATACAGAAATAGAAAACTAAAATATGCAAATGAGCAGATCGATTGTAGAAAATCAAACAATTCAGATTATTTCTCTTTTAGGTCTGTCTTTTTTATGAGCGCCAACTGCTTCAGTCTGCATGGAAAATAATGATCGTACAAGCTAATGTTATTTTTCCTTTTCTAATAGGAAATTGTTTTAAAGTTTAAAAAATGTTTAACATTTTATTTTTAAAATTTGATTAAAAAAACAAATGATCAGTATATATGTTGTTATTTTCCTTAAATAATTTCAATTCTAATGATGGAAGGTCGATCAATGTTATCATTCAGACAATAGTTTCCTAAATAAAATTGAATATCTTGATAGTCATTTGAAATCAGTTCTTTATGTTTTTTATCAATAACTACAAATAAATTGAATTGAATATCATTTGTTAATTGTGATGAAAATAATCGACGAACGAATGTTTTCAATTTTGCTATTGTCATTGATGATGGAATTTTCTTTTCGATCTTTGTTTCATTTTCATCACCAAATTCAAAAATTATTCTTAATAAATCAGATCGAATACATAGACCTTTTTTTGATTGCTAAATGAAGAAAAGAGACAAATTTATCATTATTATTTCACCTTCGAGTTAAAATTAAACTATTGAAAAGACTATAGTTATCGGATATATCAAATCAATTTTTTTTCTCCATACGATGTGCTTTTGATAAATCAAAGTGAACAATAGAAAGAATTAAATTCAAGTTGATCTATGAAAAAACTTTGAATATTCAATATCTCAGAATAGAACAATACTAAGATAACTACAACTTCCTCAATGAGTTTATTTTATTTAGCAATTGTGTTTTGAAGATTTTGAAACGGTGAAAGTCAAAAATCAATTTTCTAATTTTTTGAAATGTCAACTATAATATCCATGTCACAAGAATGAATACTTATGATGATGACATTTCTTTGTTCAACGAGTTTTCGGATCGCAACAAATATTCTAGAATGAATTCCACGATGAAATCTATTCTCTCGTTTAATTATTTTATTCATTTTTTTTAATGATTCACAAAGAATTTTGTTTTACATGAACAATGATTGAACACTGAAAAAGAAACCTTTTTAGAATTATTGCGATTATTCAAACGAATTGAAATAAAATAATCAAATTATTGATCACTAGAAGAAAAGTTTTTAACTGATTGAATGAAAACGAGAAAAGCAAAAGAAATATCGATTGAAGTAAACGAATAGAGATATTTTTCTGTTTGAACATTACTAATATCTAACCTGATTAACAATTGGTTTTAAAGGTTCACCATGTTTTTCTATTAATAATTGATACTGTCTATGTTCATTAATAAAATCTAATTTTTTATCGAAATAATCTTGTGCGTAACTTTGTAAATAATCAATTTCAGCTCCCCGTCTTTCATCACGACTAATCGAAACACGATTTAAATGTGTTAAATTAGGTAAACGAGCTATTATCATTTGTTTAGCTGTTTCATTTTCAATTTGGTTTAATCCATAGATTGGATTTCGAAGAATACTGAATGACATTAATGATTTGATACGAGATAATTCATTTATCGATGAATATAAACATATTTTATTGTCGGACATATAAAGATATTTTAATGATGGAAATAATTCAATTGAATCATCTGAAATTTTTTGAAAGAGCCTCTTTTCAGAATATAAAAAGCAAAAGGTTCAAACCTTGATTTATTAATTTAATGGTTTCAATTCCACAATTATTAATAATTAATTCTTGAAGATGTTTTAATATTCCTAAACGATTAATAAAAGGATCCCAATGTATTAATGTTGGATTATCTGATAATGATAAATTCGTTAGATTTTTAATTCGTTCAACAAATATTTCTGATATAAAAGATAATCGATTTAAATCTAAATGAATATTAATTAAATTTGGAAAATATTTGAAAATATTTTCATATAAATCACAATCATTATCTGTATCAATTAAAATAAATTCTTTTAAAAATATAAATTCATTTGATGGATTCAAATCTAATTTCATTCGAGAATTACTAACATTTATTATTTCTAATCGAGGAAAATATGTTTCTAATATAATCCATAATTGAGACCAATTTGTAATTAAATTTTGTCGAATATTAAGTTCTTTTATTTGATTGAGATTTTTATAAATTTGATGATTATCATCGAATTCATTAACCCATTGACATGATAAATCGATTCGAATTAATGACGATAAATCGAGAACGTAATCGGAATATTGTTTACCTAAATTTATATTTATTTAAATATAATTTGATCTAAATCTTTCTGAAGTATAGATGCATAATTTTTGAAAGAAAAATCAATATAATCAATACTTTTAACACTGCTTATTAAACAACTTGTCGTATTCTTTAGAAGTTTGATTACTAAGAGATACATTTATTTAGATTATTACTCGGTGAATAGACAATTTTATCAGAGTAATATATGCCACAAAATAATTCTTTATCATATATTCGATGTAGAGAATTCGATATTTCTCTAAAGAAAATCATGAAATATCTTATTTGTATTCAATGATTCTGGCTTAGCTGAAAAATAAAAAGATTATAAATCTGAATAAACTATTGATATTTGTGTAAATAAAGCATTTCTTAAATATCCAGTGTTTTTTAAATCGAGTCATTCATGAGTGAAAACGGAAAATCTCCAGTGATAATCATTTTTTCTAATATTTTAATAGCTTCAGAAGGAAATTCTAGGGTTCAATTCATGAACATCAACAGAAATAACTTAACAATATCAGTTTTAAAACTTCGCCGACAGATCAGTCTTAATCGTTACAACTTATTGAAATTGAGAAAGCTTCAAGTTCTTTGTTTTTATTCCTATCCCGAAATAGGAATATCGAAGTAGTCCAAAGTAGATAAGGCATGTAGACAATGCAATTCTACTATATTTTTATCTCTTAGAATAAGAATAATTAAAATATTTGAAGTTTTCACTATTGATAATTTTTGTCTTACAATGGAAGGTTGGGAACTGTTAAGCAGTAAAACTGACGTTGTTCCGGGGAAATGATCACTCTCATCGAGAAACTAACGTATTTAAAAGATGAGCTGCCCATGGCTTACCTGGACAGAGATATTCGATTTTTNTTTGTTTTATAATAAAATTTTCCATTATTCGTTCCATTATGTTTTCCTTGTTGATTCCACCATTCAATGCCAATCCATTCACCTGGATGATTATCAACTAAACCAAAATAGCATAGTGTTGCTGGATGTTTTCCATCAACTAATATATGATCACCGATTTTCATCTAAAATAATAAACAAAAAAAATAGTTCTCTTTATTTAAATATCTTCATCAATATTAGCTAAATCGAATTTTTCATCAAAAATTTTGTCTTCTTTATTAATATTTATTTTTTGTTTTTGTCTTTTAAATGGTTGATTAAATGCTTGATATAATCGTTGTGCTTTTAATGTTCCTAAACCAGGACAAACAGATAATTGTTCATTTGATGAACTGAGAATTTTCTATAATGAACCAAATGTATCTAATAATGTTTGACCATCAATTTTATTTATTGATTTAACCTTAAGAATTTTATTTGTTTAATATGAGAAAATCATTTGATTGATATTGTTACAAATCCATTAAACTTTCAGCTGATTTTCCTTCCATTATTTTATATGTTTCTAAATATTTTGCTGATTCTTCATCATTTCAACTGATAAGAAGTGTGAGTTCATAAATGATTGAAAGACATGCAAGTTCTATTAATGATTTTTTTTAAGACGTTCACACACATAATTTGGATTTAACTGATGATAACGAAGAGACAAATACAATGCACATGAACTACGACTCATCGAATAATCAGCACCACTTAATATCATATCTGAATATTCTCATTTAACTTGATGAATATGTTTTAATAAAGGATTTTCTCGTTGACGAGAATGAACCAAAAAGGATGAAGGAGTAGAAGTTGATGTTGCTTTTATGAAATGAAAAGTTATAGTTTGTCGTTCTTTCTGAAATTTACTTGAAGAATCTGTTTTAGAAGTAGAACTTGGTAATGATGAATTCATTTTATTGATTAATGATGACCCTGGTCAAACTTTTTTTTGCAAGCGCATGCAATTGTTCACTTTCTTGATCAAGAAAGTCAAGAACTATGGACACATCTTGAGCTCAAGTCTTGGCAAGCGCATGAATAAAAAAGTTCGACTAGAGGAATCATCTTTTTTAAAAATTTTCTAGGGTACAAATAAATTCAAAGATTCTGTTTGATTATGATCATTATCATCAAGATCTTGCCCAATATATGAACGAGTTGACATTTTCATATTGTTTTCTTATTATGATTATTCCAGAGGTCACCACGTATAGTCACGTTCATTGGACATTGATTAGACTAAATTTGTATGTAATGTCTTCTCTATCATTGTTCGAGAACAATGGATGATGGATTGAATATAAACTGTCGTATAATACAGGGCGTGCTGATACAATACACGTAGCTCTCATTGCTTTTTTAGTTTTCCCCTTTAAAAATATTACTACTTTTTACGTTTTAGATGAGACGAACAATTCGTGATTTACTCGAACCTCATTGTGATGTTCTTATCAAAGATGGAAATAGTAAATGTGTTTCATCGGTTGTTAAAAAACGATTGTACAAAATGCAGGATCAAGTGCACCGTTCTTCTCATCCAACTATGAATGGTACTAGACCGATGGCAATCTTATTTTTCTTCATGGATGGATGTAAGTAAACTACTTCTGATTCTATGAAGCATTCTTGAAATTTAGCGACGCATGTACTGCTTAATTCGACTTTAGTATCCAAATTTATGAGTGTCTCTGTATAGAATTTTCCTTTAAAAGAGTTTTAATTATCCAATGAACTTGTGTTTTATCAATTTTTTATTTTCTTAGATGTCGATACGGTTCAAATACATCGACAAGCAAAGCGAGCAATGAAATCGCCAAGTATTACTTCAGCATCACATAGTGAGAAACTCAACAGATGACTGTTGCACAAAATTTTTCTTGACACGCTTCAACTGCAACTTGCACTTTTTTAGGTTTAATCGCTAGCCCGCTAGATCAATTTCAACAGTAATTAGCCTCTTATATATGCAACGAATGAATGTTTTTCTTTTAATGTTTCAGGCTCACAGTTAATGATCGACCTATTTCACCTACAGATTATACAATATCAGTATCTTCACCCATATCTGTTACACATTCACCATTCAACGCGTTCCTTGGATTTTCTATGCCGCCTAATCATGATGCAGCCGTAGTCAGTACTAGAAATCATCCAACAACGCAACTTTGCTTTTCTGATTATTCGATATGTGTAAGTCAAATGCATCTACATTTTGATCGTTAATATTTGTTTTTGTCAAATTTTCTTTAGAGCAATGAAGAAGAGGAGCCACAATGGTTATGTCTGTTGCGAGAAAAACAGGAAAAAATGTTAGCTTCTTGGGAGAAAAGAATGGAAAAAAGGAGAGAAGATATGATACAACGATGGGAAAACAAAGTGAAGAAACAACGAGAAGAGTTGACCGAAAAATTTCAGGAACAGATCAACGAACAAATGCGACTAAATTTAATAAAAAATAAAGGGTAAGTGCATGTTCTAGCTGTAACCTTCACGTCTCCTATCTTTATTATAGAAAAAAATCACCAACAAATGGAAAAAAGGCAATAAAGCGAATTATTAAATAATTTTTTTGTTATGTGAATGTTCTATCTGTGTTTTGAGTACATTCCGTGTATAGAAAAACCGGTTGTATTGATTTTTTTAAAATTAATTCGTAATTTTTACAATTAAAATGAAATGTAGCAGACAAAGAAAAACTAATGTTTTCGTTTTAAATGGGACGCAAAGATCTAGTTTCTTCAATGAGTATTGAATCGTTAAGTTCAAAATAAAATTCCTATACGAATCGAAAAAAAAACATTAAATTGAATGATCTCCGTCATTTTGAAAGTAGAAGGAGAAGATCTTGTGTTGCTGCTTTATTTTCATTAATATTTTGGTTATTTAAAATAGGTGAACTATAGCATAAAAAACTAAACTTCTGTTATTTAGTTTAAAAGAGGTTCCTCTATTTCGATATATGGTACGGATGTTTTTCCTTCTTTCTGAATCGTTAAATAGTACGCTTGCATGAACAATATTCTTATGGAATTTTCCTGAAATGTCGTCTTATATTTCTAAATAAATTCTGTTTGGAAGATCAATTATTGAAAGTTTTGAATGTGATAATCTTTTTGTTTTAAATGTGATATTTCTGAGGAGATAGAAAACGACTTACGATCTGCATAAGAGCGATATAGTTTTTAAATCAATGGGAAACGAAATTAAATATTTTTCTAAACACCTAGTGAACTATTTTTTAGAAAGTTGTCTTTTTGAATTCTATTTAGAATAAATCTAACAGTGATGTTTTATTTGTCGTTTTTGCTTATTACGATAATTCATTTATATTGCTAGATAACTTTTTTCTTTCAAATCAGTAGAAATTATCCACTAAAGCACAAAATATATCATTATAAATATGCAACAAAGATACCATTGAAAAATTTACTGGCGAACGTCACGAAAAAAATTTTACTTTGAGCTTATTAATTCAAAATTGAAATGAATTTGAGAAGTTTCCTATAAATTATAACTGTTAGTACTAGTTCACTCTTTAAATAGTGTCCATCTTCTCACACAGAGCTCTATCTGTAAATCATATCCGTACTTTGTTTAAAGTGAAGTACTAATAGTACTGCTTCACTCCTAAAAGTTATTTTCTCGTGAATTAATGGTTAGTTTCATAATTTCACTGTCGAGGCGAAACTATGTCTGTTAAAATACATCCAGCGCTTGTAAAATCAAAAATTTAGATGTTTATTGAAATATTAATTCTGAAAGTTTACCTTCTGGTTAGTGAACTCACGAACGATATTTCACGCTTCGAATTGAATTTTTCAAGAAAATTTCAAACACCCATTAGACAGAAAAGATAGTTATGAAAAAACAAAGATGATTTAAGAATCTTCTATATACAAGACGGTAGTTGAAATCAACAAATATATGCATAACATAGATTTTTTTAATCGGTCTATATTTGCTTAACAATAAAAAAAATCAAATCTTTCATAATAGTTTGCAAAGTTCGAATTAAAACTTGAGAATCACAACGAAAATAAAAAATAAACCTTCGTCTGCACACAATTTTCAATGAATATTGAATCTTTTTAACTAATTTGGTAATATGTTTGCTTCACGAGTGTACGGGTTCCTATCACTGCTGTTTAACTTGCCAATAGGTACGAATAATCATTTTTTATTTCTATCTCATCACTGTGATGAGTTTTCTTATATCTAACAATCATTGTTTAACAAAGATTCTTTGCAACAGAATAACTTATTCTAATTGATTTAAGTTTATTTTAATCTAAAAGAAAAGTTTTCCTTCACTAATAGCAAATCTAATGATAGGAGATATAGACAAATTTAATTGTTTTTTTCGCTTATCAAATACTAAATTATCTATGTCGCCCTAAGTACATTAAAATTTATTAGATTTCATATGCAATCAAGCTGTTTTCAAACTATTCTAAAGAAATGCTTCAATAAATTCATTAGTCATCTTCTATCAATTTAACGGTAGGAAGTTTTGTTCTCGATGAAAATACTATTTTTTTAAAATTATTCTCGTTAATAAAGATATTATAATCTATTTTCATCGTTTTCGTTTTACTTTTAAAATTATTTCGAGCTAAATAGAATATCAATATGAAGAAAGACTAGTTTACTTTATCGAAATATGAAAAACACAGCAAAAACATAATTCCTATAGATTATTTTACATGCGTATGAAACGATAATACTTATTCCTTATCAACAACATTCAATTAAAATAATAATGAAACAAAATATTCTTTTTCAAAAATATTTTACATGCATCTCTGTTGGCCGAATTTATTTTGATTCTATTCGAAGAAATTTTTATAAGGAAAGAAAAGAAGGATTTGATTTAATTAATGGTTTCAACTAAACTTCTTAAAAAAGATTTGTTCAATCTTCTAAATTATCAAATACAAACCGAAAAGTGAATAATTAATATCATCATTGATATAATCATTTGAAAATGATTTAATATATTGCTTTTGAATAGCTTGAGTAAAAGAATTTCCAAATTGTATTCTTTGTCGTCGAATAAAAAATCCATTTGATGAATTTTTTGTTTTATAATAAAATTTTCCATTATTCGTTCCATTATGTTTTCCTTGTTGATTCCACCATTCAATGCCAATCCATTCACCTGGATGATTATCAACTAAACCAAAATAGCATAGTGTTGCTGGATGTTTTCCATCAACTAATATATGATCACCGATTTTCATCTAAAATAATAAACAAAAAAAATAGTTCTCTTTATTTAAATATCTTCATCAATATTAGCTAAATCGAATTTTTCATCAAAAATTTTGTCTTCTTTATTAATATTTATTTTTTGTTTTTGTCTTTTAAATGGTTGATTAAATGCTTGATATAATCGTTGTGCTTTTAATGTTCCTAAACCAGGACAAACAGATAATTGTTCATTTGATGAATTGAGAATTTTTTCTAATGAACCAAATGCATGTAATAATGTTTGACCATCAGTTTTATTTATTGATTTAACCTTAAAAAGTCAATTTATCTAATATTAACAAATAATAATAAAATATAAAACCTCTGTTATCATATCAATATATTTAGTGAGAAAATCATTTGATTGATATTGTTGTAAATCCATTAAACTTTCAGCTGATTTTCCTTCCATTATTTTATATGTTTCTAAATATTTTGCTGATTCTTCATCGTTCCAACTGATAAGAAGTGTGAGTTCATAGATGATTGAAAGACGTGCAAGTTCTTTTAATGATTGGGATGGATCATTAACATCACATTGAACAAGTAAAAGTTTTAGTTGATATGGCAATTTTGTTGTTTTAAGGCGTTCATAAATATAATTTGGATTTAACTGATGATAACGAAGAGATAAATACAATGCACACGAGCTACGACTCATGGAATAATCGGCACCACCTAATATCATATCTGAATATTCCCATTTAACTTGACGAATATGTTTTAATAAAGGATTTCCTCGTTGACGGGAATGAACTAAAAGTGATGACGATGATGGAATTGATGGTGATGGACGAACAGATGATGCTTTTATAAAAAAAATATAAACAGTAGTTATTGTTGTTCTAATTGAAAAACTGAAAATTTACTTGAAGAATCAGTTTCAGGAATAGGATTTGATGGATTTGATTCATATGAATATGTTTCATTGGTTTTTGATAAATCATCAATTTTCATTCTTTTGGAAAATAAATTTAATGATTCTCTTTGATTACTGTTATCATCATTATCATCATCATCGCCAAGATCTGGTATAACATAAGAATGCGTTGCCATTGTCAAAATGATTTCAGATTTTTTGGAGAAAGTCGATGAAATAGTTTCCCGCTGACGTTGACAGTAGTGAACCCATCGATTCACATTTTTGCGACTCACATCATAGGACCGCATTCGGCCTATTGATTAATTCTAGTGGGCGCCATGGTATGGTGTAATACATGACATTTTCTCACTCAGGATAATCAAAGTGACAGTTGGATTCAATTCGATCCTATAGAGATTTCAATGTCCTTGTTGATTTTTCTCTCAGAAATTTTCAGACAGTTTCGTCTCATACATCAACTCGACCAGGCAGTAATAGTTTAGAAGATAAAATTCTTATCATAGTTACTGAACATTATCTATATAGTAATTTTGCTTAATCTTACTCAGCTTTTCTCCATTTTCCCCCATAATATTTGATATTTTTCAACGTAGATATATTATAACGAAAAGATATGCATGTGAAAAAAGAATCTTTGATCTTTTGGACAATAAAATTTGTTGAGAATATAAAAGAACATTCACACATGCCTATTTATAATGTGATCAATCGAAACATTTCTCATGAATCACTGGGTTCTTTGAACAATATTTAGCAACAATCACTGATGAACAAAATACATTGAAAAGTAGGTTACGTTCAACCGTAACAATAGCCTAAAATGCATTAGAACTATCAATTTGTCTGCATATGTAAACTACATGTTAAAGCTTGAATTCCAGTCATTATACTCTCTGAAAAACAATATCCAACATTGCGTCGTTGATTAACATTTAAAATAATGAGAATTCGTTGATAAAAGAATTGATTCAGTAAAAGTTTTATTATATTCGAATTTTTTCTATTATCAAAAGGATCCAATATTTGCACCGTTTAAAAATATTTAAAAACCAAAAACTCCATAATATAGTTTCGACAAGAAATGTAATAATAACGTAGGGTTGGGTCATTTGCATTGATTTGAAAATGAAGTTCTTCGTGAATAAATTATTATTATTTTAAAAATACTCTTGTATTGCGATTTGTAGATACTACATTAATACTATGGTGTTATCTTTTGTCTTTTTCTTTAGCTAATAATAGAAATTATTCAATTCTTCTAACTCTTTCATTAATAACGAGAGTTGACGAAGAGCATCAGCGGAGTTCTGATTAAAAAAAATTGCCAGATAAAATTGACTTGTCTAATTAGAAAATCGAGTATTTCGAAGATATTTTGTTTTGGATTACCTTCAGTGTACATAAAAAGAAGCGAGCATATTTTCAACAATCTTTTCTAGAAATTCATTGAGAAATATACATATTGGATACATCGATAGTTTAGAAGAAAAAATGACTTTTCGATTGATTTTATTAGAATTTAATTTAATCGATATCGGTATAAGACAAACAAAAACTATTGTTTTTTTTTTATTAAAAAGATAATTGAAATCTTGTCAATATTAATATCAAGGAAATAAACTATTTCTCAATTGAGAATTGATCTTAGAAAAACATTTGTGTGCCTTGTCGTTTAATTATTTGGTGGCCAAATAAATGGTAATGACGTTCGATTAAAAACTTCAACAACTCCATTAATGCGAATTCGAGTATCATAATCATTAATTAATTGAACATATTCAAAACCACTATTGATAAATAATGAATTATTATTTTTATCTTGAATTCGTTCATAAACAAATAGGAACTCTTTTATAGCAAGGAACTATTATGTTTTTTTTCAATAACGCGGTAGCGTAAAACTAATATACTATGTGTCGTTTTTCCGATCCAAACTGAGGCGAACTCGTTTCGTAGGTCACTAACGATCGACTAAATGGAAGATAACAAAAATATAAAATATTTATTGCGAAGACTTCGCAGACTTATTCTCATACTCCTGAAACGATGAATATACAGACCGTATAATATATACCTTAGTACTTACCCACACCTACACTGACACCTTCATGCATGATTTTCTAGTTATTTGAGTTTGTTTTAGTAAGTTGTATTTTCACTACACTAACTATCAGAAAAGATAGTTTAATAACATAAAAGTATAGATACGTCAATACAAACCTAGCTCGAAGCAGCGATAAGTAAAATCAGATTTCAAAATACAAGCTATGTACAGGGTGGCCCATAAATAACACGGCGATAAGAAATTCGAATATCCCCATTACGGGTCGAGTAAACGTGCTGATATTTTTACCAGTGATACAGGCATGTACTAAGTTTATATCCATAAAAACATGTCCAGGGAGACCCTTTGTTAAGTATGACTACTGACCTCAACAAGAAAAATTTCACTTTTTCACAGATAGAAAAAAACTCTAGTATACTGCATAAAGGATTTCTCTAGGCATGTCTTTATGAATATCAAGCTTGAATGTGGCTCTATCATTGATAAAAGAATCAGCTCGTTAGCTCGAGCCGTAACAGAGATATTCAATTGTTTTCGGTAAAATGACGTTTTCTTCTAACTCTGAAAAAATAAATTTTTCTTGTTGAGGTCAATAGTCATACTTAACAAAGGGTCTCCTTGGACATGTTTTTATGGATATAAACTTGGTACATGCCTCTATCACTGGTAAAAATATCAGCACGTTTGCTAGAGCCGTAATGGGGATATTCGAATTTCTTATCGCCGTGTTATTTATGGGCCACCCTGTAAGTCAAAATGAATTGAAAGATGAATACCGAATTCGCAAAAGGAAAACAAGAAGAAGAATTCCAGATAGCTGGAATTTTCTATACAAAATACTTTTTCAGAATTGGTCAAGAAAGATTTCATTAGATGTTGGACTTTGTTATTCAACTTTTCAAAATGAAAACGGTTTAGAACAGATTCCGAAAAGATGGAAAATTGTTATTAAGAAAAACACATTTTCCCGAAAAGTGGAACGCGTTCTCCACCCTTTTTTTCTATGATTATTTTTCACTGGGCAGGCGTATATAATTGAATATTGATCAAGTTTATATGACAAAATAGCAGTTAATTTGCTATTATAACCAAACATCGATATTCATTTCCAATTGAACTAAATCCATCTTCGTATAATTAATTTTCTATGAAAAGATATTTAATAGAAATCTTCTCGAAAACGATCACTTGTTTTAAACAATTATTTTTATTTTTTCATAATAAATACGAAAATTATAAAGAGACTGAAAACATATTTTATTTTAATATATAAGTCTTCCTTTATTTGCTGCTTGAATATCATTTATCAATGATAAAATTAGTATTTTGAGGTAATCAAATCAAAGTGTTATTTAACTCGAAATGAATTAAATGTCAATTGATAAAGTTCTTGAATAAAATTTTGAGAATCATGAGAGATCGGAATCAGTAATAAAAAGAATAATCAAATTTATTCAAATCATTAATTCGCAAAAATGTTCAAATCTTCTTGTTGATATTGATAACTTCTAATAATTGTTTTTGTTTTGATCAAACAAACTTAGAAAATGATTTAATCCCTATATGTATTTTTAGATCTCGATGGAATCTATTTAACTATGTTATACTATTCGATTAATAAACTCTTTTCGATAAGGTTAAGTTTGTTATTAGATTAAGAAAAGAGATTTGATCTGGAATAATAAATTGATTTGTAAGAAAAACAATGATATGTATTTTCTATTATTCAATTAATAGAATTGATAAAGATTATTCTTTTAGTTCTTAGAATATTTTATGACCATATGTATACTTAAATATATCTTTGTTATTGTACAATACGTATTACATGATATACCTCTTCTTTCTGTAAACAAATGAATTGTACAATATGTGAAAGATTTTGTTAGACATGAAAAATAAATTCTCTCCTAAATGAGAACTGAATAATCAACGATAGATTTACATAGTAGATCAAGAAAACGAGGCAATATGATTTTCGATGTTATTAAAAATTTAATTTTACAACTGCTTTCACTCGACAAGGTCTTATCGAAAAATAATTACTAAGCCCTTTTCAATGAATCTCCTGTTCAAAAAAAAGGAAAATTTTCATGGGTTTAGCTAAAAATATATTGAACACCAATTATCCTATTGATATGATCAATAAATGTTTAATAAACTTCTATATTTCTTGAAATTACAATTTTATTTCTGAGATTTACTATCTAAATGAAATGATAAACATCTCAGTTCAACTCAAGTTAAAGGATATTCTATGTCATATCGTGGCTTTATATTTAATCTTATTTTATGAGAGCGCACTCATTTATCTCAAAAGTTGTTGCGAATTCGATACGAATTGAAATAGGTATTGACAAATGACTCGAGTGGTGTCACATATCCCACAGGAGATGCCGCGTCTCCCGCTGGAGACGTGATACCCACAGTCGGGAGATCCGGTCATTCACCACTGGAGATGTAAGATTTCCTTTAGAGATGCGCATCCCCACACCCACACCCACATCTCTCGCGCGAGATGCGGCATCTCCCGCGGGGAATGTGGTGGCATCTCCAAAATTTTGGATATGTGACACTGCTGAATGACTCATATGATGACTTCATTGGAAAGAAGAAAAAACAAAAATGTCTAAAAAATTATCCTGCTAATTCAATTTTGCTGATATTTATTCATTAAAGGTAAAAAATAAAAGAATAGCTGAAGCCAAAAATGATTTGTATAATGTCTATAAAGTTGAAAGAAAAAAGTTGGTTTAGTTAGTCCAAAATTGCATCCAATCAAATATTTCTTGATGCCAAACTAAACAAGTGAATTAAATGGATTGAGTGTCCAATGATTTTCATTTGGAAAATAAAGCATTCGACTTGGAATTTCACGTCGTTGTAGAACTGTAAATGCGCCAATACCTTGTGTTTCTGGAACACGATAGTCAAGTCCACCATGAATAATCAACATTGGCTGAGTTCAATTCGCAACATGGTTGATCGGATTAAATTTTTCGTACGCTTGTGGATTTTCATAAGGAGTAAAACCACCAACATCATGTTCTGAGAACCATAATTCTTCTGTAGCATCACCCATTTCTCGCATATCAAATAGACCATCGTGACAAACAAGAGCTCGAAAACGTTGACTCATTCTGAATGTCCAGCAATCCAATTAATCATAAATCCTCCATAACTTGCACCTAGTGCAACTACTCAAGTTTCATCAATATATGGATATCGTTTTAAAGCAGCTGTAAGTCCTAATTGAAGATCTTCACAATGTAATGAACCATACTCACCAGTAATACTATCAGTAAAATTTTGTCCATAGGAATCCGACCCGTGAAAATTAATGGCAATCACTGCATAACCTTGAGCAGCAAATGCTTGAAAACTCCATCCTCGACCCCATGTATTATACCAACTATTTTGTGAACCACCATGGATTAAAAATGCAACAGGTGCTTTTTTCAGTAGAATTCACTGGTAATAAATGCCATCCAAGTACTGTTTCATTTCGTGCTCCAAAAAATGTGAATTCATCGTAATTGTAACTAAAATGACTTTTCTTAATTAATTGATCGTTGTGTTTTGTTATCGGAATCTTAATATCATTTTGACGTAAGACAATATTTGTTGGTTGAATAAAATTGTCATGAGTAGCCAGCAATATTTGACTATCATTCGGATGAAGATTAATATCATGCCAAGTTCCGGTATCGACCACAGACCAAAGAACAGTTTCATTTGAAATGAGAATATGTCTGCTTTAAAAATGGCATGATTTTCATTTTGACCGAGTTCGAGAAAAAGTGATTGCCCATCGTTTGACCATGTTGTTACTTGAATACTTTGATCCTATTCGTCGAAAAGTGTCTTTATTAGTGTTCCTACATAGAATAGTATTAAAAAAGAGTGAATATTTTACTAAAAATTTAAAGATTTGCCATCGTATAACTTAACTTTGAATTAATCTGATTCATAGCCTGGTACTGATTGTGATCGATAGACTAATATATTTTCATCAATAGGCGAATATTTTGGATCAGTAAGTGCAGCCTGATTCAAACATGTAATACACAATCTATTTGACATATCATCTTTAGTTAAATCAATTGTATATACGTTTATCTAGATTTGTTGACCAGACAACTTGACTTGTTTCATCGTGTTGTCGTGTGAAAGCAAATGAATTTCCATTGTCATTAAATGACCATTGTGAGTTTCGTGCAATGGAAGCAATAAATCGATGATGACATTTACCTAGCATATATTCATCCCAATGACGAATAAACAATTTATCAAATTTATACACAAGATGACCACTTGTCTGTTCAATGTGTTGTTGAATAATTGTTTCTTCGATTGATAAATTAGGATAGACTTGACAACTGAATGCTAAACGAGAAGATTATCAATATTCAATTGATAATCAGTTATTTGAATTGGTTCGATGAAATCTTTCATGTTTAATGGATCAGCAGGAATATTCAATTGGAAAATTTGATAAAGATATGACGAAGCTCGATTTGAAAGAAGCAAAATAGTTTGTTTTTCTATTCAATAAAACTTTCAAAATATATTCGTCTTTTTATTATCTATAAGGATATTATTCTGTTGAATCTTACTTGTCGGTCATGAATGCCCCAAATGGGTCATGTCAATTGAACAGTTTTCGATGAAAGAGGAATGTTTATATCAACAAAATGCAAAGTTGTTGAAGATCCATTCAAATCAGGCATATGATATTGTTTTCTTAAATAAATAACTTTCGATCCATCATCAAGAAAAAACTTTGGTGACGATAATCGATCCAAACGAAGATTATCTTCTTGAGTGAATATGTGAGAATCATTTAAATTTTTGTAATAATCACTGCAGGATTGATAATCGCTTGCATTCCATTGTGAAGGTCTTGGCGTTGGACTAGGATTTGAACAATCATTTTTTTATGAGTTAAGACAATTATACATGGAATCAATACAATTAGAGCACCCAATAAAAACAAAAATGCAAAGCAATTCAGTTAAACAAATAAAAAAAAAAAGTCATTTTACACATTAGAGATATTTGTTTAGAATAATGAGAAGACGAACCTTTCTTATTTTCGATTTCAATAGATATGAGTTGGTACTTTTATCAACAGAACTTGCGAAAACCCTCGTTGACATCACGGGAGATTGAAGTGAAGAATAAAACAAAAACGAAACACTAAACAAACGTTTGTTTTGCACGTTTTCAATGAAAAAATAGATATATAGAATATAAGTCAATAGAAGAATACAAAAATAAACATCAACAAGTCTATTAGTTTTTTTAGCATATCTCAAGATTAAATTAATAAGTTGAAAATCAAAGATCTTTTGTACTAGAAAAAAAGTCATTCGTACTGTTGACATAGTTGTTTTCAATTATCTCAGGTTTAAAATTCATTTGAAGCAGTTTATCATACTCTAAGTACAGCATAGTAACGACTAAATTGTGACTTCAAACATTGACTTAAATTCAATTTTTAGTTTCTAGTTTTCTTTTATTGAACAACTCCATTTTATATAATTATAGTTGAGTTCAATGTACAAGTAGATCAATCATTGAATAATTTAGTCGAATATTCAAACCATTGTCATTTAAGAATTTTTGTTGTTCTTCTAACATAACTTCATACAATCACATCGGTCAGTTAGATTAGAATTCTGAAAAAAAACTAAGAATCAATCATAATACTAGAAAATATTTAGTTATTCGAATTTTACTGAAACAATTGCATTAAGTTGAATAATTATCACTACTTAAATTTTTTTGTCAATTCAATGGCAAGTATTTTATTTTAATAAACAAGAAACTTCGATTAAGTTTCATTAAATTGAAAATGATTGCCTTATTCATGATTAAGAATGTTCTTTTGTTTGTAATGAGAGTGTGAATCGGAAAATATATTTTTAAAATGACATAAATTGATGTGATGACTGATTTTTTTACGAATCCATGTTGTCAAAGCAATAATAAAAATTTATTTGAATATTAGAATATATAATTGATAAAAGCGTTATTATAAAAGATTTTTCTATTTCAATATAATTAGTTTTAAAATAAATAACATGAAAAAAGAACTTTTATTTGTTGAATTTTAAAAAAATAATAATGAAATTTGCGTCATCTATAGAGTAAAAATATCCTGATTGGTAAAATCTAAAAATGACGACAACAGCAGTTGTTGTTGTTATCGTTCGTTGGAAATGAGTGACTATGGGGAGGACATTGAATAATATTTAATGATGGAATCTTTACGAATAATTTTCTTATAGTTAACATTTAGTAATGATTTATGTTTTTGATAAACATTTTTATTATCGATAAAAAAAATGATGTCCTTGATCATTTATATAGTTTTAGATATTCATTCATTGTCTTTTTTTCTCTTATTTGAATCATCAGGTGATGAGTACAATATTTCGGAGTGAAGAGATGACTCTATGTCAACTCTTCTTGCAACCTGATGCGGCTTATGCTTGTATATCGGAATTGGGAGAATTGGGAATTGTTCAATTTCGTGATGTATTTATTATTTAAAATTTGTTTATGTATGACAAATTCTGGTTTTCGTTTTCTTTTGTATAGTTAAATCCAAATGTTAATTCGTTTCAACGTAAATTTGTAAATGAAGTTCGACGGTGTGAAGAAATGGAACGAAAACTTCGTATGAAAAAAGAATTATTTTTTCGTAATTATTTTTTTTTCTTTAGGTTTTCTTGAAACAGAAATAAAAAAGGATGAATTACCAATTTATGATCCCGAGGATAATCCTGATGCACCAAAACCTCGTGAAATGATTGATCTTGAAGTAGAATTTTCGTTTCTAATAAAAAAAAAGAAATCAATAAAACTATTTAGGCAACATTTGAAAAATTGGATCATGAACTAAAAGAAATCAATACAAATGCTGATGCACTTCTTCGAAATTTTAATGAATTAACGGAATTAAAACATAATTTATCAATGACTCAAGCATTTTTTGACGAGGTAATTTAGTTAAAATAACTTGAAAGCTTTGCTTTTAAATCACGAGAGAAAATAGGCAGAGACGGCCTTTACATCAGTACACAATCATAACCAGAGAGATGCGGACGACGATCAACTTCAACTGCTTTATGAATATTCGGTCACCACTCATAATAAACTAGGGTAGAGAAAATAAACTAATTATTCATTGAGAGGGGGACACAATCAAGCGCTATATAACTTTGCTTTTTTCTTTTACCACATTAGGGCTTTTTTCTCTTCTGCTGCTATTTTAGATTCTTTTGTTTTTATCTTTTTATTTTTCTAAAGGCTCAAGCTAATCCAGTTGCAGTTTTGGAAGATGTAAATGGCGAACGAGAAATTGAATTAGGCGGACAAGCAACAACATCTGTTGGAATGAAACTTGGGTAAAATATTAAATATCGAATATTTCGTTTTTATGTGGCGTTTTGTGTCCCCCTCTTTGATTGATTTTTATTTTTATTATGAATATTTTCTTCTTTTTTTTTATAACTTAAAATAGATTTATAACGGGTGTTATTCCACGTGAACGAATGGTTACATTCGAACGAATGTTATGGAGAGTATGTCGAGGAAATGTATTTGTAAAACAAGCTGACATTCCAGATTTAATCGAAGATCCGCTTACTGTTCGTTTTTGTTTTTATAGCATTCAATGTACTTTGAGATCATTGTTTTTTTTTCTAGGGTGAAAAAGTTCATAAAACGGTATTTGTTGTTTTTTTTCAAGGTGAACAATTAAAAAATCGCGTTCAGAAAATTTGCGAAGGGTATGTCATCTTTTTAAGTTTTTATATTTGAATGAAAATAAATTTTCTTTTTTTTATTTAAAATTAGTTTTCGTGCGAATATTTATCCATGCCCAGAAAATCCTCATGAACGTCGTGAATTAGCCATGGGTGTTATGACACGTTTAGAAGATTTAACTATTGTTCTTAGCCAAACTCAAGATCATCGGCAAAGAGTTTTAGCAGCATCATCAAGAAATCTTCGAACGTGGCAAATTAAAGTTAAAAAAATCAAAGCTATTTATCATACAATGAATATGTTTAATAATGATGTTGCAAGAAAATGTTTCATTGCTGAATGTTGGGCACCTGTTACCGAACTTGATCGAATTCAACTAGCACTTAGAAAAGGATCTGTATGCTTATTTCTTTTATTATTCTTTTAATTGAAAATAAATTCATCAAAAATAGGAAGCAAGTGGTGGTGGAACAGTTTCATCAGTATTAAATCGAATGATAACTCGTGAACAACCACCAACACACCATAAATTAAATAAATTTACGCAAGGTTTTCAAAATTTAGTTGATGCATATGGTGTTGCAACATATCGGGAAATAAATCCAATGCCATTTGTTTTAATAACATTTCCATTTTTATTTGCTGTTATGTTTGGTGATGCTGGTCATGGTCTTATTGTTACCATATTTGCTCTTTGGATGGTTTTAAAAGAACGTTCACTTAAAGACAAATGGAGAACACAAGAAGTTTGGACTATATTTTTTGGTGGACGATATATTATTTTGCTGATGGGATTATTTTCAATTTATACCGGCCTTATTTATAATGATGTGTTTTCAAAATCCATTAATATATTTGGATCATCATGGAGAGTTAAATTTGGGTAAATGATATATAATTATGTTTAAAAAAACCATGAATTTATTCTATTTTTCATTGAAAATTAGTGATGAAACACTACATAAATTAGATACAGTTATATTAGAGCCAACTCCATATAATTATAGTCGAACAAGTGAATATCGTCAAATGTATTCAGGTACACCGTATCCATTTGGTCTTGATCCTGTTTGGCAATTGGCTGAAAATAAAATAACATTTACAAATTCTGTTAAAATGAAATTTGCAATTATTATTGGAATTATTCAAATGGGTTTTGGGGTTTTTCTTAGTTTATGGAATCATTTGTAAGTTCCTTTTTTAATATTATTTGAAAATGAAATTTCTATTCAATAGACATTTTAATCATCGTCATTCGATTTATCTTGAATTTCTTCCTCAAATAATATTTTTGGCAGCAATATTCTTTTATTTAATTATTTTAATATTTTATAAATGGACAACTTTCGATGGAAGTGTTGCAACACAAGCCCCATCATTACTTATTCGTAAGATTTTTATAATTATTTTTTATTTTTAAAAATAAATAAAAATAATTTATTTAACTACAGAATTGATTAATATGATATTATTATCGTATCCAACGGAACCGGAAAGTTCAAGAACATTTTATAGTGGTCAACAAGGAATTCAAACAGCTCTGATCGTATTAGCAGTTATCTGTATTCCATGGATGCTTTTAGGAAAACCAATTTACAGAATCATTATGAATAAGCGACGAGCTAATGTAAGTTATTTTCGTTTCTCTCTTTTTTTCTTGTTTTTAATTTCAAAAATATAAATTAAAACAAAAAATATCTCAAAGTATTCAACAGTAACAAATCAAACAGAAAATATTGAAAATGAAAATAATGAACAAATTCATAATACAGAAAAAAAGGTTTATATTTAAATACTAAGCTTTGAATATTAATTCATTTAATGAAATAATTAATTTATCAGCCAACCGAGAGCAATAATAATAACTAAACTAAAATGCTGCTTATATATATATTCTAGAGAGGCATTGTGCTTGATGTTGATGTACGGGATACAGATACTGATGAAATGCTTGATGATGACCATTTACACCAACAACATCACCAATTAGAAGTGCTTATTATTAATATTCTAATAAATTATTTATTTTTCTTTAAAAACTGAAATAAATTTTAGGTTGACATGAGTGAAGTATGGGTTGAACAAGGTATTCATACAATTGAATATTTTCTTGGTTGTATATCACATACAGCTTCTTATTTACGTCTTTGGGCATTATCATTAGCTCATGCTCGTTAGTAGATCCTTTTCTTTCTATTTTTTTATCGCTTGAAATATTTTTCTAGAATTATCTGAAGTCTTATGGCATATGGTATTACAGATTGGATTAGGTATGAATGGTTATGTTGGTGCAATAGCATCATTTATTGTTTTTATGCCATGGTCATCATTAACTGTATTTATATTACTTTTAATGGAAGGACTTTCAGCTTTTCTTCATGCACTTCGTCTTCATTGGTTTGTCTTGTTTTTGTTTTAAGAATAATTAACTTAATTATTTCTTTATTTTAGGGTTGAATTTCAATCAAAATTTTACAAAGGAGAAGGTTATCCATTTGTTCCATTTTCTTTTCGACTCTTATTAGATGAAACACCAATTGAAGGTTAAATTAAAACAAAAATTCTACTTAAATCTAGTTTGTCTTGTCATCGTCGATATCTATCTATATCTATATTCTCATTTATTTATCTATTTTATTTGTCGATCATTAACTATTGTCTAATATCATATGTATTTTTTTGTTTGTTTGTTCTTGTTCCCTTCTCATCCATCTATATTTAATCATTAAAACAGAACAAAAATAAAATAAATATTTGTTTAAATATCTTATTTTTATTCAAAGAAAAACAAAGCCGGAAACGAAAAGAAAAAAAATCATATTTTAGATATTGTTGTTTTGTTAGTTAATGGTGTTAAATGGGACATTTTCAGCCGGTACTTCCTTTATTTAAAACAAATTTATCAAGACGACGTGCTCGCACATGGCAAATTCTTGGTCTTGTTGTATTTATTTTTCTTGGTTTGACATTAATTGCTGTTCGATATTTACCAACGGTTGTCACCGATCCAGTATCATCAGTACTTAAAAATCGTGATTTTAAAGATATATTTGTTCCGCCAATTCCTCGTCCACCAGTAAATTGGCCTAATCACGATCATGATCATTCCTTACATTTATCTGGTGATCAATCAAGATTACGAGAAAAAATTCATCAAAATAAATTAGATTTAATAAATTTGGATGAAAATAATAATGACAATTCAAAGAAAATTATTGAAAAACCAGAACTAAATGTGATATCATCTCCGAAAAATATTTTACCTGTAGAAAATTTAACAAAAATATTTCAACATATGTCTATTGATGAACTTGAGAAAATTCAATCGGCTGAAATGCGTCGAGAAAAAGTTCGAGAGGTTAGTTATTATGTTTTAAGTTTTTTTTTCGTTTTTCTTTTTTCTCCTTTGTTTGAAAAGTCGTTTTGATTGAGAAAAAAGAGTTGAGTGTTCGTTGAAGTGTGACAAACGAAATGTGCTCATTAAAATGGTTTGATCATATCGACATCCATTAAACACACTGTCTAATGAATGAATAAAGATCGAGATCGTTACGGCTGTCATCATATATATCCATCATTATCGATGACCGATGAATAACTGTGTTACTTTCAATGTCGCAAGTTCAATTCAAATGAAAAAAAAACGAAAAAGCGTTGTGTCATCAATCTAAAGATCTCTCTTCTCGCCTTTTAACCAATAGATGAAAAGTCTAGTTTGATTTTCTTTTTCTTTTCTCTTTTCTCTTCTTCTCGTATGAAATGTGTTTATTGAAGCGTGACTGTGCCCGTTCAATGGGTCAACCTATATGTATAGATAAATATTCAATTCATTCGTTCATTTGTATCGGACGACACTCACATCACATACACACTTGTCTTTCTTATTTATAATATCATTCAACACACTTAACATATATAAAGAATATTCAACATGGGTCTCTTTGGAAACAAACGTGAAAAATCTGAAAAGGCAGATAAATATGAATACAATCAATCCAGCAAAGGTACACGAGCAGGATATGGCCCACCAGCATTAGCAGGTACGCCACCATCGCCTTATTTTGATGCTTATGGGCAAGTTGCTCCACAAGGTAAAATGGGTAAATATGGTAAATATTCTGGTCCAAATAAAAGTCTTTATGGTGCTGATCCAATGCAACAAGCAATGTTATTACCACCTCAATCACCAGCTGCAATGCAAGCTCAAGCAGCTGCTATGCTTCAAATGCAACAATATATGCAAGGACAAGGTGCTGGTGCACAATTTGCTGGTATTCTTCCACCAATACAAATGCCATTCAGTGCAGCTCAACAAGCTGGATTATTACCAGCACAAGTTCAACCATACTTTGGTTTTGGTGGTCAACAAATGGGAACACCATATTTTGATCCAAATACTGGAGCATTTCAACAACAACAACAACAACAACCAGGTGCTTTTGCTCCTTATCAACAACCAAACTTTTATGATCCATCAACAGCAGCTATGTATGCTGGCCCTTATGGTTATATGCCAGCTGCTTTTTAGAGAAGAATAAACAAATAGTGTGAACTGTTCTTTTTCTTTTGTTTATTTCTTTTTTCTTCTTTGAAAAACCTTTTTTTTCGATCAGTCACTTATAAACGAAGATATGAGTTGAGATAATCGAATAAAGGTGAGTGTTGTCCGGACATCAAAGACGTCTTCTAAACCACATTATCCATGTCACAAGTCTGGAAGTTCGATCATCTCAATTGGTTTTCTTTCGTATGTCTTTGCAAGTGTGTTTTTCCTCGCTTAGTCTTTCTTTTGTTGTTTAACAACTTTCTTTTTGTTTTCGTTTTAATCTCGTTTTATTCAACTCGATGTTTTAACTTTCTCTTTATTATTCAAAAACAAAAATTTAAACTGTGAAATAATCGGATTCTCGTTGAAAAAAGAAAATAAATTAGAAAGAGAATTGTTGCTCATTTGTGTCATCATGTAGAGAGAAAAATATAATGAAATTTCAAGAAGTTAAACTTGCTACCATAGTATAGACATAAACAAGTCAGATATTAATAAAAAATATGTAATATTCTTTTCTTCATTGCTTAAAACAGATGGTGTTTCATTCTTATTCAAATTATGCAAAGTACGCTTGGGGTGCTAATGAACATCGACCAATATCAAAAACTGGCCATTCAGCAAATATATTTGGATCGAGTCCATTAGGAATATCAATTATTGATAGTATTGATACAATTTATTTAGCTGATTTAAAAGAATTTTATCAAAAATCAAGAGATTGGATCGAAACGAAATTTAATCCAAATGTGGTTTGTAAAATTTTCATTTTTTTTTCTTTTTCACAAAATCTTGTTTATTTTAGCCAAGTGAAGTCTCTGTATTTGAAATCAATATTCGACTCGTTGGTGGTTTTCTTTCTATTTATGCTTTAACTAATGATAAAGTAAGAAATTTGATATAATTATAATAAATAAATTCTATTTTCATATTTAACAAAGAGCTAATTTTATTTTTATTCTACGTAACTATGTTAAATATTTCATTGAAATAAGAGTTATTTGATAATTTTATTCATATAAACTATTTAAATAAAAGTTAATTAAATCGATTTCAATATCATACGCATTTCATAGTTAAACAATTATGTTGATCGATTGACTTAGTCAAGATTATTCACGAGAAATAAATCTTGTTTAGTTTCTTCTCAAAACGTTTTTTCTTTCTGCTTCTATTTGAAAATTTTATTAAGCTACGAAAAATGACATAAAATATGAAAGGTTTTCTTTGAAATTATGTTTAAAAAGATTTTTTTTTCAGTCAAAACTGCTCTAATAAACTATTCTAAATGGCAATTCAATCTTCATAAAATGTTTTAATTAGATTCTCTTTTGTCTAACAATCATTTAAGTCATCAAATATAGTGAACATCTATTATTTGTACGAAAAACTTTCATAATATCGTCGAATAGCTAAAAACAACTTCTATGATTAATTCTTTATATGAAGCGCCACATCTATATGTATCATCACAGAAGATAAAACTCTGCCGAGATATAATAATGGAGAAAATAATTTTATTTGTTTTTCAACGAAAAGCTTATTGTTTTTTTTCTACGAATAGTTATACCTTGACAAAGCTGAGCTGATGGCTAATCGTCTTCTTCCGGCATTTGATACTCCAACTGGCATTCCTCATGCTCTGATAACTTTATCGAAGTTAGCTTTATTGTTTTATCTAAAATAAAAAAATAAAATAAAAAAAAACGATTTTAGTGGAGCTTCAAAAAATTGGAATTGGGCTGCTGGTGGTTGTTCGATTTTGTCAGAATTTGGCACAGTTCATCTTGAATTTCAATATTTATCTCAATTAACAGGCAAAGATATTTATTTACAAAAGGTCAAAATCACCTTTCTCCTTTCTCATCTTTTAAATCGATAAAGAAAGTTTTTCTTTTTTCTTTTTTTATCGTTTTAGGTTGAAAAAATAAGAAAAGTTCTTAAAGGAGCATCCGAGAATAATATGTACTATAATTATCTTAATCCACAAACAGGAGCATGGTGTCAAAGTAAATTTTAAACTTTTTTTCTTTTCTTTTTTTGTACGAATACAAAATCTTCAATTTCTTACAGAACATGCGTCACTTGGTGCATTAGGTGATAGTTTTTATGAATATTTATTAAAAAGTTGGATTTTATCTGGAAAAAAAGATGAAGAAGCTCGTTCAATGTATGAAAATGCAATGAAAGTTAGTGATTGTGTTTTAGCTTTTTAAATAATAAGAACTAAACTAAAATAATTGATATTCTTTTATTTATTTTTTGTTTTCAATAAAAGGCAGCCGAAGAAGCAATGTTAAGAAAAACACCAACATCAAATTTAATGTATTTTGGCGAACAACGTTCAGGTCGATTGGATCCACAAATGGGCCATTTAACATGTTTTGTTGGTGGACTTTACGTTTTATCTGCATCATCCGGTGCAATATCTTTAAATTCATCAGCTAAAAATCAAATGGAAATAGCACAAGCGATTGGAAAAACATGCCGAGAATCTTACACAAGAACAGGTAAAATATTATTTTATTTTATTTCAATAAAATTATTTTATTATTTTATTTTATTTCAATAAAATTATTTTATTATTTTATTTTAGCCACTGGTCTTGGTCCAGAAGCTTTTCACTTTGAACGAACTGATGTTGAAGCTAAAGCATTACGAGATCAGGAAAAATATTATATATTAAGACCTGAAGTTATTGAAACATGGTTTTATTTATGGAGAAATACACATGAACAAATTTATCGTGATTGGGCTTGGCAAGCTATTATTGTACGTTGTTAAATATTTATTTTATTTTAGTATGAAAATTTCCTTTTTCTTTTCTATTTTATTTGTTTAGAGTCTTGAAAAATATTGCCGAGTGGAAGGTGGTTATTCCGGTATAAGAGATGTTTATTCGTCAGTAGTTTCTCATGATGATGTTCAACAAAGTTTTTTTATTGCTGAAACATTAAAATATCTCTTATTAATATTTTCTGATGACTCTTTCATATCATTAGACACATATGTCTTTAATACTGAGGCTCATCCTTTCCGTATTCGCACTTCGTGAATTGTTATCTTTTCTTTTTCTGGTTTGTTGAATTTTATCTATTACTTAATAAATAAACAAATCTTTTCGTATTTTTTATTTTCAATCTCTTCAATTAAATACCACCAGCGAGTACCATCGACGTTTAAATTATCAAATATTTTACTAAATTTTATTTAAAATTCTAAATATCAATATTTTACGATTAGTTTGGAAAGACTCGTCCAACGACTTATGCTATAAATATTATGTGCAGAATAGGAAAAGGTCACTGTTTCGTATAATTTCAATCGAACTTTCGATCGTAATCAATGGTAAATTTAGATTTTTATCAAAATTTCTGAATAGTTTTATTGTATGCGAAAGATTCGTTGTTTTGATCCTGACCACACTTTAGACAAAGATAATTTTCATAACTATTTAACTATTATATTGTTCATTAGAACATTTTACAAAGTTTAAAACTTATTTTCTCAGTGTGGATGAGACAAAAGAAGTTGAGACGAATTTTTAGACCCAAATTAAAGTTGATGAAAATATTTAAAAGGCATCTATGTCAGTCCATCTATTAATACTCATTTCCAATATGCTATTTGTTTCAGAATAAATCTTTGTTTTCTCCATAAAAAAATGGAAATTGTTAGGTAGTGGAACTGTACTTGGTCCACTACCTTTCTTTTTCTTTCTCTTTCTTTCTTGCTTTCTTCTTTCCTTCGTTTTTCTCATCTTTCGTTTCTTTGTTTTCTTCTTCTTTTTCGTCACGCGTACATCTCTATATATTCCTTTGTTTATGGTTGGAATAGACAGTTTAGATTATGTATTTTCACGTCTAGTCTAGATAGACTAACAGAAATACTCATCAAAAAGATCGTAAGTCGTATATTGGTTAAGATGTCTGTTTGGAATTGTTAAGTAGATGTCGACTTCTCAATCCAGTAATAATAAAATTTTCGAGTACTTGAAAACGATTATCTATTGCAATATGAAGTATTTCATGAAGTGAAACATATGAATCTGTTTATCCGTAAAGTAACAGTCATATGCAAGTTGGAAGTCAACTTTCCAGGGATCACCAATGAGGTGGCCATTAGACGGCAAGAATGAATGTTCTCGTTTAGCTTAATAACACGCAATAAAAATAAATTCTTTTAATTTGATTTCAGATTTGTAATAGTAAATAACATCATCATGCAGATCATGTATCTGGACCGACAACAACGTATTTTGTCAATTGTCTCTCGAACAACTTTACAGCTTCAACAGCAACACGTTCAACCCAACAACAACAACAAACGCAGAATGCTCGACATGTCATCATTTAGTCATCAATCATCAGCAAAATCCGAGTGAGTAAAAACTGAAACTTGTACAGTAAAACCTCTATTACTGAACACCACTCCTTAATGATCACCCTATCATACTGAACGGTCTCCGGTCCCCCCGAGCGATTTTTGTTGGTTTCAGCCCCCTCCTTAATGAAATCCTCGCGATTCTGAATGTGAACGCTTTTTTACGGTCCCAACTGTATAATTTCCCTCTGTAATGTGAACGTTATAAAGGGTGTCGTTAAACTTTGAATTAACACAATGTATCTCATTGGCTAGTTTTGTGATTGCCTTAGAGAGAAATGGAGAAAAAAAAGCATTTTCAATCTTGCCTATACATAATTGAATTACGTCTTGTATGTTTATATGTTAATGTTAAATTATTAAATATGGCAACTCGTCATGAACTTTGTTTAGAACAAAAACTTAACCTTATAAAAGAGAAAGAAAATGGACTTTCTCATCGAGTATTAAGTGAAAAATTTCATATTTCAATTGGAGCTGTTTCAAATATTTTAAAAGGAAAATTAGAATACACGAATGATTACGAATTGAACAGAAATTAAAAATTAAAAAGAAAATCCAAAAATGAATTTAATCATGATATCAACACGGACGTCTATGACTGGTTCACTTTGCAGAGATCAAAGAATATCCCCATAAGTGGCCCAGTACTTCTTACTTAAAACTTTTTTTCTCATATTGTATATGGAATGTACAAATTTAATGAATAAAAATCTGTTGATCAATAGTAAAAGATGAAAACATATGGTTTAAAGTGAAAAAACAATTTTTTGCATGGTCCCCCTCTTGTATGATCACCCCATCATTATGAACGATTTTGAAAAGTCCCAGCGGTGTTCAGAATAGAGAGGTTTTACTGTATAATGTATTGTTTTACTTTCAGACATACCAAAAACTACTCAACAAACATTGTATGTTCCATTAAAGCATCGTTTCTTCGATTTGATTCCGAAAGAAGTGATGCAAATAATAGTTGCAAGTAAGTGTGTGATATATATTGAAAATCAATAACTAATAAATTCTCTGTTTCAGTAAAACATTTTTCCGAAGGTGTCGTACCTCCTCAATTTGCTCAGTTTTGTCGTCGACCACTTGTTGCTCGATTAATTCGATCTTTGGTGAACGCATGTAAGTGCATTGAACTTTTACTTTTAACGAAAAACGTTTTTCACAACAGTGTCACTGATACCGAGAGCTGTCTCATATCCCCTTATCTAAAAGTTCCTTTTAGATCTATTTTAGTAAAAACAGTTTTTGTCATTCTAATATCACCACTAATCTTCATCTACTCACTGTCAGCAGATATTCAATTCATCTCTATGATGGGACTATGCTCTATTATTGGAGTGGCAATAACAGTTGCCTCATTTCTTTATACTATCATAAAAAAAACCTAGGTATGTCAAGTTAATCACTATAGTTACTTATCTTAAAGCATTTTTCTTTCCCATTCTTCTAGTAAATGAGCAAAAAGACCAGCACATACATCTTCTGTTCGATGCCATTTATAAACAATTAACAGAAAAAAACAATTTGACGGCTGATATTCTTCTTTATACTGGTGATTCAACAATTAGACGTACAAATTCTATTCAATTACTTCGAATTGGCAAAAAGGTTGTTGTTGGTGTAACTGATGGTATTATGATAGAAAATAAAGTAATTTAGTTTAAAGAAGATGATACATGTCTAAACTTTGTTTTGTGAAACGCGATCCAAAAGGTCTTGAAGTGTTTAAGGCCAGGAATTGGAACCCACCCCTCCCCCATAGGCCATGACAGACAGGGCTTATGGGTATCACAGACTGTCGCGAACAGGTTTCGGAGCCGCCACTGAATGTGACGGATCTTTTATACAGGATTAGTGAATATATATCACTAATATTTTATAATAGTACATTAGATGTTTTTTTATTGCACCTTTAGTAGTTAGGTAAAGTATGATGTGTCAATGGGTAGCGAGATCCATACAAGAAAGCAGGATTTGCATGACTGTTGAGAACAGCTACATCGTGTTATACATTTTTAATCCCTAAGGATTTACGCTAACAGCTTTTTATTAAAACTATTGCTTTTATTTAGGTATTAGCTAAAGCAAGTGAACCTGTCATTAATTTTATGTCAAATTTTTGGTCATCTTTTGACTCAATTCGACCAAATATTAATGCATATCGTGAGTCTATCGGAAACGTATGTAGTTCATCAACAATAATGGCCGATTTGAATGTAAAGTTTATTTTGAATAATTAGAATAAATATTTATTTTGATATTTAGTGTATTATTCTTGCTGATGAAAGGCAACAGGATGCTTTTCAAGTTGATAAACAAAGACAAGAAAATGGCTTATCTCAATTTGCCGTTCATATTGTACCAATGATTTCAGCAGATAAAGATAATCAAGATCAAGATAAAAAATTAAGTTTAATTTCATTTCGACAACAAGTGCTCAATATTCTTCTAAAATCAAGATTGGTAAATCAGTTTTGAGTTTTTATTATTGCTTATTTTAATTATTTATTATCTCTTATAGCAGTCAGTCGAATCAAATCTACCGTGTATTATTAATGGTGTAAGTATAGAAGGATCAATCAACGCTCGTCGAATAGAAAACCTTGGTGCTGGTATTAGTAAATGTGATAAACTAGGTGACTATTTCATTATTCTAATCATTGAAAATTTCTTAATTGAAAAAGTCATTTCATAAAAAACACAGGTCATAAAACATACAAAATCGATACTGATGCTTATAAAAAGATAAACGAAAAATTTGGTAAAGATATTATTAATTCAATTGATAGAGAAATCGATCGAAAATTTGTTGATAAAAAAGTTTTTCAATCATCTGATGAACTTAAAATATTAACTGATATCTTTTGGAATCTTGTTTTACATTTGATGCAACGAATTGTTGAATATTTATTTAAAGAAGGTAATATCAACATTTTCATTTATATTATTATTAATCGATTTTGTTTAGCTCAACGTACAATTGTACTTGATGCAATTCTATTACTTGAAGCAACAAAGATTATAGTGCCAATGAAACATGGATACTGCATCTATGACTACCAAAAAAGTATTCATTTTAACTTCTTTGGTCTTTACATCGATTTGTTAATTTTTTTTTTGTCAGGTTATTCGATGTACTGTAGAATCTTATAATATGTTATCAGATATAACCAAATATAATTTCAATGCTCAGATATTGAACCAAGAACGATTTTCAAATAGTAATGTTCTTTTATTGTACTAATTTGGTAGAAAGGTTTACTTAAAGACAAGTTAAGCATGCATGCCATTCGATTTTGCAACGTATCAATGGTAGTCATGCATGTTTCAACATTTTAGTTTGATTTATTTTAGCTCTTTGTGCTAGTATTTTTTTTCTTCTACTTTTGATTGTTATAAACTTTATTTTATTTGTTATTATTTATAACAGCAAATAAAAAATTGATTTTAGATGTTTCTAAAACATTATTAAGATAAGATTTTTATATTTATCTTCTTTTGATTCAATCACTAGCATCAGCCGTTCGAGCTCCCAGACTTTGTCGACTAAAATACATTGGCAAAATTGTATCTCGTTCTATCCGAAGCAGACTACACAGTGAATCACAATTCTTGTAGAAACATCAAAACTATTTGCCACCCTGCAGTAAATAGTAAGATTTTTTACATTCAAAACAGTGGAGGAAACCAATGGAAAAAGAAGGATTAAGCAGCGTTCCATTATAAAGTAACTCTTCTTATCCAAATGAGAATCTAGAGAAAAAAAAACATAGAATTATAATGCGAGTAAACCAACGTTCTACGCTACTTTTGTTTCTTTCTTTTTCATAAAGTTATTTGCTGGTTCAGCTCGTTGTCTATGAGATTGTTTAAATATTATACTTATCTTCTTAAAATAAGAAGAAAAAACTAACTGTCGAAAAATAAAAATTTCCTATTTTTAGGTAATCTTCAGTCATTTTGAAGCTATTTTAAATGAAATCAATAAATTTTATTGTTATTAGAAATTTCTTTGTTATATAGAAGTTATTTTGAATAATCTTTCAAAATTTTATTAAATATTTTAATAAAATATATTTTTTATCGTTGATATTTGAATGTATTTAAATTGTGCATATTTTAGTACGCGTTTGACCTTTTTTCATTTTATTGAAATTTCAAAAAGGAAAAAAATAATGGTTTTTTCCTTTGTGAGATGAATTTTAAACAAAAAATTCATGAAGAAAAAAAAAACAATTCATTGTATATATATTCTATATAAGCAAATCTTCTGTTTTTATATTTAATTGGTCAGTGGAGAGAAATTTGATTCTATCTTAACGAAATTATTATCCGAACATTGAGATTACGAAGCGTTTCCTTTTCCATAAATATCAAGATAAGTTTCAGGAAAATCAGAGCTGGGCAAGTCAAGTCCAAAATACCGCAAGTCAAGTCAAGTCAAGTAAAATCAAATTTCCTTAAAAAGTTTTTCAAGTCCAGTAAAATTCCGAAAATTAGAAATTTTATCAAATCAGGTCAAATATATTAAAGAGATTGCCTAAATCAAATCAGAAAAGTCAAAATATTTTCCCATGTTGAGCCATACGGTTGTTAAAAGGTATCTTCTCTTTTGATTTTTTTATTCGTTCATACACCTCATTGAATTTGAACTATATTTATTCATATCATTAGAATGGATTCAGACCTGTGCAAGTCAAGTCAGGCTTGACTTGAGTTGTCTTGACTAGACTTGACTTGGAAAAATTTTTTACGGCTCCTGACTTGACTTGACTGCTGACTTGAAAAACACCTGACTTGCCCAGCCCTGGTTAAAATACAGATAAAAGAAGATTTCATTTTGTTAATATTTATCAGTTTTATTTACTTTGATAAATCATTTGATTATATTAAAGAGAATCAATGTGAAGTGTTGATTACATGGTTCATAGAAAATAATGGGAAACGAAATATACGGTCTTTTTCTTTTCTTACATCAAAGCTTTTTAAAAATATCGTGATAATTATTGTGTCACGATTAATATTCTCTATCATCGAATAATATACTGAATTTTTACTTACGAAATTTTAGAAAGTTTTATCGATGCTTTTAAATGTTAAGCATTTTATTTATAATATTTACAAAGAAAAAAGAAAAGAAAAGAAAATGTTTTCAAGTCGAAAAAGTTGATCTTGTTTTTGTTTTGTCTATGAAACTGTTTCAATTCTAATAGTAGAAGTTCGATCATGATTTTCATTTAAAAAACAATTTTCTAAATAAAATTGAATATCCTGATAATCATTCAACATGAGATCTTTATGTTTTTTATCAATAATAACAAATCGATTAAATTGAATATAATTTGTTAATTGTATTGGAAATAATCTTCGAATAAATGATTTTAATTTTCCTATTGTCATTGATGATGGATTTTGTTTTTCGATTTTTACTTCATTTTCGTCTCCGAAAACAAATATAACTTTCAATAAATCAGGACGAATACAAATATAACTTTCAATAAATCAGGACGAATACAAAGACCTTTTTTTGATGTCTAAAGAAAAAAAGACATGATTTTATTGATCGCCAAATTTTATATAAAATCAAGTTTAAAATAAAAATTTTATCTTCGAAGAAAATTTTTGAGAAAAAAGGTTATCAATCATAGTTTTCTTTAATTATGAATGAAATATTCCGAAGAATATTCTTTAGAAATAATTATTCAATAAACGAAGCTTTTTCATTTTTAACTTTTAAAAATATATTTAAAAAAATGAAAACACAACGAGAGAATTACTTTTTCTTTTGAACAAATTCGAAATTGACTAGAAATTTTTCTGACCTATTGTTCAACATAAACGAAATTGCGAAGAATGAATTATCTAAAAGATTTTTCTTACAGAAATGAAATAATTAGAAAAGATGTTTTTTGAAAAAACCTTTTTAAAATCTTAAAAAAATAATTTTTTCGAATATTTCAAAAAAAGTGCCAATCTGAAAACAGTTTCAAAATAAAAGGGAAATAAAAAATTACTAACTTGATTTATATTTGGTTTTAAAGACTCTCCATGTTTTTCAATTCATTTTTTATATTGTCTATGTTGATTAATAAAATCTAATTTGTTATGAAAATAATCTTGAGCATAATGTTGTAAATAATCAATTTCAGCTCCACGTCTTTCATCACGATTAATTTAAACTCGATTTAAATGTGTTAAATTTGGTAAACGAGCGATAATCATTCGTTTAGCTGTTTCATTTTCGATCTGATTTGTTAGATAAATTGGATTTCGAAGAATACTTAAAGATATTAATGATGATAAACGTGATAATTTATTTATTAAATCAAATGATGAGATTTTAGTATCAGACATATAAAGATGTTTTAATGAGGGAAACAATTCATTCGATTCATCTAAAAAGAATTTTTTTAATTTTTTTTCAAAAAAACAACTATTAAAAAAAACCTTGATTTGGTAATTTAATACGATCAATTCCATAATTATTAATAATTAATTCTTGAAGATATTTTAATTTTCCTAACCGATTTATAAATGGATCCCATTGTTTTAATGTTGGATTATCTGATAATGATAAATTTGTGAAATTTTGAATTTGATCAACAAATATTTCTGATATAAAGCTTAATTGATTTAAACCTAAATGAATATTTATTAAATTCGGATAATATTTAAAAATATTTTCAAATAAATAACAATCGTTATCTGTATCAATAAGAACAGTTTGTTTTATATTATTATAAATAATTGATGGATTTTTATCGAAATTCATTCGACAATTACTAACATTTAAAATTTCAATATCAGAAAAATATTTTTCTAATATTATCCATAATTGTGGCCAATTTTTAAGAAGATTTTGACGTATATTAAGTTCTTTTATTTAACGAAGATTATTATAAATTTCATAATTTGAATCAAATTTATTTACCCATTGAGTTGATAAATCTATTTGAATTAATGATGATAAATCAAATTTATAATCAGTATATTGTTTACCTACAAGAAAAATATAAAAATATTTTCTTATCATCGAATATATTTATTATTAATTGATGTGAATTGGAAATTAACATGTTCAATAACATTGACATGAATCATCTGGAAATATTCTCAAAACAATTTCATTTGAGAAGATCACAAAAAATAATTTTCAAATTTGTATTTTAAAGTTGATAAAGAGATATGATGTAATCACAAATATTTTTATGATGATAATTTTCGATCTATAAAATTAATATTAAAGAGAAATTTTTCTAAGAATTTTCAAATTCCGATAAGAACAATAAAAGGATTGAGTATTGTCATAATAAATATGAACAGAGAAATAACTAATCAATTGAATTTTATTTGAGAATATTCCGAGTTTATTCAACTCGTCATTATTTATTTCGAAAATTATTTTTTAAATTTAAAATATTTCTAATTAAATCATTTCTTCTAAGTCAATTTCTTTTTTCTATTGAAACTAAAATTGAAATGATTATTTATGAAAAAGTTTAACAATCGTATTATTTGTCAAAAGAATTTTGTTTTTGTTAATAAAGCTTTAGATATTTTTTTTAATAATAAATTATCTATCACAATTTAGAGTTTGACACTGATGAAACATTTCTGTGAATAATTATATCGTATTGAAGAAATCAATTTTACATAAATTTCATTAAAAAATATCGAATAGATTTTTATGATAAAATTTTGTTAATCTTTTTTTATAGTTGGATAAAAATCGTCGATTTAGCCGAACCTTCCCAAAAACAAAATTTGTTAAATACAAACTGAATAAAGAATAATTAACATCTGTTGTAATATTTTCATTTGAAAAAGCTTTAATATATTGTTTATAAATCGCTTGAGTAAATGAGTTTCCATATTGAATTCTTTGTTGTCTAATAAAAGCTCCAGTAAGTTGATGTTTTATTTGAAAATTTCCATTATGTTTTCCTTGTTGATTCCAATATTCAATTCCAATTCATTCTCCTGGATGATCATCAACTAAACCAATATAATGAATTGTTGCAGGATATTTTCCATCAACTAATATATGATCATCAATTTTCATCTAAAATAAAAAAATCTATTTGCTTTTTTAAACATCTTCATCATTATTAGATAAATCAAATTCTTCATCAACAAGTTTTTTTTTCTTCGAAAATTTTTTCTTGTTTATTTATTTGAATTTTTTGTTTTTGTCTCTTAAATGGTTGATTAAATGTTTGATATAATCTTTGCGCTTTTAGTGTACCCAAACCTGGACAAACACATAATTCTTCATTTGATGAATGTAAGATTTTTGTCTAATCCACTAAATATATTAAATAATAATAGAAAGGCATACAAATCCTTTGAATGCTTGTGATGGATCATTTATATCACATTAAAACAAGTTATTTTTTAATTGGTAAAACAATTTCTTTGATTTAAGACAATCGTAAATATAATTTCGATTTAATTGATGATAGAAAAGAGATAAATATAATGCATATGAACAAAGACTCATTGAGTAATTTGCAACACTCAATATCATATAAAATACTCCCATTTAACTTGACGTAAATGTTTTAACAATAGATTTCATCGTTGACGAGAACATGGTACTTTTATTAAATATGATTACAATTTTTCTTTGTTTGCATAGAAAAACACTAACAATTACTTGAAAGTTCTTTCTCATGAATTGTATTCGATAGAATTAATGACGATGCATTTGTTTTTACTCTTTT